CAAGTAAAGATGGTCCACTTGGAATAAGGACCAGAAATTGAACTGCTGTTGAAAGAAGTTAGTCAAGTAAAGCTGATTGACTTGGAATAAGGACCAGAATTTGGAATGTTGTTGAAAGAAGTTGGTCAAGTAAAGCTGGTCCACTTGGAATAAGAACCAGAATTTGGACTGCTGTTGAAAGAAGTTGGTCAAGTAAAGCTGGTCCACTTGGAATAAGGACCAGAAATTGAACTGCTGTTGAAAGAAGTTAGTCAAGTAAAGCTGATTGACTTGGAATAAGGACCAGAATTTGGACTGTTGTTGAAAGAAGTTGGTCAAGTAAAGCTGGTCCACTTGGAATAAGAACCAGAATTTGGACTGCTGTTGAAAGAAGTTGGTCAAGTAAAGCTGGTCCACTTGGAATAAGGACCAGAAATTGAACTGCTGTTGAAAGAATTTGGTCAAGTAAAGCTGGTTGACTTGGAATAAGGATAAGAATTTGGACTGCTGTTGAACATGAACATGTTGAACAAGTGGGAATGACAGGTAGTGGCAACAATTTTGCATACCAGTGGCTTCTCTACAGAGTTACTGCAAGGGTTCTTTCTTGTGCAGAAAGAAAGTGACATCATCATAACAAGATATGTTGGATGTAATATCACCATTCTGACCAGATTTGGCTGCATTTTATACGTCCCTTACTGCAAAATGGAAACCTCCTTGGCAAGGGTCTTACAACTGTGTAGGCATCTATATTCACCAAGATATAAACAACTTACCATTATTCCAGCCATTTATAGCTGGTATGTAAGGTGCCTGTGTCCTGTCACAACCCTGTAGGTATTCAGATACACCAAGATATTCCAGAAGCTGGGATATACTGAACTCTGTCAGACTAAACAATCCACTGTCATCCAGAAACTTGTCCAGAGAAAAATCTGTAATTATTTATAATATAAGTATGCATGAGTGTATACAAGACTTAAATAAGACAATAAAACAATACAAAAACTGCTTTATGGCGGATCATTGGTTTTCTCAGTAAAATTTAAAATTATAATTGAAGTTTGAATAATGAAGAGCTGAGATCAAGTGAACCACATGTTGTTTCCAAATGAATGAACATCTTGTTTGTAAAAGTGTAACTTCAAACACCACCCATTTCTTCAACAGTAGAAGAATTTAAGACTTTTAATAATCAGTAAAGTAAAGACTGTATACCTGCACTACAATCTACTGAGTGTGAAACCAGTGTAGGTAAGGTGGTATTCAGTTCACTGTATGCAGTATTGATGAAATACTCAGGTTTATAGGCAACCATCTTTAATAGATCTACATCAATGCCTGTTCCTATCCCTACAGTTATAATTTTAACGCCTTTACTGCTACATAATTCTGCTTGTTGTACAGCCTTGGTAGAGTCAGATTTCCCATCAGTCAACAGAACTAAATAATTGCCAGCATCTGATCGATCTCCTTGATTAGCTACAAACATCTGATTACAAGTGTAACTAAAAGCATCAGCAATGTCAGTATACATTCCATTCTTGTATACAGCTTTGGACAAGGTCTCTTTAACTCTTGTCTTATCATAGCCATCTTTTAGGTTTAAAATTGTTCTTGATGTTCCATGACCTTCAAACAAGGTCATTCCTACATTGATAAGATCATCACGGATCACTAAACTGTTCACAGTATCAATAATGGCCTGCACAGTATCATCAAAATGTTTCTGTCCAACACTGCCAGATTCATCAACAACAAATACAATGTCAGCTGGCATCACAGATTTGCATCCTTAAATTGAAATAAATGTATAATATATGATATATTAAATCATTTGAGCTACCATATTAGATACATTTGTATAATGGTACATACAGGTAATAATGACAAGTAAAACTCCAAGATATTCCTCAACATTTTTCAAATTATACAGCAAACTTTAAGATATTCCATAACATTTATCCAAATATGTAGTAACCTTACAAAGTATTCCTTCCATAAGGTGTATTCCAATTATACAGTTCACTTACTAGGTATTTTGTATGGCTATTTTTTGTATCGTTTATTCCAATTGTGTCATTTGGTCTCTTGTGGAGAGTTATCTCATTGTATGGTTTATTCCAATTGCACAGTAAACTTACCAGGTATTTTGTATGGTTTATTTCCAATCACACAGTAAACTTACCAGGTATTTTGTATGGTTTATTTCCAATCACACAGTAAACTTACCAGGTATTTTGTATGGTTTATTCCAATTACACAGTCAACTTACAAGGTACTTTGTATGGTTTATTCCAATCACACAGTCAACTTTATACCAGGTATTTTGTATGGTTTATTCCAATCACACAGTCAACTTACCAGCTTAACTTTTGTGCTGCATGTTTATATACTGATATGAACTCTTGCTTTATATGTTTAATTTATGTGTGCATGACTTGATATGTATGTTTTGTTTTATTTGTTGCTCTGTCGGTTTTAAAAGCTCTTCAGAGCTTATGTTTTATACTTGTATTTGCACATACCAACTCTAAATAAAGCTTTATGTCTTATGTCTTATGTCTTATGTCTCAGGTATTTTGTATGGTTTATTCAAATCACATAGTCAACTTACCAGGTATTTTGTATGGTTTATTCAAATCACACAGTCAACTTTATACCAGGTATTTTGTATGGTTTATTAAAATCACACAGTCAACTTACCAGGTATTTTGTATGGTTTATTCCTATCACACAGTAGACTTACCAGGTATTTTGTATGGTTTATTCCAATTACACAAGGGTTTTGGTAGCAAAGCATTATTAAATATAATATGTTGTTGGCAGTTTGAACCATCAGATTCCCAGCATACTTTCAGTGTCATTGATACAAGATACAAATCCTCCTCCTGTAAGTTATCTATCATAAATCTGTAAAATATCAATTTGTATTTACCATTTAAAATACATTTTATCACAATAACATTTCAAATGAAAAATGTAATTGTAACTACAAAGTTACATAGATATTCATATGAAACATAGTAACTGGAAAGTAAATAGTTACTGCAAATTTTAATGATTTGAAAAATATTACAGGATAAACATTTGAATAATCAAAACTCACATTTAATATTCTAGTACAGAATATACAGGTATTGTATTATACCAAAACTAATATATACAGGTGTTAAAATTTTTTTTTGCAAGGTTCATTCTATTCTATTTTTCTATTGAACTGTTTAAGAAAAATATAAAGTGTTAAGGCAAAAACCAAACTGTGATAAGTCAGTTGAAGAATATAATTATAAAATTATTTTAAAGGTAGCTCTTAGCAGTTAAGGCTTATAAATATTAAAAAAAACCACTTTTCTGGAATATAACACACAAAAATAATTTTAAATAATTACACAATTACACACATATTGACTTTAACTATATATGTATTGAAAATATTTTTTGCATAATGTTTCACCTCTAAAAATGTGTAATAAAAGTAGAAAGCAATATATCAGATATAGTTTTCACACCCGACAGTGACATATCTTAAACAGTAATCATATCTGACAGTGAAATATCTTATACAGTAATCATATCTAACAGTGACATATCATGAACAGTAATAATATCTGACAGTGACATGATACATAGTAGTGATACCTGAGAGTGACATATCATATACAGTATTCATATCTGACAGTGACAAATCATAAGCAGTATTCATACCTGACAGTGACATATCATATGCAGTATTCATACCTGACAGTGACAAATCATAAGCAGTATTCATACCTGTCAGTTACATATCATATGCAAAACCTGACAGTGACATATCATATACAATATTCATACCTGTCAGTGACATATCATATGCAATACCTGACAGTGACATATCATATACAGCAATCCTACCTGACAGTGACAACTCCAAAGAGGTCAAATTGATTCCATTCACCATATGTTACATCACCTAAAGTAACATCAAATTTGAGTTTCTCTACACCAAAACTAATCACATAGTTACAGGTATCAACTGAGAAGAAACTGTGGAAACTTCTTTTTATAAAACCAACATTTACACAACACTGTATCCCTGTACACGATTCATCAAGGTAACAGTTCATATCTTCCATCAGGGGAGGTAATCTAACAACACTATCTTGGCAACCTACAAAGAAAGAAAATAACTATAAGGCAAAATCTATCCCAAAAATATAGGCAACTGCCAAACTTTAATGGCAATCTAATTGAATAATTTTCAAATTCAGGTTGCCATGAAATATATACGGTACTTATTAATTATCTATTTTGTACAGTAAGTATGATTATACTCACATATGGCCCCTAAGTTTAGCTTAAATTTAACTATTATTACATTGAATCATACTTCAAACAATGACAAGATAGAAAATATGTCTTATTTTTTTATAATATACTGATCAGCATATTTTTTAAGTTGCAATAAACATCAATTTTCCACTAAACTCAACGACAACAGGCTATTTCTATTGATTTTCATGGGAGGAAAACTATAGAGTATGAGTTGACAGAACAGATCTTGCAACATTTTGTTTATTATAACAAATAACATCCAGTATCTGACTTGAATTTCTTTCTAATTTTTTGGTAATTTTCAAGAAATCCATGGAATTTAGGATGGCACACACTAGAATAGGACTTCAAGTGTGAAGTACTATACAGTTATAATAACAATGTATTTCTTTCTGGGAACTATAACCTGAATGTACAAAAACATTTTTCTATAAAAACCTAAATAAAAAAGCAACTAAAAACTGCTTACCTAAACTCCAACCTTGATAAGATGTGGCAAACACAGACCCTGGATTGGATGGATCACATTGTTTGTCCAATAAATACGTAGTCAGTCCTAAATCCTTCATCAGCTGTAATATACCTTCATCTGACAGGGTTAGGTTTGGACTGAAACTCTTCAAGGAAAACCATTCAGACAATGACCAATCTGAAAAATATAATGTTACATTGAGGAAGAAATTGAAACATCAGTAAGATGGCTATCAAACTGGAACAGATTGACTGCTTTATATTAAGACTGTAATAATGTTTTAGGGCTGAACCCAGTCTGAAATATACCAAAAAATAATGCAAATATCTTGAAATATTGGAGATAATAGAACAAAGTATGATAGATCAATAATTTTCCAATACAGTTGCACATTATGTTTTTCTTTGCTTTTTTTAAGACAAAAATGAGGTATAAAGTAAGGAAATACTTAATAAAGTAAAAATATGACAGTCTATAAAACTGTAGGTAAAACTTACCTGACTTCGACAATCCTTTCTGCCAGCTACACTGAAGTTTGGGGAGTTTAGTGTTAGAAAATATAGTGGCTTCTATTGTACAAGGTCCTCTATTATTAAAACACACCTGGATACCAAGGTCAAGGTAATATACATCTTCTCCTGGTATATCTGTTATCTTGTAGCTATAACAAGTCAATCATTCACTGTTTTATATATATCATTATTTATGATAATTGGTATTATGCAGATTTTAAAGTTTAGGAGAAAGATTGAGGTAACTAAGTAACAGAACTGTTTGAATAAAAGTGCATGGAGATAACAGACAATCACAACAAGGAGTATCTGCTTGTGGTATTTATAAATCTTGAACTAACCCTTAAGACTTTTACTTTCCATGATCAATAAGATGAGTGCCACAATTGGAGAAAGAACTTCTTACCCTCCCAAAGCACCTAATGTTAACCCTGTTTTTATATAGTTTGCTCAATCTGTAGTCTTGGGTGTATACGTTGTATCTTGTAGATGGTTGTTTGTCTGTTCATCAGTTTTCTTATGCAATGATGTTGTCTGTCTTTCTTTTATCATGGTTTTGATTGGAACCTTGATGCCTTCTCCATTTATTATCATGGTTTTGATTGCAACCTTGATGCCTTCTACATTTATTATCATATAAAATAAAATTGAGAATGGAAATGGGGAATGTGTCAAAGAGACAACAACCCGACCACAGAACAGACAACAGCAGAAGGCCACCAACAGGTCTTCAATGCAGCGAGAAATTCCCGCACCCGGAGGCGTCCTTCAGCTGGCCCCTAAACAAATATATATACTAGTTCAGTGATAATGAACGCCATACTAAACTCCAAATTGTACACAAGATATACATATATATCTACATATATCATCCTAATCAAATTGGTGTTGTAAGAAATTTCAATTATTGTTTAGCCTCTTTTACTCTTTTTCTCCTACTAAATAGAATTAAAAATAGAACCTTCAACCTATGGATATCATCACCAAGATGCAGAAGAACCAGATACATTGTTCACAGAAATTGTAATGAGGGTCCCAAGTTTTCAAGTAAGTTATTAACCTTGACACATGCACGATGTAGTAATGTCCAAGGACGTGACATTGTCTATAATCAAGATCAGGATTTGACTTTGAAAACATAACCACTAATTTTACTCTCTTTCTCAGAAAATCTTTAAAAAATGTTATACTCACTTAATATTTATTACTCTTTCCACATTGAATTGTTTCTGTACATTGAAATCTGTTTTAAATAAGGAGAACTCAAACTGGTAATTCTCTATTCCAAGTTTGAAGACTGAATTACATGGATCAATGGTCAGGTAGGAGTTGATATTTCTGTTAATCAGTGCAACAGGTGTACAACAGGTAACAGATGTACAGGTAGAATCCAGGTGACAAATCATACCACCGGGTAAGTCTGGTAACATTATCATGCCATCACATTCTACAATAATAACAAAACAGACCTTAACTCCTTAAACTGTGTTGTCTTCTTGCATTTAAAAAAAAAATGGAATTATTTTTATAAAAAATCCTTTAGAAATTTTAGTAATATTAAAAAAAAAACATTGTAATCATTGAGTATAATGTTGTTCGCAATACAAAGAGGGCTCCAGCGAACTGAAAACTGAAACATTTAAATCAACGTAATAAACATACCCGTGTTCCACCCATGACTATCAGCAGTACTGTATAGAGGACTGGACGTCAGATCACATCCTGGTTGTTGTAAATATTCAGCTATACTTAAATGTTCTAACAATTTGGATGTCATCAATTCTGACAGCTGTGTTACATTTGAAGGAAATCCCTGTTTTGTCAACCAGCCATTCAAATTGAAATCTAAAAGTAAAAATTTCATGATGTTGAAAAGACTCTTTCCTCTTTATATATGAAACACTCTCAAACATGTACATCCCCCCAAACAAGTCTGCTTCGCCTAAATGCGTCCATTTCGTTCAAACGTGTCCTTAAAATCACATATGGCTTAAATAAACATATCCAACTTCACTTCCTCTGATTATTGTCTGATCTGACATGACCTATTTTCACCTTGCCCACACAATTTCTATTCCGCCAAAAATGTCCAATTTAGGAGCCATAACTTCTCAAAACATTTAGCTCTAATATCATCTCTCTTACATCAGTAATGATTATGACATTCAATTATGGAGAACCAATTGAAGATGTCAGATTTCTTCTGGAGTTCAATGAAAAAAAAAAAAAAACTGCCATCCAAGGACATAAATGCAGATGTAATTTGGAAACAATTCCCAAAGATTATAATCATGTTACTGAGTTAAAAGAATAAAATCCAAAATGGAGACATCATAAAATTGTAGAGATGGTTAGAAGTTCAAAATGATAATAAATAATTAATATTTGAAGTAATATCCTATTAAAGAATCTCCATTTAAATAAAATATGTTTGTGGAAAAGTTATCTCCCTGAAAAATTGATAGAGTCAATAACTGTAGTATATTTCTTTTGAAAAAAATACATTTTCATAAATAAGATAAAATGCTATAAGTATGTGCATTTATAGGATAAATAATTCTCAGCTTTTTCTTAATGTTTGGAAATTTTACAAAACCTAAAAAATAAGCAAATATCCAAACCATTGACCTTCATAAATACTAGCTTGAGGTGGTACGTAACACTACAGGGAGATAACTCTGTAAAAATCAGCTGAACGTTTTAATCATGTTCTATTGTTAAGGAAATATTAAGCTTCTCAATGATCAAAATTAGTTTTTGTCAAACTGCTATTTATCAAATGAAATTTTTCCGATAAAGTGTGTTGTTCACGTTTTTTGAAATTTTTATATTTTGTCAAAGGGTCAAAGTAAGTATTTTGTCAAAATTTTATGAAAATTAAACAAGCCAAATTAATTATAGATAAATAAGGTGTTTGGTACCACCTTAACAATGAAATATTTCTTGAAACCAAAATAGCTAAGAAAATTAAAGGTTAAAACTTGAATGACCAATACTGTAAAATACTAAGGTTTCTTACTAGGGATAGGAAATCCACTGTTCAAGTCACAAAGTTGTTTAGAAATCTTTGTGTCTTTAAATACATCATAGCTGTATAAACAATCTCCTTTGGTCTCAAAACAAATCTCAAGCTTTAAACTGAATAAAATCTTCTCTTCAGCTTCTAAATCCTCTATTTTATAACTGTAGAAAGAAAAAAGACAAACTCATAACTGTACATAATCAACATTTGGAAAAGGGCGAAAGGTTACTGACAAGATTTTGTTTCACATAGAACTCAATTATCAGCTAGTCTTAGAGCAAAAGGGAAACATTATAAACTAGACATCATTAAGATGGGAGCCATCTCTGTGGGCCCAGCTGACCTTGAACTTTGACCTAAGAAGTTGTACAAACATTATGACACACCCTCTGGTGTTGGTTAATATACATAACAAGTATAAAGTATGAAATTATAATGGTTCTCTAGATATAGAGTGGACACAATTTGATACGGACGGACGGACAGACAGACAGACTGACCACTATAGGTCGACCCGCCACTAGGCGGGGCCCTAATAATTATCAAAAACAATATTTCATACATTATTTTAAGTAAATTTGGTCCTCAATATGTTTGTTTCTAGTCTTATCAATTAAGGAAAATATACCAATTTCATGTTTGTTTATTTGAATTTAAACCAAGACATAAATCATGTAAATTGTATACTGCCTAATTAGCTGTATGAAGTTTTCCTTTAGATCACTGTGACTTCACCAGTTTACCCAAAATATAGCAGAATAAGTATAGTCAGTCCAAGTTTTCTTTTAAAAATCAAGACCTTCAACTAATTAAGGTGCCCCGGTGGCCGAGTGGTCTAAGTACTGTAACTACTGTATCACTAGCCTGTGACACTGAGGTTGTGAGTTTGAGCACGCAGCAGGTGAGTTCAACTCCCATTCTTAATTTACTAGGATTGTCAGTTTTCCCACCAAAAGGTCGGTGGTTCTCTCCATGCACTCCAGCATCCTCAACGAAATAGCACAAAAGTGTTGAAAGTGGTGTTAAACACCAATCAATCAATCAACCAAATTAAAGTCTATTTCAGTAAATCTGATGAAAACACAAGGTTGGTAATTCCTTTCTTATCAAACAAGACAGATATCTATACTTACTTTAATCTCACCATATTTCCAAGTGAGACGATTTTCTCTGTATTATAATTGTAATGCGCCAAGGATTCATTGATGACCATGTTCTCCAATCCAATACTGAGTCTCAAATCACATATATCCAGTAGAAGATGTGCTTCTACATACATATCTAGGACAGGGATATACACACAACACTGTATCCCTGTACAATAATCTGGTAACCTACAGGCTAGATTCTTAGGGAGGGTAGGTAATGACAAGTCTGCTCCACACACTATAAAAGTCATACAAATCACTGATTAATGTTACATATGTTTACATTGAAATTACCAACAAAAAAGAATTGTTTTACAATGAATATTTTTTTCCGAAAACTGTATATGCAAAATGTCATAAGTTGATATCAAATGGTTTTTTTATTTTTAAATTGATAGGAAAAATAGATTTTTTTTTCAAATTTCTTCTGTCATACAATATCATTGAGATGTGCAAGAAAGCATTTTTGAGAATTTGTTTTTTTGCACTCTCATTTGTCCTGAGCCTTGAGAAGAAAACTAAATATAAAATAAAAACAAAAACAAATACCTTTGAGAGATTATTGTTATTAGGTCAGAGAGAAGAAGGTGTGTACTTACTACCTATGTCCCATCTGTCTGTATTTAACTGGTAGTCTGAGAATTGACACTGTGGACTCTGTAAATACCCAGCTATTCCAAGTTCTTCCATCAGTAAGTCTCTAGCATATGATTGTAACTGTAGTTTTATATCTACCTTATTCTTATCTAACCAAGAAGCCAGGGAAAAATCTATAGGAAAAAGAGTTCCAACTTTAATTTATTTCAATTATATTGTTTTTTTTATGCAAAAAAATAGGCAAATACATTTAAAAAAAAAAGTTTTCTATACAAAAACATTCAATTCATAGCAAAAAAAAGAAACAACACTTTTTTGTGGAATATGCAGTTACTGTAGATACAATGAAATGTTTGAATATTCACAAGGAAATCATTTTTTAATTGACTAAACCAAAAATCTCAGCAGAGCTATTGATATCATGAATTGGTTATTTTAGGTATCATTGATATATTGTAACTGTAAAATATGTCTTTGTTCACAAATAATTGAGTCATCCTGACCTTGCTGTAAGGTGTGAGCGTAGATCATCACCTTTAAGCAATTTTCAGATTGAAAACAGTGACATAAGTTCTATTTCTTTTAATTTATTTATAATTTCTGAAAATTTTATTGTTTATGTCTCATGTATATATACTTCTTTTAATTTTTTCTATCTAGATGACACAGTGACATCACATATGAAATTATGTAGTAAAGTTATATATTATGAACGAAGTTAATTTAAGATAAAAGATCAGATATTCCGCATTTATAAATGTCATGGCTAAAAGATGGCTCATTTCATATGGCCTTATTGTTACAAATTCTCTTAATAAACATTGAAACTATCTTTAAATAGACCTATACCTGGTATAGCGAATCCTTGATTGAAGTTACATAAAGGTTTTGGAAGTTTGACATTATCCAGCACTTGTATCTCCAGTTCACAAGGACCGTTAGATTCTAAACATACACTAGCTGTCATACTGACTATAAACATCCCCTCATTGTATAACTCTTCTATCTTATAACTGGAAAACAAAATCAATTCAAAACCTTTTTTGTCATGTCACATCAGAAAAAATTTAAATAGATTACCTTGGTGAATGATACATAATTAAACCATAATCTTGTATAAAAGTAAGGTTTACATTGGATATAAAAATTCCTAATAAAATTATCTCTCTTTGCTCCTTTTTGTAACTTTAAACTGGCTCAAACATTGAACAGGCATCAATTGATGATAAGATGTGTCACTCCATTTCTCTACAAAATTTTAATCTATAAAAAATCAATGATATCTACAAAACTTACTTTATGTTTACAAATCCAAACATGGAGAAAGAGTGTATAGCACCATACTCTATTTCCAGAATAGATATCTTGTGGATGAATTTCTCTATGCCAATTGTAAAGGTATTGTGACATGAATCCAGGTCTAAGTACACAGTAATGGCTCGTCCTAACTGGTTTATTTGGATACAGCAGTGTACACCTGTACATGTGTCCGACAGGTAGCAGGAAGTATCAGATGGTAGCTTCCCTAACATCACTGGTTTACTAGACATACATTCTGGAGAGAATATTTCACAGATAATTACTATTGCATTGACCTAGACTATATATTATTTTACATATTTAAGGTTTACTGCAATGTAAACAGAATATGCAGCAACTGTGAATTCCAAAACCTTAAAAAAATCACTCATGTAAAAACCAAAAAATAAAATGTTTTAAGTTTCCAATCTACTTTCTATATAGTAAAAAAAAAATAACAAAAAGGAACTGTACACATTTGTCTATATTTTTAGTACAGTAAATTAAGGATTTACATTCTTTTAAGAAGATTTGGCAGTAATACATACTATTTAAATTCCATCCCTGATTATTTGTAGGAGAATACGGTGTAGCCTGTGCATCACAGGGGGGTGACATCATATACTGATCTACGCCAAGTTCTCTCAGAAGTTGTATGACAAAGATATCCTTTAATGTCCCTGTGTTCACTATACTGTTCTCTGTTAGCCAGCTGGTAAAGGAGAAATCTAAAACAAAATACCAACAATACAGTAAATCATTTAAAGTCATGCATAAATAAAAAAAACTTACTTGTATTTAGCCTTGGTTAAGGAGTTCAAAACTAAACTTATGACTGGGATATTGGTTACATTTCTATTATTGCACAGTTATTGCTCAAGTCACTCATTCTGAAAGTTTACATGTTTTCTTTGCACATTACCCTGAATGAGATGTTGTGATAATAATTACTTGATTAGTTTAACTGTGTTTCCAAACAAAAACTACTCTCTTGTCAAGACAGTGTGGGAAAATATCTTTGTTAAGTACTGCAGTTCTTCCACAGAAACTTACCGTCCTGTTTGAATCCCATGTCCAAGTTACATAGTGGTTTGGGAAGTTTAGCATTCTTCAAAATAGTAACATTAAAAACACAGCTATTGGGATCACTCTGTTCCAAACAGATATGTAAGCTCAGATCTACCATAAACATCTTCTCACTTCCTAAGTTGTATATATTATACCTAAATGAAAATAAGTTTCTGATTTACATAATAGGAGAGCACTGATTATAGAAATAAGAAAATAACTGGTATGTTGTATAAAAACCTGAAAGACATAATGCTTTGCTATCATCAAATAGGGATCTTCCAAGGCAGTTAGTCTTTCTAAACAGTCATATCAAATAAGGAATGTGATGTTCAGTAATTTGTTAAGAAAATGGTCCATATCCTACTTGGAAGACCTGTCAATAATTCAGACAGCAAAGATAGGCATTTTATACACCATTGTGTAGATAAATTAATGAAGATTTACAGCATAATAAGTTTAATTTACATAGACCACCACTGATAGAGAAATGACAAAAATATTATGACCAAGTGTCATTACACGAAAATGCAAGTTGAGTAACTTGTATTAATAAAGGTATAAAGGTAGGCTGAGACAAGTGGCTGTGGTTTCAAACCATTATCATGGCATATGATTACATTACTTCCCTTACAGTTTGTCTTCATGACTGAAGAAATAAAGTTCAACTTTTAAATCTAATTTGAACAATATTTTAAAAACTTACTTGAAAACTATTCCACCTTGTAGTGTAAACTGTTTTTCTTTTCCCCATGTGTATTTCAGTAAAGATACATGTACTTGTAGCTTTTCTATACTTATACTCATGGTGTAATTGCAGGGATCGATTGCTATGTGTGTACTAATAGAACGACTGATTAACTTTATGTCTGTACAACAGGTTAAGGCTGAACAGTCAGTTGGCACAACACAGGATACTGATGATGGTAAAGTTAGTGACAAATCACTACTTGGACAATCTAAAATAAATCAAACAAGCATTCTGAGAGTATTGCATGGCAATACATAGTCCCCTACCGGGTAAAAATTCATTATACTGGAACAAAATGCTAACTTGTTCTATAACTTGTCATGGTGTAAACAAAAAGTAAATATCATGTCAATATCTTCAAGCATGACTAAAAACAGTGTTAAAAACTGATTATAAGAGTGAATTTTTCAAGTCCAAGGACCATAACTCTGCACAAAATTATTAGACCGAAACAAAAATATGAACTTGATCTGTAACTTGTCATGATAAAACTATATACCAATTATCAATCAATATCATATAAGCATGATGAAAAAACATTAGATATGATTAATAGTTCTCTAAAATTAGATATGATGTAATACAGTGTATATCTATTTTCAAATTATAATCAAATATAATTAATAGTTCCAAATATATTTTCTTTCATTTGTCACAAACTAATATAGATTTGTAACTTATCTATAAAATGTCAACAACTTTTATCTACACAATGTAATGTATTGAAATATATACATTAATAAAAATAGATTATTATCTAATTAAAGGATTTCTCTTCATAATTTTTTTATATATATATATAGCATTCAGAAAAGTAGTTTATACTAAATACATGAAACAACAAACAAACCTGCCAAAAAATTCTTCAAATAATTTAACAAAGAATGTCTTTTTAAAAATGAGTTATCTCCCTTTGTACAGAAATATGGTTTAACATAGTACTCTAACATTAGATATGGTCCAGAGTTATGGTCCATAACTCTGGACTAAATCATCAGACCAGAACAAAATTCGAACCTGATCTATAACTTGTCATGATAATACTATATACCAAATATCAAATCAATATCTTCAAGAACGAAGAAAAAAAGTGTGGAAAGCTGATTTTCTGGACTGACGGATGGACAGACGGACAGATGGACAGACGGACAGACGGACAGAGTGCAAACCTAAAGTCCCCTTCGACTTCGTCGGTAGGGGACTAATTAAGATCAATTCTAAATCTGGACATTCTAAAATATAAATCACATCAAAATCCAAAATAGACATAGAATAAAGACTTATAAATATAAGGATTCTACAAGACTTTATATAGGTACTGAAGCTAGAAATAACTATAGTAAGGATTGTACATTGTGTAGGGTTTGCTATTTTTAATATGTTTTTTAATGTTTTTTTAATATAGTTTTTTTTTCTTTTTTTCTTGTTTGCTTTTTAGGGGGGTGGGGTTAACAAATAATCACAATCTTAATTTATTTATATAGTACTGTATGGTAACATATCGCACAAAATAATTACACTTGAAAGCATTTAATGACAAAAATGAAAAGTCCCCACATGGAAAATTTGAGACATAAAAATTCAATTCTGTCCAAAATAGGCATAATGTCAATAGATATAAACAATTCACCAAAGTTTCTTGCAAATTGGTGAAAGTATTTTTGAGTTATTGTCCGAAAACTGGAAAATCCCCCTTTTTTTAATGAATAAAATCCCATAACTCAGAAACTAAAATCTAAAATTTATAATCAAAGAGCTGATAGCTCTGAGGTGGAAGAAGATGCATCTCACGGTAACTTGAATTACCGTGAAAGCAGCCCACACCAACCCAGCCTGCTCTGTCTCATTATTGCTTTTGACGTATTTTTTCTTCAAAAATAATATTTTTTAATAATACTCATGTCTCAACCAAAACTGACTATACTAAACTAAAAAATCTACCAATACTGTAGATTCAAATTAAATTTTCTATAATTCAATACATTCGTCTCAGTATGGTCAACCTGATGCAAGCAATTATACTAGTAATTGATTAGGTTTCACTTGAAAGTTTTTCTGTCAAATGTAAATAGAACCACTAATTTGCTGTTGTTAATAATATCTGTTTTTCATCTAACATGTCTAATATTTTTACACAAAAGTACAAGGGTAGGAATGCACTTTTCTGTCAGGCATCAAACGGTCATTTTCTGAAATGTTTCATGAATGATTGACGGCAACAAATTATTGGTTCCGTACTCGAGGGTCGTAATGGGGGTACCTTCATGACGAATAAAGGTAAAAAGCTGGACTATTTATATGTTAAATCCCGTTTTTGATCACTTCAAACTTTGAAACGTAATGGCAATAAAGGTAATCATTGAGGACATTCTGACAATGATTGACATAAAATATGCGTACTTTTGATATGGATTCTGTCAACTGACATTAGTTCATGCATTGATATTTCTGTCAACTGACAGTGCATTGTTTGAAGCGAAAAGCACCAGCAGATTTACGTGTGCTTTTGACTCTTTATTATCGCAATAACATACTGAAATATATTCTAACTTTCGTTTGAAAAAACGCATGTTTTCTAAAACCGGAATATGACTTGATTGCGTTAAAGATCTGAACACAGACGGAACAACTCAAGCATCATTGAGTTGAAGTCGTACTCTCAGCGTAGATACTTGAAATTACCATAAGATGCATTGTTTGAATTAATGAAAATTCTGTTTATCATTATTTTGAAACTTTCGGATGCACAATTAAATTTCCCATTTATGCACATGCGCAAATACGAAACCAACGAGGTTTGGATTAACCCGAATAATCCAGTTATTTAATTCCAATTACTCCAACGAGAAACGGCAGTGGATAAAGGGCGCTGAATCATTCGACTTAGTTTCGGATTATAATTAAATTAACACATGCAGACTACCAAATCTACTTTAAAAACATCTGGTTACAAGTAAATAATAAATAATGTACATGTAAAATGAGATGAAATCTTATAATTGACATAATAAAAAGGCAGATATTAAAACATTAAAACATGAGAAATTATACCACTAACGATAGTGATTGTTTTTCAAGTCTAACTGTACATTTGTTTTATACAATGATGCAGATGCTATTTGACTAACTCGAAACCGATCATGTGTAAACATCGGTGTCAAGATATGGAACGGAAGTTATGAAATAGTAAAGCACAGAAAATGAGACGGCAACACACCTGGTGACGGTTCAAAGATTTTACAGCCGGCAGTATAGGATTTCAGAAGACTTCAAAGTCTTCTTCCACCAAAAACCGAAAGGGAGCTCATGTCAGTAGATATAAGCAATTCACCAAAGTTTGATGCAGATTGGTTAAAGCGTTTTTGAGTTATTGTCCGACATGTTATCGACAGACGGACAGACAGACGGACAGCAGTATACCATAATATGTCCCGTAATTGGGCGTATAAAAATGATTAAAACATGTCCAAACAAGAAGGAGCAAATCTGTATAAAATCTGCATGCAAATCTTGAATATTTATAAAAGAAAGCTGTTGAAGATAAGGATGACAAAAGCTAGATACAATTAAATAGCTATACATTTTTACAAAAATATGAACATGCACTTTTTCACTTACCATTTCTCCAGCCAGTAAGGAAAGGATCCCTAGTTCTGTCACACTGGTTATCCAGGAAGAACTCTGATAAACCAAGTTTATTGAATAAAGTCTGAGTTACAGATGCTGATAACTGTTCTGATAATTCTTCTTTCTGTTCCTCCAAGAATTTTGTAAGTGAAAACTCTATAAAGAAAATTGATATTAAATTCTTTAAAAGTTATCTGACTAGACTAGCAGTATACTAGTAATTCAAACAATGTTAATTTTGTTTTTCTTCACAAAACTTGAACTGTCTGCTCATTTAACACACACAGAGGACCTTTGAAGGTACATCAATATCTCATGTATGGGTGATTGTTTTTGGACAGTGAAAGTAAACATTGAAAAGAAATATTACAAATACTAATTTTGACAAATACAAAATAACAGATCATTTATTGAAATCAACCAATTGCTAATATGCTAAATATTAATTATTTTGTCATGTTAATTTTTTTATAACATTTTATCCAATTGTAATGAACTTGACTTTAAACTATCTTTATACTTCACTTTTTTACTAATGTTTGCATTTTTGTTTATCCTATTCTAATATATGGGCCTCAGGGACGATGAGCTGTATAACTAACTGTGTAGACCTCTTAAAATAAAGTATTGTTAAGATTTCCTCTTTAGATGATTGCCCCTTTTTCAGAGTGTGTTCCTGGGGTATGATATATGTTTAAATGGAAACATTCCTACATGTAAAGAAAACTTGTATTGTATAACCGACTTTCCAATCTTGTGTGTTCAGAGTTTCAGGTGACATCACTGAAAATTCCTCTTCTTTTAAATTACAACTATCATAGGACTTACCAGGTATTTTAAATCCTGTTCCCCAATTACAGAAAACTTTTGGAAGTTTATAATGATCGAAAACCTTCATACTCAAATAGCAGGTCTTCTTTGATTCAAAACAAATACTTATATTTAGGCTTATCTGGTATTCAGATGTTACTGATAGATCATCTATAACATATCTGTAACAAACAAGAAGAAACATGTGTACAGCTAACAGTTGCTTCTAAAATAGCACAATAATGGAAAGCTATACTGAAATTTCATTATTAAAAAGTATTTTTAAGGTTTATATTTTATGTGATTCAGTTCAGATACAAATAATGGATCTTACAAAGCCCATACTGATGTGGGGCATATAGTTTTATTAAAATAATTTTGGAAGAGCAAAAAAATGTGAAAAACATTGAAGATACAAGACTTTATTTATCTAAACTTCCTGTATCCAATTTGATGATCAGGCTCCATTATAATGGAATGAGAAACGTGGAAATAGAACTTTCCTGAAAAAATTGTTGAATGCAGAAATTGTTTAGAATAGTTGTATACAGAGATATATGATAGCACCTGGATCTCAAATATATAGCTATCTTTATTTTTATCAAAAGTAGACTAAGAGCGCTAAAAGACTCATACAACAAAATGTCTATATATTACTCACTCAAGTCTGACAACATTCATCAGATATTTTTTCTCAAGTGTACCTGGATTAAAAAAAAACAATAATAAATGATTATTCTTAAGATATAGCCATTTTGAAAAGGTCTATACTGCAAACAATTTTTTCTGCAACTACAATATATATCATATTAGGTTTCTTTAATGTTTCAGCAGTTTACTTATTTCTTAACCTAATAAAATCTGATCACTTTTTGTAAATGCGAATCATTGGGTTCACATCTGACATAAGGCTTCTAAGAAGTATTATCTGTCAACAGTTAGTTATTCAGAATTTCAGAGGTATGCTATATTGATTTTTTTTTTGTATGTGTACTCAGTAGTCTTATACAATTGTCCAAGAATTATTTGAAAACTTACACTTTGACTATATGCATTATACCATTAAGCATTTCACTTGCCAAAAAAGTATGGTACTTTACAAGTACATCAAACTGTTTCTAACAAACTATATACAACCTGTTTCTAAGATCTCACCCCACTTGTAGTCTAGAATGTTTATTTCCTGTTTCAACTTTTCAATACTAAATCTAATCTTCTGTTGACAAGCATCCATTTCAATATTGGCAAAGAACGATCTTTTCAGAAAATCAACACTGACACAACAGCTGATATTAGTGCACGTGTCATGCAGATTACAGACTGTAGAACTGGGTAAAGCTGGCAGGGATAAATCCTGGTTACATTCTGAAACACATAATTTTGATTGTCAAATAATAATTAACAAACTTCAAACAAGTTTATTGTTTACATGTATATTTTAAAAATTACTAGCAACTGCAACATTACAAAAAGAATGTTTAATCAATGAATACAAAAAAGTAGAATTGTTTAATTCCTGCAAAAAAATGCAGAAACAATATTATTGATATACCTTCCAAATCCCAAAGTTTTATGGAATTTGACAGTTTGAAATTTACTAATCTTCAAACAATTTTGCTTACATACATAAGAAAAAAAAGACAACATTCTGATTTTTTGTTCTATTAAACCTTCTACAGTCTCTCTTTGCATCTTTTTTGTGTGATAAAGTAAAACTGTATTATCTAAATAAACTTGCAGCCAAGCTTATACGAAAAATCAATTATATTCAGTAAGGGACAATTACCCTTGTGATGAATTGACATATAGACATGTACAACATAGTTATATTGCAATTGAAAAACAAAGTGATGCAGCCTTTCACTTGGTGCTGAGACATTATATCTTCATTGTTCCCACCATTTTTTTGATTTTTGAATCTTTATAAAAAATGTAATTCCATAATTTAATACTTGGTGCAGCCAAATTGTGCTTAGATGCTGCAGCAGTATTCTTATAACCAAATGTAAGTTATATAAAAGCTTGATTTCTGTTTCAAAAACTGCTAGGTAAAAATGCACAAATGATTTCCAAACATTTCCAAGAGTTACCTCCCATTCCCCAGCTTAACCCCTTAAATAAAGATTTACGACATCTTTTCCCTCTAAATTTACTGCATGTTTGATAATCGATTTTTAAAATATAGATGAACATAAGGCAACAAAACCTTACCAGATTTCCAACCATTTAAATTAGGTGTAAAGGTAGCTGATGTAAGAGAGCAGGGCTCTTCTCTTAGGTAACCAGCTATACCAAGATCTTCATATAATTTCTCCTTGAATGAATCTGTCAAATTACTCACTAATTCTCCAGCTATGGTAGTGTATTTCTCCAAAGAAAAGTCTAAAAAGGTTATAAATAGAATTAACAAAATCGTCAATTACTTAAATAAGCACAGTATTTCACTGCAAATTTTCATAACAAATCTGTTTCACTGATTTTTGCTTTTCATCTTTTCTTTGTTCTTTTTGTTTGTCACTAATATGTCTTTTCCTAAGCTTTTACCCAAGAATTATCATAATTGTTTAAAACAAAACTAAATTGCATCTGGTGTGTTGTTTTTATATTCTTCTTAAGTCTACATGTTTTTTTAAATTTCTCTATGCATACCTGTCTTATGAAAAATCCAGAGGCACGATTGTCCACTGAAAAGTTTGGAATACAAATGCTTATGAAGAAAAAGCCATATATATCAATGAGACATCAACCAGAAATAACCATAATATACCTAGAAGTCAACATACAGTCCTTAATAAGACTCTGGTAACAGACTAAACATGTACCCCTCTACTATGGTAGATAAGGCAAACAGATCTCAAGCAGATTAGAGATCATATACTCGCTCCTTACCAGGTAAAGAAAAATCAGCTTCCCAGTCACACATAATCTTTGGAATAACGGCATCTTTAAACACTACTGCATCATATAAACAAGGTCCAAAAGATTCAATACAAACGCTGAGGTTCACATTGACCTTGTATTTCCTTTGGGACTGTAAATCCTCTATATTGTAACTTAAAAAAAATATGTCTAATTAAAAAAAACTGTATAATTTTGTAACATATAAGAAACAATATCAATATAACTTGGCTGCATCTTTGTAAACTTTTGAAACAACTATCTTTACAAATAGACCTAATTATAAAACTTATCAAATAAACACTAAACAGTTATAAATTTCCAACTCATTTGAGTTTGATTAAAAGGTCTCAATATAAAAATAAGGAGATGTAGTATGATTGCCAATGAGACAACTATCCACCAAAGTTCAAATGAAGTGGATGTAAGCAATTATAGGCAACCGTATGGCCTTCAACAATGAAAAACCCATACCATATAGTCGGCTATAAAAGGCCCCAATATGAGAAATATGAAACAATTCAATCGAGAAAACTAACAGCCTAATTTATAACAAATCAATTAACTGCCCTTATCAAAAGCATTTCACGTATTAAAAAGCTATGTCTGGATATGACAAAGTAAGGCAACACTCTAATAGTTGGACAAAGCAATAAAAACTGTCCACTATTGTCATCAATAAATCATGATCATATTTCATTCTTTAATCATATACAACTTTTAAAGTGAAATGTTTTGTCATACTACTTAAACTCACCCTATTCTTACAAGTCCTTTTAGATTAAAGTTCTTTGTAGTACCTGTCAAGTGAAAATAAAACGTTCATATTTTCTAAATTGATTCTGTATTTTTTTTTTTGCAAACCAAAGACTTAAAAATCTAAACAATACTCATAAAGCAATATTTTTAAATTTCATTGCATTATGTCATACTAATATGAAATACATAGGGTATTATTTAAATCTGGAATAATTTTGAATATTTGAAAATTGATAAGAAATGTATGATGAAAACTATCCCAATAAAGGAGGGTTCACTGATATTTTAGTATGAACTAACCAACCTCTCCTTAATTATGGAGATTAAGATTATGCTTACCAAACTCATAGTTAATAAGACTGACAGGATCTATTTTTAGCTTCTCTATTCCAACAGTAAACATATTGTCACAGGTGTTAATGTCAATGTAGGCATGAAATGATCTGTGAAGAAAATCTACCTCTATACAACAATCAATGGCAGTACAATGATTTGGTATTCTACAAGTAGCTGGTATATTCAGTGGTTTTAATGGTACACCAAGTGGACAGTCTACAATATACAACAATGTATTTATTACCAACAAACAAGGAAATGAGCCCTATACAGTAATCAGAATAGTGATAGAGTATAGGGCTAAACCTAGTGGACATTCTATAATATAACAATTTAGTCAACCATTTCACTATTATGGGGTTACAGTAGATTTTTATATAGCATGGTGCTGCCAGTTTGATTTTGATTTATGAGTTTGACTATCCCTTTGGTATCTCCCACCTCTCTTTTACACCAGTACAATATCATAGAATATTGAGGGATCACTTTTTGATATGTTCTGTGGGAAATATTCTGACTTGGAGCCAACCAGTTTTTGTTCTAACATATGAATGCAACATGCTTGTTAGAGAATCAGAGAAAAAAAAAAAAAAAAAAAAAAAAAGAAAATATCTGTTTTCTGTGTCTTCAGTTTGACCAAGGAAAGATAAATCATTGGACACTATCAAAAGTAAAGAACAATAACATACCATTCTTCCAACCATTAACAGATGGACTGTATATAGAACTAGACCTCTCACATGAATTCTCCTCCAGCAAATGTCCTATACCCATTTCCTCTAATAAATTCTCCCCCATTAGTTTTGTTATGTCTTCTTTTGTTGGAAGAGATACTTTCTGAAGGAATGACTGCATAGAAAAATCTGAAAAATGACAGAAAATGATAGATTCTTATTTCATGGTAGATTTTTACGGTCAAAGACTGCATAATTCAAGTTTTATATACTGTGGATTCATTTTAATTGTTTTCATGGGTAAAGGTAAATACCGAATTCAAATGTTCAACAAATTACAAATTTTCTATAGGCTTTGTATGCAGAGAGTGGCAAAACTACGAAATCAAATATCCCTGAAAATGCAAGTTTTCTTCAATCCACGAAAATTGATACCCACGAAAATAAATGAATCCACAGTAACATATTATTGAGAATCCAATGTAACAAACTACATCTATCTCTTAATGACAAATTGTCTCAATGTTTGTTGAACTTTGTTTTTTGTGAAATATGTTGAAAAAGAGATGTCAAAGGGAGATAACTTTGTCATGCATTAAAAGTTCAAAGATTATCTAACATTGTCTCCTCAACATTGTTAATTTTGTAATTATTGTAGAAAATATGTAAAGAATCTGTTTCTGTCAGTAAACACAGCTTACAATCATTTAACAAATTACATTTTAAGATCAAACCTTTTTTTACGCTAGTGTCCCTTATAATTTTGTATGACTTCTTACCACAAGGAAGGTTGAATATTGGATCTTCATTTAAATATAATTTTTACCCTGCACCTGCTTTATACTAACATGTGTGGATCTATTCACCATTTGAACAGATTAAAGAAATGAATTTAAATAGTCATTTGAATTTTGTGGAGTATAATCTTCTGACTCTTTTGAACTACCTGAGATCACCTCAGATTTTTTATGGGGTTGGTGTTGCTCAGCCTTTAGTTTTTTTTTGGTGTAAAGTTTTGTAGACTGTTGTTTTTATTTCTTACCATGATTTGTCTGTCTCTCTTAACCTAGTTATAATTCTCCCTTTGGTATCTTCAGTTTGTTTTTGGAAAAAAATATTCTGTGATTAATTTGTATTTTAAATGGACAAGCCTCTTAGATATCCAAAGAATCATAACTATTTTAATATATATAATAACTTGATGTGTCCAGATGAGATTAAAACCTTTGCCTGCAGAAGGTCAAATATCAGTTTAATAATTCTGTGAAAATTAAGTTATCTGGATTGAAGTTGTTCTGTAACAAGCAAAATCAGAAACAATATTTACAGGCATAACAAAAAAGTGATCTACAATCACAATAATTGTTTAAATACCTGGTATATAAAATCCAGTATTCCAATCACATGGTATTTTTAGAATCATGGTGTCCTGTAATAGTGGAGAATGGTACAGAATTGTATCACCATCCAGCTTGACAGTCAAGTTCAGGTTTACTCGCACTTCATCCTCAGTATTATCTAGTGTGTAGCTGATAAAGAAGGAAAAACAAGTTACTAGAAAACTCAAGCATCTTGTATGCTATGAAAAAATAACTTTATTTCTTTACATATACCAATGCATAAGGGCTTATGCTACAATTGCAGATAGGCATGCATCCAAATTTACTTTGTTAACTAGATATTCAAAGTTTGCATAAAATTCAGAGATGTCATAAAATTAAGTTGGGTGAATTTGAATGCAGTTTCAAGTTACACATACATTCCATTTGTGTTAGCAAACAAAAATCACCCCACAATATAAAGCTAGAGGCAGATGGAGACTTTGCTATCTTTACTATCATCATTTAGGTCAAATAACTATTACTGTAGGAAGAGCATAAAACATAATTCAGAAAGGCAGATTTTTCTATGAATATATCTTTAGAGTGAAAATCAAAATTGATATTGGGTCAAAATTTCAGGGCAAAATTAAAGTGAAATAGGTTCTACCCTTAAAATGAAATGAAGTTGTGTCACATGATTGAACAAAAAGCTGACCAATGAAAAGAACTGATGGATGGAAAAATGATTTGTTCACAAAGGGATATTTATTCATATTATTAACAATTGAAAAATCCTGAACATTGTACTATATATATTTAAATAAAGAATAAATGTCTAGTTTGCTTCCTATGTTATAACTTACTCTAATGTAATAAAACTCAGAAGTTTCAGCTGTCCATGAACATCTGAAAAGACAAAAGAAATGTGAATGCTTGGAATCTACCATTCATCGGATGGTTTCTGAGACCAATTTGCATTAATATCTATGGGTAAACATATACATTTTAATCTGTCAAAAAAATTAGGATAGATATAAAAAAAAAAATTTGCAAGGGGTTGACCTAAAAAGTGAGTCCATTGATCAGTATAATACAGAATTTAAAAAAAAAATCAAACTTTTTTTAAGATGCTATTTCTTTTGTCATGAAGATAAGTATCTAGTTTCACAACAATCCATGAAGGTTTACAAATTTTTCTTGTCAAAAAAATTCAAACCCGGATTGTCTGTAAATGTTAACTATAAAAAAATAAGTCTATCTATCAGAAAAATACTGAAAAAAAAAATTATTTTCCAAACTTTGCTTCAGATATATCTCTTAATCATAAAAAAGCTTCTGCCAAAATTTCATGAAATTGTATGAAGGTTTGACAAGGTAATTTGTGTGTAACAAACTTCAACCCCAGACTGTAGATAGATATAAGAAGATGTGGTATGAATGCCAATGAGACAACTCTCCATCCAAGTCACAATTTGTAAAAGTAAACCATTATAGATCAAAGTACAGCCTTCAACACAGAACTTTGGCTCACACCGAATAGCAAGCTATAAAGGGCCCCAAAAATGACTAGTGTAAAACCATTCAAACAGGAAAACCAACGGTCTAATCTATATAAAAAACGAGAAACGAGAAACACTAATGAACCACATCTACAAACGACAACCACTGAACATCAGGTTCCTGACTTAGGACAGGTGCAAACAAATGCAGCAGGTTTAAAACATTTTAATAGGTGCCAACCTTCACCCTACCTGAAACAATAATGTTACATCACAACATAGAAAAACACACTATAAAATATCAATTGAAATGACTTAACTCAATCAAAAGACATATTAACAAAAACAAGTGAACATACACTGAACGAATAAATTTGATCTATGACACAATGTAAATACAAAATTAATAAAACAACGGGGTTAGATTAAAACAATATCAGAAAGACAACCATAACCTTGGACAAAATGCCGCCAAATAAAGTAACGTACACAGGTAAATTAAAATAATTTTGTTGTAAGGTATACATGGAGTACGGAAATAATTTTTACAAAATAAATAATTTTGTTGTTCCTAGTACGAGAACAAAAGTGAAAATGTATCTACTTGTTGTTGTAAAAAAATGTAAGTCCATTTGTGAGTAAAATACAGAAAATAGAAATAAACATTTTCAAAATTTTGGTCATAAACAAGCTTCTGCTAAATTTCATAAAATTCCATGCAGGTTTGACAAAGTTATTGATGTCTAAAAAATTTAACCACAGACTGAACCGAAATGTTGAAGCTGCCGACGGAATCTAGGATTGCTATATCTTGCTTTCGTGACATAAATGTTGCAGCCTCGACAAAAATTGAGTACTTTGGTCAGTAGATGATAAAATGTGAGGTCCACTTTTATAATGGTCATAGGCCAGAGTGACCTGTAGATATCATCAGCTAATCATGTAAACAATATGGACAACTCACCTTCTTCCCAACTGACAGTAATAAAGATACAACAAAGATTTATATAATAATAAATACCCAGTCTGCTGTCAAAGACTAATTCATTCTTTAACTTCTCTACAGCATAAGAAATCTTTCTGGAACAGATATCTAAATCCATGGACAAATGAACATTTCTTTTCAGGAATTTGACGTATACACAGCATTGAACAGAAGAACAGTTTGGATACATAACACAGTTAAAGTCAGGTGGTAAGTCAGGAAGTGTCATGTTAGGATTGTCACACTCTGAAATAAACAAATATAGCTTCGATGATCAGGTTCATTTCATGCTTTCAATTTCTAGCCATCCATATAAATTTTTTTGCAAAGAACTGAATTTCCAGAGAATTTCATTGTGTGAAAAGTGAGGTTTTTCTCGCCAAGAAGCCCTATTACAAAGGTATATTCATGTTTCACTAATTTTCAGAAAACTACATTTTAGATAAGGACAAGGGAATTGAAGAAAATGGTATCATTACCACCAAACTAAAATGCTTTGCACATATTGACACAGTTGTGGATTAAGATACCATATATAGGGTATTTTACACACGTGTCTAATTTTTTATTTGTTCACGGTAGCTAAAGAAACGCGAAAAAATTTGACACAGTGTAAATTTCACTGCATATTCCCAGATATATCCTTGTTTAAAAGTTTCATACATTATAAACGTATTCTGTTGATTGTCGAGTCTTTTGTTGTGTTCGGTAGATCACAAGATAGTGTATACTTAATAAAGATCTCTTTTTATATAATAATTAAAATGACTAATCATATATGGCACACCTTTTGACAACACAACAATCAGTGACAGGTTAAAAGATTTTAATTAGCGACGATCTATTGATTGGTGTCATAACACGAACATTTTGCATCTGATGTAAAATTAAAATCAAAATAAATCACATTTACACGGACATTTGTTTATCTGTAATGATAAAAACCTTCAATTTTTAGCATGCCCCAATGTCTTTACATATTTCATGTTCCTTGAAAGTTCACTGAATTATGTATCTGTCAGTCAATCAAGTTTATGTTGTTAACAATACGATACAGTTATTTTTTCGCGCCCATTCAGTTAAAATTATACACAATGAAAATTTAACCTGCCCATTTTGTCATCAAATCGTGAAAAAAAAGCAGACACAAAAAACCCTGATATATGGTATATAAAATACAACTTTATTTTCAATATTATAATGAGATCATACGATTTTTCCATCCACTACTGTCAGTATTATAGGTTTGTCTGTCACATTGTGGATCCTGCAGGTAGTCCGTGATTCCCATCTTTTCCATCACCTGTGACAGGAGAACATCAGGTAATGTGTCATCTATTGTTATTCCACTGTCTTGTAATAACTTAGATGGGGAAAACGCTGAAATATATTAAAATGAAAATACACTTCTTTCCATCACATAATAAAACTTAAAAATCAGCTTAACAACCTAGTCTACAAATCAAAATAAAATAAATGGAGAAAGTATCAATGGAACACAGACGATGCCCCGCTTGCATATAACGTTATAAGAGGACATAACTCAATATTGGTAAAAGTGATGCCACCCAAATTCGAACTTGATCTGTGTTTTATGGTATTAAGCATTGTGTATAAAAACATTTAGTTGAAGCAAACTAAAGTTAGAGAACGGAAACTAATTTTGAGATGTACGGACAAGGGTAACACTTATTGCTCAGGAGTTACTCATTTAGTCTGATTATTCATTTCCAGTTTATATTTTGTAAATTGTACTTAAACTGAGGTTGAAACTCCATTAGAAAAAGTTCATCTTAAACAGCATTTACCTCCTATTTGACCATTTTTGATTTAGACTCCAAATTTCCAAACACTTTACCGTGTATCTTTATATATGTGCACAGACAGTTGTCATTCATTTTATTTTTATGTGAGTACAATTAGTTAATTACTGCTACCGACATTCTGTCTGCCAAAAAGTCTGCTCTACAAAGTAGTCATTGCTAAAGTACTTACACGATTCAAATCAGATATCTTGATTGTAAATTGCCTATATTTGGTATCCGACAATGTTGTTCTAAAGCATACCCGTGAAGATCGTGTCCAGAATTGAACAGTATATGTTTCTAAAGATATTGTTATAAGGAATCTCCTGTTTATTCAGATGTAAGACAAATAATCCCAAAGGCTTTGAACAAACTATTTACCTGAAAAGTCAAAATTCCAGTTACAACCCAACTTGGGTAGGTATGAGTTCCGCAGAATTTCCAATGACATGATACATGGTCCTGAAGGTTCTAAACAAACTGTAATGCTCATGTTAACTACATATCTCTTCTCTAAGTCACTAATGGAGTATCTACAAATACCAGGAGAAAAAAAAATTATAATACAATTGTCTCCCCTTGAAATGCTCATATTAACTACATATCTCTTCTCTAAGTCACTGATGGAGTACCTACAAATACCAAGAGAAAAAAAAATATAATACAATTATCTCAGCTAGCTCCCCTTGAAATTTCATGTTGTAAAATTACTATGATATCATACTTTTAATGAAGTTATTTAAGCATCAAAAACATTGAAAACAAAATGAACCTGAAAATATTTGATATCAAGATATAACAAATACATCGTATAACTCAAAAGGAAAAATGCTTTCATAAAAATGTTCTGAGTTTATTGTATAATTTACAGTGTAATGCAATAAGTATTTTTAACTTGCATTTTTGGCTATATATCTTTCATTGAAATTTTTCAAATAATTATATTGAAGGCATTTATGGTTGGATTCTATCAAACTATGTTTTGAAAGGCACAGAATTGTCTGAGGTATATTGGGGTTTTTTTTTTGTCATAATTTTATCTTAGTTTTTTTTCACCTGATATCAATTTGCAATCATTTTTTACAATTTAATTTGGTTGAATTGTATAGCAAATTTCTGGGCCATAAGATAATACTTGTGTTCAGAAATTATTGCGAGGTTTTTGTTAATGTGAATAATGCATGCGACTGGGTATTAAGTATCGCAATAATAAGAACTGGCATTCTGATATATACTGCATGTATCTGTATGCAGCTTTTCCTGATATCGCAATAATAAATATCACATTTTTGTCCATTCTTCAAAAATCGCATTAATAAATCCTCACAATTAATTCTGAATTTACAGTATCTAAATTCACATGTTGACAATGAACAGTATGGAATATTTTACTAAAAAACAGCAAAACAAAGACTTATATAAAAATTGTTTTCTTACATTCCAAAGCTACTTACTTTAGTGTAATCAATTTACTAAGCTGAACTGTCTGTTCTTTATCTACAAATACAACTGAATGTTAAATTCTTGTTTTGATAGCTTCATGTATTGTCTTGTAAAATATGTATTCATGTTTTTTTTTCTATTGTGAAATGACATGAGGGATTTTTAAAGATTTAACAATTCTTGAAGTAAAAGTTTATTAAAAGACCCAATTTGGTGGTGTTACGTCTTACAAAGTCTATCCAAATTATTTTTGCAAAGAATTCCGCTCAAGCCGGTGCTAGGGGCCGTCTTATACTTGCAGTGAGGTAAGAGTTTTTTTGCTCCGTGTTGGAGGCCTCACTGTGACTTTGAGATGTAGAACAGCAATAAAAGCACTGTTCCTTTTTTTTTTGTGTTTTTTATTTTTTTGCTGTGCATGTACTGATTTTGTGTTATGGATGGATACCCCATATCATTTGTTTTTCTATTAACAGAATGTCTGAAAGCAGATTTTAATCAAAAATCTTAATTTGATACAAGGATTTTCCATTCTTTGGAAAAGTACTGATTTCTGCAATGAAAACAATTGAATAAAAGCAACTTACATTCAATCCTACAGTTGAAACTATTAAGATAAGATCAACTTCCTCTCCCTATTTAAAACATTAATAATACATACCAAACTCAAAATCAAAGTATGCCTGATGTATGGCCAAATTCTCTATACCAATATCCATTCTGTGGTTACAAGCATCCAGTAAAACATATACATGGAATGACTGTCTGATCTGTGGTATCTCTACACAACAATCTATACCTGTACAGTAGTCTGTCAGGTAACAATTCATATTATCACCCAAATCAGGCAGAGGTATGTTGCCAGGGCAAGCTGAAATAATTTTAAATAATAAAATACACACAGTATCATAATATCAGACCAGTTTATTATAAACGGGAAATTCTAAAGATTTAAGTACTGTGAATTCATTTATTTTCCTGGGTACAAACTTTTGTAGACTGAGAACAAGAGAACAAGTTGTACTTTTGTGGCTATTTGATTTCGTGGTTTTGTCAAAGTCCGCATACAAGCCTATTGAAGATTTGTACTTCGTGGAACATCAAAATATGTGGTTCACCTTTACACCCAAAATCCACCAAAATTTGTATTCCACGAATACATTTGTAATACTAAATCCACAGTATGAACAATTTGGCTCTGACAGCATGAAATGGTTCTATTCACACACTTATAAGCCAAAATGGTCTACTCATTTCAGGGTATCTGGTTTTTCAATTCATCTTGTTCTCAAGTTAACTAGTGAAACAGTTTATTTGAAGGAGTACAAACCTGTTTTCCATCCACTGTGACTGGGGGTATACAATGATGAAGATCTATTGCATGATGGATTCTGTATATATTCTGAAATACCAAGTTTTTCCAGTAATAAGTCTTTGGCAAATGATGGAAGCTGCTCTGATATGTCCAACTTCAAGTTTTCTGCTAACTCTTTCAGTGAAATATCTGAAAGGCAAGTTCAAATATTAGTGTAAAAATGTTAGAATTAATAACACAAGATAATGTGAAATTAATGGATTAATATTAAAGAGGCAGTATCTAGGGTTCTAGTACATTTTGTAAATAAAATACAAATGATATGTATTTCGATGCAAATCTTAATGTTCATTTCACAATAGTTATTTTTTATCAATATTTGTTTTTTCATTGGTACAACAAAGATTTCTCTGAAACCTGCCCATATTCATATGACGTAATAAAAACACAGACATACACTGTTCTGATAAATAATATTATGTTTTTATTATAACAGCCTTGAATCTTGGTAGATCAACAACTTTTATGAATTTGGCTCAAAATGAAATACTATAGTATAGAAGTTTTAGCAAGATATGCAAGAAAACTTGATTAATATAGGGATACCATGTTAACTGTTCTTCAGATGAGTTAAGGTGGCTGGGGCGTCTTAATTAAAATTGATAGAATTTTTTGATAATTTGTCAAAATGAAGTTTTTATCATGCTTTTTTCAAAAGTATAATAAAAAGTATGTGTCACCGAACTTTTTTTCACGCTAGAGGTTGTGCAAAATTGTCAGATTTTGTATAGATTATGCATGGAAAATCAAATTTTGTGTGATAAAAAGAAAACTACTTGATAGAACTTTAAGATAAAATGTGAGAAGATAGCTCTTAAAAGATGCTTTCAGATAAGAAAAAGAAAAAATGGGGTCACCAAACTTGTTTTCTTGCTACATATCAAAATAGGTAAAACACAACACTTTCTATTCTAAAATTACTTTATCTGAGTTATCTCCCCTTATTTGGCAAAGTTGAAAAAAATCTAATCAAACACAAATGAGGTGTTTTTGAGAAATTACAGCCGTAATTATGATAAAACACACAATTTTCTATATTTACATCAAAAGTCTTTTACATAAATTACATACAACTCTCAAAATTTGCACATTTAATGAAATATCTAGACCAACCTTATCTGCTACTTCGAAATCCAAGATGGAGGAAGACACCCAAGCCACCTTAAGCCTTTTTCAACTGATTTTTATAGTTTGTTCTTATGTTGTGCTGTGACACCACTGATTTACATATGATACTTTTAAAAGTGTATTGATTGTATTAATTGATTATCAAAAATCATCAAAAAAGAGCATCTTTGGCAAATGAATTCAAATACAGAAGTGAAATAATAATTATTTATATAAATTAGTATTTGTAAACACATGCTGCAACAAGGTCTATAGGTCATTACAAGTGATGTGGTGCACATTCTTGCATAATTAATGAGCTCTGTCCACCAAGACGACAAAAAAAAAAAAAGGATTTTTACTCTCAATAACGTTCATTACAATCCTAAATATGACATGAAACATATTTATCCTTTGATATGTAAAAAAAAAGGTTCTGTTCAGTTCTTACATGAAAACAAAAATTTTGCAGATACTGCTTCTTTAAGTAATGGTAACTATCTAGTATTTTGAACAATCTTAATATATTTTCATTAAATTATCAACCAATTCAATACATAAATGACAATTTTTTCCCAATAATGCTGTTCTACTAGTGTTAAATATTATTTGTATAGTGTTTTATGGATATTTTTTGGCAGTTTTATTTTCACTTTAACTCAACAATTTTCAGTACAACTTAAGCAACATTTTGAAAGCTTTTTGCTTTAAAATGAATGTGTCAAATTTGTTCAGGGTTCTTATGAGAATCACAACAAAAACTCCTCTGATCGATTGTTGGTTGCTTAACATCCAGTGGCAAATAGTTCGTGCATGTTCAGGACGATATATATAAAAGAAACAGGATAGTAGTTCATAACAAACCTCCAAATGATAAAGTAGAGCTGAGATCACATACAGGCTTTGGTAACCTGGCATTCCTTAAAATGTTAGATGTTAACACACAGGGACCTTTAGTTTCAAAACAAACACTTAAGTCCATGTTGATTAGGAACTGCTTTTCCATGGACAAATCTTGAATCACAAATCTGTAAAAGAAAGGACCATCTTAAAATAGATCCTAAATTGTACATAATATTTCTTTATTCAAAATTAATGTAAGTTAACTTTTACATTATTTATTGTTCAATAGAAAATTCTTAAAAGTTTTTATTCTTTTCCCTGAAGACCTGTATTTGCAGTCCTTAATGCTATCCCTTACTTCAGATCTGACTACTTCCAATGTATCATATTTCATATTTGCTGATATAAAAATAAACTATTTAAGGCTTTTCCAGAAATAAATGTATGGGGAGGTCGGAAGGCACTTTTATCTAACCCCGCCATGCATAAAATTTTAACTGATTATTTTATATAACTGTTAAGAATACTGTCTAAAATAACCACCACCCATCAAATTTGAATAAAAGTCCCTTCTGACCCCCTCCCCCCTTTTTTTCAATTAATTCTGGAAAAGCCCTTAGATAAATGGAGGAAACAGAAAGTTTGTAAAATTATTATATATGTTCCATTTATATGTATAACAACTTACTCAATTCTAATAATATTCTTCAGTGTAAACATTTCCTTCTGACCAAACTTGTAATTGATGAGAGATTTGTTGAAGGTAAGTTTTTCTATTCCCCCGGACAGGTAATAATTACAGGTATCCAGATTGAGGAACAGATTGAGTGACCTGCTGATCTCCTTCACATCTACACAACAGTCCATACCTGTACATGTATCATACATATGACAGCTCACTGAGCTAGGTAAAGATGGCAATGAAAAAGGTAATCCATTTTTACATCCTGTATAAAAAAAACATTTTAAACATTTTGTATACCATCACATCATTTTTAACTAATGTAGATGTTTCTTCTTAGGCCAGTTGTTAATGCTATTTGAAGTATTTCTGTGAGTGACATAATATACAATAACAATGGTGTTCAACAGATTCCAAGTGTGTTTGGAGCTTGTTCAATAATAGGAAAAAGCCTATCCAAGTATAAAGACCTGTTTGAGTTTTTCAATTTTACATCTTTTAAGTTACATCATTCGGCATGTAGGATGACCTCATACCATTAGTTAAGATTACCAACATTAATCCACATATTAAAGTCAATTCAGTAAATGATAAGTTTGCAAACAGACACATTCTCAAATAGGTACTTAAAATTCATGACAGTTTCAAAAACGAATTGCAGCAACCATCAATAAAATTACTGTAACTGTGCCATACTGATGATTTCCTGTCATTTCATAAGATTCCCCTTTTAACTGTCAAGATGAAGGACAGCAATAAAAGTACTGTTTCTGTGCCAAATTGATGATTTCATATGATTTTATAAGATATCCCTTCATACAAATCATGTACATAGTATTTCTTTCTCTATTTCTTTAATAAGCAATAGGGAAACTATTATAATGTTACACAAAAAAAATTAATAAAAGCAGTAAAATCTTGAAACTTAAACTGCTTTAAGATTACCATTGTTCCAACCAGTAGATAGGACAGGATTATAAGGTGCTGCTCTTCTGTCACAAGGTACATCCTTTAGATCCAGTGATATTCCTAACACATCCAGTAATTTGTACAGAACTAGTCCTTTAGCTATACCTACAGCATTATTATCTACTAGAAACTGCTTCAATGAAAAGTCTGAAAGAAAATTATATATTATCTTTCTATCTATCTCTCTGATTTCTCTAGAAATCCTAAATTATCTTTTTATTTGTTTCCCAGCTTTCCCTGAAAATCATACATTATCTTTTCATTTGTTTCCCGGCTTTCCCTAAAATACCTAAATCATCTTTTCATTTGTTTCCCTGAAAATCCTAAATTTTCTTTTTATTTATCTCCCTGCTTTCCCTGAAAATCCTAAATTATCTTTTTATTTGTTTCCCTGCTTTCCATATTAAATTTCCTCTGTTAAATTAAGATCAAAAGAATTTGAAAACTGTTGATTTTGTGGCAGAAAAAAAGAAGCCTATCTTCAAAGACTTTAAGAGTTCATAAGTCACACTGTGTAGCCTTTTTTTTTATCTTTACTCAAATATCAAACTGAAACAATGAAACTAAACAATATGGTTATAAACAATTGTATAACAATTTTTCAACTTTACTGTTAACCAAAAAGGGAACTTACCATCAAAATTAAAAGCATTTTCTGACCAGTCACAACCAATCTTTGGAAGTTTTGTGTTTTGGAATACAGTCTTTGTGAATATACATTGTGCTTGCTTTTGTAGGCAAACATTTATCTTCAGATTTAACATGAATTTCTTTTCTCCTTTTAGGTCATGTATTGAATATCTACAATAAACAAAAATAATTAAAAAAAAAAAGAATTTTCATATAAATATGATACCTGTCAAAATGGCTGCTTTTCAATTTACATCTATAATCAGAGACAAACACAGCCAGAAATTTGAAAAGACACATATTTATAAATATATAGGGAGCTTTACAGTTAAACTGTTGACTGCAATTGTATTAGCACCTAAAAATTACAACTAAAACAATTATCAAACATTATTACATTGGTAGCAATGAATTACATTGATTTCCCAGTCAAATAAAAACCGATAATTTCACATGTGAAATAAACGTGGTTATTTCACTCTCTGACGTCATACAACAATAGGCGTTGTCAAGACGTCGATAACGTCGGATCAAAACAAATTGTGAATGCGTAGAAAAAAGATATAGTTCCTTACATTTTCTACATTAATTTCATTAAAAAAAGCCCTTTGCCAATGTAATAAAAAGAATAACTAATCAAAGAATTCAAATATCGAAAAATATTCAACTCGTGACCGAACAACACTGATAATTAACTCATGCGCTACGCGCATTCGTGAATTAATGTGTTGTTCGGTCACTCGTTGAATATTTTTCTCTATTTGAATTCTTCGATTAGTTATTCTATAATTAAATAGTCAGATAGACTTAACGACTAATATTTAATTGCATGAATGCATTATTTTCCCCTGAAAGCTTGAATATAATTTTATTTACCAAAAGCAATGTTTGACTGGACACGCTATTAATTTATGCAATTTATTTCAAATAAATGATCTTAGTTGTTTAGAGGGTATACACAACATTGTACTTTCTTACTTTTTTACCCAGTTTCCATGAAACTTCTTTAAATAATGACTTCTATATCAAAATTTAATAATTTTCAGATACTTTTTCACGTGTTATGTGACATATCTCAACTGATCATGTGACCAAATATTCAATTTTTTTATGCAAACAGGTTTTAAGGTATAATAAGAAACTACTTTTTATAAAAAGTTGATAAGTTTACATACAGTATTAAGAAAGTAAAGGTTGATTAAAATTGTTCATGGGAAAAAATGCACTTGTTTATGTACAGAAAGAAAGTATATACTTACTCTATCTGAACTACTTCCATCAATGTCAAAATTTTTGTTTCACCTAGAGAAAAAGAGAAAACAAGTAACAGATATTTATTTTGTATGCAGTGTATTTGTAACAAGGATAAATCAAAGAATTTTTTTACATGGGCTTTTAGCATGGTTTTAATTGTTAAAATCATAACCACTAATTTACATTTGCACAGAAATTATTAAGCAAAAGTTTTATTTTCCACAATAAGATAGGTATTTTTACTTTGAAAAAACTATGTCTAAGTCTTAGATTGATTCCATCTTTATCAACAAAGAGGTTTTTAGGATCTGAGTACCTTTGTCTAATTAATGAACCAGGTGTCATCAGGAGGCAGTACTTTCACAACTGACATACACATGTACTACCTTTGAAATATATCTATTGACATATGCAATAAAAGTCCTATTACAAATATTTGTGAATCCATTGTTAGCACAACTTATAGTAGTGTATGAGTTGACCTACCCCATGTATAGTCTCTGAGGGATATTTCTATTTTTCTCCTTTCAATACCAACAGTTAGCCTCCAGTTACAACCATCTAACAATGCATAGGCATTAAACGTTTTGCCAATTTGGTCTATTTCTATACAACAGTTGATTCCAGTACAGTAATCAGGTATATAACAGCTGACTGAGGAGTCTATTGGAGGAAGGTCTAACTCTACTGGACAATCTGAAAACACAAATCTTTCTGGAATAAAATTGATGATTAGGACATCATCAGACGGACGTTACTGAAATGGACTATTTAAAAATAGAAAACAGAGCTGGGTTCTATCAGCAATATTTTTCATCCCATCAAAGCCAAATGAGTATTGTTTGTAGAAGACATTTTTGCAAAAAGTTATAAGGCAAAACTAAAAAGTTGAAAGAATTACAAATTATACAAGAGTGCACACGCTGAAATGTCTCGCCTTCTTTACTAATCATTGATATTATGTTGATAGTCCTAAATATAAAGCTTTATTACAACTGTCACATAAACTTAACATTAACCAAGTAAACTAAACATTGACCAATGAACCATGAAAATGAGGTCAAGGTCAGATGAACCATGCTAGGCAGGCATGTACAGCTAACAATTCTTCCATACAACAAATATAGTTGACCTATTGCTTATAGTTTAAGAAAAACAGACGAAAACATAAAAACTTAACACTGAGCAATGAACCTTGAAAATGAGGTCAAGGTCAAATAAAACCTGCGTGACTGACATATAGATCATAAAATATTTCCATACACCAAATATAGTTGAACTATTGCATATAGTATTAGAAAAAAAGACCAAAACTCAAAAACTTAACTTTGACCACTGAACCATGAAAATGAGGTCAAGGTAAGATGACACCTGCCAGCTAGACATGTACACCTTACAATCATTCCATACACCAAATATAGCTGACCTATTGCATGCAGTATTAGAAAGAAAGACCAAAACTCAAAAACTTAACTTTGACCACTGAACCATGAAAATGAGGTCAAGGTCAGATGACACCTGCCAGCTAGACATGTACACCTTACAATCATTCCATACACCAAATATAGTAGACCTATTACATACAGTATAAGAAAAACAGACCAAAACACAAAAACTTAACTATAACCACTGAACCATGAAAATGAGGTCAAGGTCAGATGACACCTGCCAGTTGGACATGTACACCTTACAGTCCTTCCATACACCGAATATACTAGACCTATTGCTTATAGTATCTGAGATATGGACTTGACCACGAAAACTTAACCTTGTTCACTGATCCATGAAATGAGGTCGAGGTCAAGTGAAAACTGTCTGACGGGCATGAGGACCTTGCAAGGTACGCACATACCAAATATAGTTATCCTATTACTTATAATAAGAGAGAATTTAACATTACAAAAAATCTGAACTTTTTTTTCAAGTAGTCACTGAACCATGAAAATGAGGTCAAGGACATTGGACATGTGACTGACGGAAACTTCGTAACATGAGGCATCCATATACAAAGTATGAAGCATCCAGGTCTTCCATCTTCTAAAATATAAAGCTTTTAAGAAGTTAGCTAACGCCGCCGCCGCCGCCGTAGCCGCCGGATCGCTATCCCTATGTCGAGCTTTCTGCGACAAAAGTCGCAGGCTCGAAAAAAACTGGACTAGTAGAAGACTTTCCATACATCATTTCTACAAAATTTCTATAAAATTGGGCTAGTAGTTTTAGATAATCAAAGCCTTAAAGGCTGTAAAAGCAATTGCTGCCATGTTAATGTTTTGGGGACTTTTATTTTTCATCCACATATATATAAGAATTAAACCTGACAGGAGTGTTGTCTAGTGAGAAGTAAGAAGGTTTTAACTTTATATCAATAAAAGACTTTAGCAGAAAGTCATTTGTTTTATATTTCACAAGGAGACAACACGTTTACCAGGCTAAAGTTGGGGTCAAATTTACATGTGCTGAAACATATAACTCAAAAAGAAATTATCCCCTGGTAGTGTTTGTAACTGGGCAATAATTTCCTTTATTGATTTAATTTTAACAATTATCATAATTAATTCAAATTTAACCATTCAATTAAAACATTTCAACTTTCCAGACACAAATGTTGAAAAACGGGAAAGAAATAAAATATCTTTAATACAAGACATAAACATGTAAAAAATAAATATATATTTCAGCTTACTAAAAATATTTTCATAATGTTACTTTGTCTTCATTTCTTACAACTAAGTCCCAAACATTATTGCTCAGTTGATATGTGTCATCCTCATGCGGTACGAGATAACTATAATTCTCAAGAATCCTGAAAAGGGGGGTCATCACAGACAAACATGACATTAAATCGTCATTATACGAACAAAAACAAACAGCTCTTCGTTGCTTTGATATTTATCAATTTTAAGGAAACATTGCGAAAAATTATCTTCAATATTTCGAAAACATGTGAAATAAAATTGCAAACACCCATGACCGTCGAGTGTCAACACACGAAGTAGACTCGTCTACTGGAAAGACGAGGATAATGGTTTCATCATATGTCATGCATACCCAGTTTTGATTATGATATCCAACAGGGCGTACTTTTTTTCAATCTATGAATCTATGAAACTAGAAAATTCCAAATTGTAAATATCTCTTCATCTGGACTTGGCATCTACCACGTTTTGACGGGTCCATTTCATTAGTGAGGTGATCGATAAATCTTACGGAGTTATGACAAAAAAGGAAAACGAACTTATTTTTATGTGTTTTTAATAAGGGTTTCGTTCCGCTAAATTATTTGCGCAAACAAATCAACAAAATAGGTCAGTTAAGTTTGTCTATTTTTAGATTACAGGTAATCATTTGACACTACGTATAACCTGTGTAGTGATTTTGATTTTACGATAAATTTATGAATGAACGATAATTTTATGAATGAACAAGAGCACCTGGCCTCTTTCTTAGAGAAACACCAATTAAACATATAAAACCGTATTTAATAAGAGATAATTCAGTAAAATTTTCAATACTAAATCAACAACTGAAATGATTCCATATTTTGTTGACACATCGTACGAAAAGAGAACGGAATCGCAGGTATAAAAATGCACTTTTTTTCACTCGGACTTCTATGTTTTTTGTTAGTCAAACGGTTGTCCCCCTAAATACAAAAATACATCTACAAGAACATATGCTGAAACCTCTTAAATCCACTAACGTTTTTCAAAAGTTTCAAGCTATGTATTGCATTAGAAAACATACATAGTTGTTTAAGAATGACAGACCAGGAGCCTGTTTAACAAAATACTATGGCTTGATCTGGGCGGAGTCTCTGATTTGCGTCACAAAGATGGCCATACGCGATGGCATTAAAGCAATTGCTTTAAAAATGTGATTTTCCATCTGGTTTCATACGGGTAATATGTGACACAAATGCTACTATGCTTGTCCCCTAATCAACATTAATTGAAAATAAAGCTTCAGAACAATTCACCTTGTTATTACAGAGATTTTAAATCTATCAAAATCAAAGTATGCACCTGGCAGCCATTTTAAAATGTGATCACAACCAAAAGAAACACCCTTCAAAACATCATACCTACAAAGTTGTTTTTTTTCTAAATTGGCCCTTGGGAACAATATATATTTTATTCTATATTATGCATGTAGTTTTCACCTAGATTCTGTAAAGAATGTGCACAAATAAAGTTTTTCACCTAGATTCTGTAAAGAATGTGCACACATATAGTTTTTCACCTAGATTCTGTAAAGAATGTGCACAAATAAAGTTTTTCACCTAGATTCTGTAAAGAATGTGCACAAATATAGTTATTCACCTAGATTCTGTAAAGAATGTGCACACATATAGTTATTCACCTAGATTCTGTAAAGAATGTGCACACATATAGTTTTTCACCTAGATTCTGTAAAGAATGTGCACACATATAGTTTTTCACCTAGATTCTGTAAAGAATGTGCACACATATAGTTTTTCACCTAGATTCTGTAAAGAATGTGCACAAATAAAGTTTTTGACCTAGATTCTGTAAAGAATGTGCACAAATATAGTTATTCACCTAGATTCTGTAAAGAATGTGCACACATATAGTTTATGTACTCCTATTATAAAAGCAATTGTAGTACGTAATCTCAGAAGGATACATTACAAGGTTAATTATGAGCATAACACAGGAACGTGTTAAAATCACCTTTTGTATTCCAGCCTTTCTCTGTAAAGACTCCACTGTATCTGTCACATGGCTCTGAACTCATGAAGTTTGTTAACCCAAGATCATCCAGCAGTTTATTTGCTACTGCAGTTGATAAGGTGTTACCGATTTCCTCTCCATTTGCTGTTAGCCAGGCATCCAAAGATAAATCTGTAAGTAGCAACACTGTGTGTATTCAATGTTTCTTAAAAAACCTTAAGTCTGCAAAAGCATCTAATGTTTTAACAAAGATATCAATCACAAATTACCACCTCTATGTCAATTGTAAATATCGGCATCATATTACTCTGAATTCAAGTCAAAGTACTTGTGAGCAACAAGGAGTTAAGATCGCTTCCATGTTGGTTTTTTTGAATTGTGAACTGCATGGTATAAGCAATAACACATATTAAGGCAATATTTTTAATTTGAGTTATCACTTTAAACAATATTTTATTCAAATAAATTGAATTGTATTGGGCAACAGACCAAGTTTATGTAAGCCCTCTCTACGTTACATCAATTTGAGTGATCTCCCTTTTTCCATAATTGTAGGCAGAATCATATAACTTCATACACCATTCACTATTTCTGCAAATTATGTAATTTTTCATGAAATAGTCTTCTTGGTCACGTATGGTAATACACATTATTTTGTAACTTAAAAATCGGAGTGTATATTACTGTAAATTCAGAAATTATTGTGTGCATTAATTAGTGCGAATTTTAAAAAATGGACAAAATGTGAGATTAATTATTGCTATTTCAGGAATATCTGCATACAGATATATGTATCAGATACCAGAATGTGAGTTCTTATTATTGCGATTCTAACCCAGTTGCATATAATTTCTGAATTTACAGTACTTAAACATTGCATGACATGGGCATGTATGAAAGACCGTTCATGTCAAAAACCTGATAAAGTAACGTTAATGTTTTAACGCATTAAAAAAATATTTCAAAGAGTTAATTGATTATTAACGTGTTAAGCACTAAACCACAAAAAATGACTGAAAAATCTTTCTACTTTCACCTAAATTACGTTTTAAGGTGTTAAAATTTATTTGAAACTTACTAAATGAAATGGCCACATGTGTCATATCTCCATCAATTAATGCGATAATGTTTACAGATTTTCAGCACATTTAAATATTATTGTCATTAATTATTTATTGCGTTAAAACAATAATTAACGCGTTAAAAGTTGTGGAAAATCTTTAAATATTACTATATCATTAAAAGCAAATTTAACGCTGTAAAAGCAACTTTCACGAGTTAAAAACAACAATTAATTTTAATGCGTTAAAAGTAGAGTCAACGGGATAAAATGAAGATTGAATGCTTTAAAACTTAAAAATGATAAATAGGAGTTTTATCGTGTTAAGCAAAGTTTTAATGCAGTAAACAATTTTTTAGCATGATAAACTAATTTTAACGCGTTAAACGATGTTCTAACATGTTAAAATAATGTGTAACGTAATAGTTTTGAATTTAACGCATTAAATGTGATTTATTATGACATATATGGCTAGTGCGACAGGTATTTTATCGAGATAAATGTCTTTTTTCACTTAAGGGTTAAATCTCAAACTTAATTAATGCAAAGTTTAAAGCATTAAATATATTGATTTCTTAATGCGTTAAAAACTGTATTTATCGTGTTAAATGTTATTTTATTGTGTGAAATGTTAACGCGTTACTTTATCAGGTTTTTGACATGAATGGCCTTTCATAGGCATGCTTGGGATCTACAGAATGTTCACCTCACTGCACCAAGTTGGGCAAGATAGAGATAAGTCCTAGAATACAAATAAATATAAATGTCAAGTGAGGGACTAAAGAGTTTGATTGTCCTTAGTGTAATCGTTTCCCAAATAAAACCTATTTCTTATTTTATTCCAAGAGTCTCATTATTTTACTTTTAAACTATGCTGAATTATTGCATATTAAAAGAGGCTAAACAGCAATCCAACAATACAAAAAATCTATAGGTAAGGTAAGGGTTTTCAAAAAGGGTCAATACAATGTCAAACTTTAATTCTTGACAAGTTTAGAAAAAGATGTGAACATAGAAATTCCTTAAAGGAGAAAACAATATGATATGGGTAAGGACAACTACTGTCAAAGATCTGGGCTTCAAACATGTACAAGGACATGCGAGTGTTTATCTAATGTTTTAAGATAAATAACCTTTGTATTTAGAATATACACCTAACTTGTATCTTTCGCCCCTCTTTTATTTATGAATCTGTGGCTAATAGCAAGTCATTTATATCAAAATTTGACCCTTTTTCATATAAGAAAAGTTGTGGATTACTTAGACTATTTGTTTCATGAGGTCTAAAGGTTTTACTTACCTAACAGCTGACCTTTCATCTCCATATCACAAAGAGGTTGAGAGATAAGTTGTTTATCAAATAATTTAAATGAAGTTCCACATACACTGCCCTCTAAACAAATTTTAAACTCCACATCTACAATGAGTTTTTTCTGTTCCTCCAATCTGTCAATCTTGTACCTAAACAAAACAAAAAGTCATGTTTTATTTTCAGAGTCAATAAATAGTATTTACAGGTTCATTAATTCTACATATATAAAACAACATTATATATATCACACAAAGTGATTAACCAAGACATCTTATTACATCATAAACTGTATGAAACTTCGTTGAAAACTGAAACACTTTTTAAAGTTAAAATATTGTTCCTTTTTAAATATGATTACCAACTCTTTTTTTGTTGTTATCATTTCAAATACTTGTGTTTGCTAATACTCACCGAAACTCTTCTAACTTCTGTGTTTGCTAATTATAATACTGGCCAAATCCTTACAACTTTATGTTTGGTATTATAATACTAACCAAATCCTAAAAACTTCTGTGTTTAATAATATGTACTCACCAAGTCCTTATAACTTCTGTGTTTGATAATAATCACCCAATCCTAATAACTTCTGTGTTTAATGATATGTACTCACCAAGTCCTAATAACTTTTGTGTTTGATAATAATCACCCAATCCTAATAACTTCTGTGTTTGATAATACTCATCCAATCATAATAACTTATGTGTTTGATATGTGTACTCACCAAATCCTAAAAACTTCTGTGTTTGATAATATGTACTCACCAAATCCTAATATTTTCTGTGTTTGATAATACTCTCTAAATCTTAATATCTTCTGTGTTTGATTATATATACTCACCAAATCCTAATAACTTCTGTTTTTGATAATACTCACCGGATCCTAATAACTTCTGTGTTTGATAATACTCACCGGATCCTAATAACTTCAACTAATCTTTCTTCTTTCACTTCTCCTGTAATAATATATATGCTTTATTCATTTTTGACCCTGGATTTCTTATCCTTTGTCATGTCGTGTTGGTGAGTTATTTTTTCTGATTATTTCTCCTTCTGATTTCTTTTTTTATTTCTATAATAACATTGCTTTTATTTTTCTCTTTGAACAAACACCAATAAAAAAGTCAACTAAACTAGAGGCTCCCAGTAGCCTAAGTAGCTCATCTGGCAAAATTATGCAACATATTTAGGTCATGTTCACTAATTTTAAATCTTATGTTGTTGCTTAAGTTTGTTGTTGAAACTCGAAAATGGATAAAAATCATCACTGGCAATGTCATTAACGAGGGTAAATTTTTTATAAAAGGTAAGACCTTTTACCACTTGCCAGTTGAAATTTTTGAGATTTTCCATCCAAGGACAGCCATGGTTTTATTTTCATAACTGCATAGAACAAAATGAAATGTTTTCATAAAAAACAACAAAAAATTATAGCAAAAAAGCTGGTTTCAGTCTGAAAATGAGATTTCCAATAGGGTTCATTGAGCCTACATGGAAACATTGCTGCCACATATGCCACAAAAGTATACCTTTTTCTACCTGGCATTTGTTACAGATGGGTTAATTTGGTTTATATTGGCTTTCCAACGTTTTCCATTCATTCAGTGGAACTAATCTGGTATAAATGCTGCAATGTATACCAGGGGATCAGTATAAAATGAGGAAATTTTTAATAGGGTTTTCTAAACCATAATACATATGCAGTGTGGGAGGTCTGACTTTGTGACTTAAGATGAGACAAAAGGGAAAATATAATATCACAATTAAGAGCAGCAATGTTTTTCTGGTACAGATCATCTTTGTAGATTCAGAAAAAAAGAATGAAAGTGTGATTCCTCTTAGAGTGCTAAGGTAGCATTTGTGGCATCATTGTTTTTATGTTTGCCATCAACATGAAAAAAATCTCTAAATGGTTCAAATAATGCAACTGGCACTATAGGCCATGTGAGTTCTTAAGAAATCCAATCCCCACAAAAGTTTATTAAATTAAAAAGTTAGAAAAACAAAAACATGTTGCCAGAAAATGCCAAAACAAAATTTTCCATACAATACTTAGATCAAACTTGCAACTTATTTCTCCTGTTTTTGAGAGACTGTTTTTTTTTATTGCAAAAATGTATTTGTGTAGACGTTTAAACAATGGAACATATAAATGTAGCAGCACTTGCATTCTCACAGTTTTTATTCAATAGCCCCTAAATCCAGAATGTATGCCAACAAAAACATAATAAATAGTACAAAATAAACCTTGAAAATTAGGACTTTATACATTTTTTATGTGAACATGACCCTGGTGTCCTAAACAAAATATAGTAAAGATACATGTAAAAATGATATATAATTCTCACCCCAGTTGTAATCAAACAGGGAAATTTCAAATGTCAGGGATTCTATTCCAGCTCTGATGACATATTTACAGGTGTCAATATACAGGTAAAAGTTCAGGTGCAGATCCAGGTAATCAAAGTCAAAACAGCAATCTACACCTGTACAATAATCAGGTATGTAACAGGAAGCTGGTACTGTGATAGGGGATGGTGTCATGATTGGACAATCTGAAACATAAGAATCCACATCTTACAATAATCAGGTATGTAACAGGAAGCTGGTACTGTGATAGGGGATGGTGTCATGATTGGACAATCTGAAACATAAGAATCCACATCTTACAATAATCAGGTATGTAACAGGAAGCTGGTACTGTGATAGGGGATGGTGTCATGACGGGACAATCTGAAACATAAGAATCCACATCTTACAATAATCAGGTATGTAACAGGAAGCTGGTACTGTGATGGGGGATGGTGTCATGATGGGACAATCTGAAACATAAGAATCCTTATCTTACAATAATCAGGTATGTAACAGGAAGCTGGTACTGTGATAGGGGATGGTGTCATGATTGGACAATCTGAAACATAAGAATCCACATCTTACAATAATCAGGTATGTAACAGGAAGCTGGTACTGTGATAGGGGATGGTGTCGTGACGGGACAATCTGAAACATAAGAATCCTTATCTTACAATAATCAGGTATGTAACAGGAAGCTGGTACTGTGATAGGGGATGGTGTCATGACGGGACAATCTGAAACATAAGAATCCACATCTTACAATAATCAGGTATGTAACAGGAAGCTGGTACTGTGATAGGGGATGGTGTCATGATTGGACAATCTGAAACATAAGAATCCACATCTTACAATAATCAGGTATGTAACAGGAAGCTGGTACTGTGATAGGGGATGGTGTCATGATTGGACAATCTGAAACATAAGAATCCACATCTTACAATAATCAGGTATGTAACAGGAAGCTGGTACTGTGATAGGGGATGGAGTCGTGATGGGACAATCTGAAACATAAGAATCCACATCTTACAATAATCAGGTATGTAACAGGAAGCTGGTACTGTGATAGGGGATGGTGTCATGATTGGACAATCTGAAACATAAGAATCCACATCTTACAATAATCAGGTATGTAACAGGAAGCTGGTTCTGTGATAGGGGATGGTGTCATGATTGGACAATCTGAAACATAAGAATCCACATCTTACAATAATCAGGTATGTAACAGGAAGCTGGTACTGTGATAGGGGATGGTGTCGTGACGGGACAATCTGAAACATAAGAATCCTTATCTTACAATAATCAGGTATGTAACAGGAAGCTGGTACTGTGATAGGGGATGGTGTCATGATTGGACAATCTGAAACATAAGAATCCACATCTTACAATAATCAGGTATGTAACAGGAAGCTGGTACTGTGATAGGGGATGGTGTCGTGACGGGACAATCTGAAACATAAGAATCCTTATCTTACAATAATCAGGTATGTAACAGGAAGCTGGTACTGTGATAGGGGATGGTGTCATGACGGGACAATCTGAAACATAAGAATCCACATCTTACAATAATCAGGTATGTAACAGGAAGCTGGTACTGTGATAGGGGATGGAGTCGTGATGGGACAATCTGAAACATAAGAATCCACATCTTACAATAATCAGGTATGTAACAGGAAGCTGGTACTGTGATAGGGGATGGTGTCATGATTGGACAATCTGAAACATAAGAATCCACATCTTACAATAATCAGGTATGTAACAGGAAGCTGGTACTGTGATAGGGGATGGTGTCATGATTGGACAATCTGAAACATAAGAATCCACATCTTACAATAATCAGGTATGTAACAGGAAGCTGGTACTGTGATAGGGGATGGTGTCGTGACGGGACAATCTGAAACATAAGAATCCTTATCTTACAATAATCAGGTATGTAACAGGAAGCTGGTACTGTGATAGGGGATGGTGTCATGATTGGACAATCTGAAACATAAGAATCCACATCTTACAATAATCAGGTATGTAACAGGAAGCTGGTACTGTGATAGGGGATGGTGTCGTGACGGGACAATCTGAAACATAAGAATCCTTATCTTACAATAATCAGGTATGTAACAGGAAGCTGGTACTGTGATAGGGGATGGTGTCATGACGGGACAATCTGAAACATAAGAATCCACATCTTACAATAATCAGGTATGTAACAGGAAGCTGGTACTGTGATAGGGGATGGTGTCGTGACGGGACAATCTGAAACATAAGAATCCTTATCTTACAATAATCAGGTATGTAACAGGAAGCTGGTACTGTGATAGGGGATGGTGTCATGATTGGACAATCTGAAACATAAGAATCCACATCTTACAATAATCAGGTATGTAACAGGAAGCTGGTACTGTGATAGGGGATGGTGTCATGATTGGACAATCTGAAACATAAGAATCCACATCTTACAATAATCAGGTATGTAACAGGAAGCTGGTACTGTGATAGGGGATGGTGTCATGATTGGACAATCTGAAACATAAGAATCCACATCTTACAATAATCAGGTATGTAACAGGAAGCTGGTACTGTGATAGGGGATGGTGTCATGATTGGACAATCTGAAACATAAGAATCCACATCTTACAATAATCAGGTATGTAACAGGAAGCTGGTACTGTGATAGGGGATGGTGTCATGATTGGACAATCTGAAACATAAGAATCCACATCTTACAATAATCAGGTATGTAACAGGAAGCTGGTACTGTGATAGGGGATGGAGTCGTGATGGGACAATCTGAAACATAAGAATCCACATCTTACAATAATCAGGTATGTAACAGGAAGCTGGTACTGTGATAGGGGATGGTGTCATGATTGGACAATCTGAAACATAAGAATCCACATCTTACAATAATCAGGTATGTAACAGGAAGCTGGTACTGTGATAGGGGATGGTGTCATGATTGGACAATCTGAAACATAAGAATCCACATCTTACAATAATCAGGTATGTAACAGGAAGCTGGTACTGTGATAGGGGATGGTGTCGTGACGGGACAATCTGAAACATAAGAATCCTTATCTTACAATAATCAGGTATGTAACAGGAAGCTGGTACTGTGATAGGGGATGGTGTCATGACGGGACAATCTGAAACATAAGAATCCACATCTTACAATAATCAGGTATGTAACAGGAAGCTGGTACTGTGATAGGGGATGGTGTCGTGACGGGACAATCTGAAACATAAGAATCCACATCTTACAATAATCAGGTATGTAACAGGAAGCTGGTACTGTGATAGGGGATGGTGTCGTGACGGGACAATCTGAAACATAAGAATCCACATCTTACAATAATCAGGTATGTAACAGGAAGCTGGTACTGTGATAGGGGATGGTGTCGTGACGGGACAATCTGAAACATAAGAATCCACATCTTACAATAATCAGGTATGTAACAGGAAGCTGGTACTGTGATAGGGGATGGTGTCATGATTGGACAATCTGAAACATAAGAATCCACATCTTACAATAATCAGGTATGTAACAGGAAGCTGGTACTGTGATAGGGGATGGTGTCGTGACGGGACAATCTGAAACATAAGAATCCACATCTTACAATAATCAGGTATGTAACAGGAAGCTGGTACTGTGATAGGGGATGGTGTCGTGACGGGACAATCTGAAACATAAGAATCCACATCTTACAATAATCAGGTATGTAACAGGAAGCTGGTACTGTGATAGGGGATGGTGTCATGATTGGACAATCTGAAACATAAGAATCCACATCTTACAATAATCAGGTATGTAACAGGAAGCTGGTACTGTGATGGGGGGATGGTGTCATGATTGGACAATCTGAAACATAAGAATCCACATCTTACAATAATCAGGTATGTAACAGGAAGCTGGTACTGTGATGGGGGGATGGTGTCATGATTGGACAATCTGAAACATAAGAATCCACATCTTACAATAATCAGGTATGTAACAGGAAGCTGGTACTGTGATGGGGGGATGGTGTCATGATTGGACAATCTGAAACATAAGAATCCACATCTTACAATAATCAGGTATGTAACAGGAAGCTGGTACTGTGATAGGGGATGGTGTCATGATTGGACAATCTGAAACATAAGAATCCACATCTTACAATAATCAGGTATGTAACAGGAAGCTGGTACTGTGATAGGGGATGGTGTCATGATTGGACAATCTGAAACATAAGAATCCACATCTTACAATAATCAGGTATGTAACAGGAAGCTGGTACTGTGATGGGGGGATGGTGTCATGATTGGACAATCTGAAACATAAGAATCCACATCTTACAATAATCAGGTATGTTTTTCCACTTTATTCTATGGTCCTCTGCTTTTTAAATAAGCACAAATGGTAAAGCTCAGTCACTTGTCAAAAATTGAAAGATGTCCAATATCACTGCACAGAGACTTTTAATTTGCGCACTATTTTTGCATGCCTCAATTTGAGGTGCATTAGGGATATGGACCAATAGGTAAACTTTTAGATATGTGTTACTCTCAGACCACTAATCTTACCATTTTTCCATCCATTTGTTGCTGGACTGTAAGATGTGCTGTTTCTGTTACAACTAGGTTTTTTCAGTAATATATCCAACCCCAGCTGTTCTATCAATAGTTGTTTGAACTGTGAATCAAGCTGCTGTCCAATGTCTGTTCCAACTCTATCAGCCCAATCAGTCAAAGAAAAATCTGAATATAAATGAAGCATAATCAGTATATAGTCAAACCTGTATTCTGCAGTCACAAATGGGAAGTATCAAAAGTGACCCTTTAAAAGAGGTTCAGAAAAATTCTGAATCAGGCATCAGAGTTGTCTCATTAGCAATTATACCACATCTTCTTATCTTAATATTTACTGCAGGGTTTGTTGCTTGTGCTGTGTGGATGCAGAAGAATGTGTCCCCGTGCCTGTAATGTATGCCCTTATATTTTACAGTTAGGGTTTTTTGGTTTTGAGAGCTGGCTACATATTTCATAATATTAATTCTATTTTGACTGTATTTTCTTTGTCATTTGGTCTCTTGTGAAGAGTTGTCTCGTTGGCAATTATACCACGTCTTCTTATTTTTATATTTACTGCAGGGTTTGTTGCTTGTGCTGTGTGGATGCAGTAGAATGTGTCTCCGTGCCTGTAGTGTATGCCCTTATATTTTTTGTTTTTTGCTTGTGAGAGAGCTGTCTACATTTTTCATAATATTAATTCTAATTCTTTTACTGTATTTTCTGTGTCATTTAGTCTCTTGGCAATTATACCACATCTTCTTATTTTTATCAGGCCAGGATCATGGCAAATTGTTTTAGTATTTACAATTGCTAGAGTTATGTGATACAGTTTTCAATGGAAACTGAAAGGAGTGGAACAAGGGGAATTTACAAATCAAATTCCGCTCCTATAACATGATCTCGGCTGGAAACGGGTTCTGATTCTTATTATGTCTCTGATACTGAACACATATATTTTTCATTATGATTATATTGGTAGTTAATACATTATAATGACCTTGGTTAAAAGTTGAAATGACGATTTTGTGGGAAAACTAGGTGACAGCAGACCATGTAAGACAGGAGCAAGCAAGAGAAGAGTTTAATTATATAGAGACAACATTTGGGAGGGTCTGAAAGTGACTGTTAGAGGCAGGTGACAGCTGAAATGAGGTGACCATTAAGGCATGTTTGACTTTAAATGAAACTTCATGAATAATAATAATAGTAAAAGACTTATTTTCTTAAAGAATTTAACTTTATCCTTATCTTGATGATCTTGTTACCTTTAATTTTTGTCTAGAACACCCTAATTGTTTTTGGCACATCAACATACACCTTATCACTATTTGTCCGCCATTGCTGGACATCACAGAAGTTCTCGTAAAATTTTTAAGTCACAAGAGAATATGTCTGACGCCACAAAGGAAAAGTGATTGTTGTATGACGTCAATAGTTCAAGTGTCACAGATCCCCAAATAGTGATAAGGTCTATTTAATCCATAAATACTATTGATTAAAAAATTAAATCACATTCCAAGTAAAACGTGTTACACTGTGTTTTTTTCTGCCTTTTAGTAACTTACAGATTTTCAGTGCAACACTTCGAAATGTGACTTAAGTGTTAAGCAATTGTAAATATAAAAACGAGAACTAAAAAAAGGCACTTTTTTTTTTGTTCTTTAAAACTTTTTATTAATATCTTAAGAGAAATGAAGGCTTCAGAGCAAATGCAATGTGATTTCCATTATAATTTATATTTCCAAGGGGCATAGTTTGCTAAAAATATTTGATTAGAACTTATTTTCGAAAGTGTCAAAGACATTGCTGATATAAACCTATGATATAAGTTTCATAAAATTCTGGGAAGAATTGAACACATGAGAGCGATAACATTGCAATTTTCCATATAATCAATATTTTCGAAAAGGCATAACTCTTTTAAAAATAATTGATCAGCACTGATTTTTTTGAACTCTTCAAGTACATTGATGATATAAACCTATAATACAAATTTTATAAAAATCTGGCAAGAACTGTACACATTAGAGCACTCATAAGGCAATTTTCCATATAATTATAAATATTTCCAAGGGGCATAATTCTTTTAAAAATTATTGATCGGCACTGATTTTCATACTCCTCCAAGACATTGCTAATATAATTCTATAATTAAAGTTTCATATAATTCTGTCAACAATTGTACATATGAGAGCGATAACAATGCATTTCTCCATAAAATTTATTTTTCCAAGGGGTATAACTCTTTTAAAAAAAATTGATCTGCACTGATTTTTGAACTCGACCAAGACATTGCTGATATAAACCTATGATATAAGTTTCATTAAAGTTGGCAAGAATTGAACACATGAGAGCGCTAACGATGCAATTTTCCATAAAATTAATGTTTGAAAGGGGCATAACTCTTTTAAAAATAATTGATCTGCACTGATTTTCGAACTTGTCGAAGACATTAATCATTTAAACCCATGATATAAGTTTCATTAAAACCTAGAAAGAATTGTACAAATGAGAACGCTAACAATGCAATTTTCAATATGATTAATGTTTCCAAGGGGCATAACTCTTTTAAAATAATTGATCGGCCCTGATTTTCAAACTCGTCCTAGACATTGCAAATATAAACCTATGATATAAGTTTCATAAAATTCTGTCAAGAATTGTACACATGAGAGCGCTAACGATGCAATTTTCCATAAAATTAATGTTTCCAAGGGGCATAACTCTTTTTAAAATAATTGATCGGGACTGATTTTCGAACTCGTCAAAGACATTGCTGATATAAACCTATGATATAAGTTTCACAAAAATCTGGCAAGAATTGTTTACATGAGAGCCCTAACAAGACCTGACGGAAGGACGGACACCCGGTATTTCCATGTCCCCCACAACACAGGGGACAATTCAATATACTTACTTTTCAAGTTAAAGTTGGCATTCATGTCACAGACAGGTTGAGGTATTTCTGTACCATCAAAGATCTTTACATTAGGAATACAAGTTGATTTGAAGCAAGCCTTTGCTGTCATATCCACAATGAATTTCTTCATCTCTGCTGGTTTCTTTATTGTAAGTCTACAAAAAATTTATATAAAACTCTTAAAAAAACTTACTTTAAGTTGGCAATTCTAAATCAGTATTGCTTTAATGACAACTAGAGGTACTTCTAGCAAAACTAACATAATGATACTGTCTCCCCTTGTCTTTATCTTATACAAATTGTTGACCTTAACCTTGCACACACTCAATTACAAGTAAATTCACAAAACACTAATATCAAATATCATTTATTACCTTCTAGGCATTCAAAGTTCTAAGTTAGACTTAACATTGTATATTTCACTATTGAAATGTAAAATTGAATTATGGCAGAGGTTAAATACTATTTCTACTTCTGATTTGAAATGGTTTGCATCTTTAAGAATTCATTGCAGTGTATTAAAGTTAACAGTCCCATGAATGAATTTAATTTTGCTTGTCTGTTACTTCAAAGCTATACATTATATTAACATTCTCAACCACATAAAGAAAGTCTATCTAGATTTTGCTTCATTTTGAAAATTCCTCTTTGCTATTCCTGAAGGACACCACTTAATTAGCTTACCCTGACATATTTTCATCAAGATAAGGACAAATAGTAAAATTACTTACTCCAACTGGATAATGCCATTAGCAAGAGATATCTTTTCTGTCTTTCCTACAAAAACAATTAAATAATATACACAATGTTTTCTCTTTTGGACAATAAGGTTGTTTATGATTGGTTTTTTCGTTTCCTATGTCAAAAAGTATTGATAGTCCCTGTAAGAAATCCTTTATTCACTAATTTTCAACAACTTTTCACGTTGATTTTTAAAAGTTGATGGCAATACCAAACTGATTTAAATATATAGGTGCAGTTCAGGGCTTCCAAAATGGTCGTATTTTCCGGACAAGTCCGATAGATTATACAAATGACTTGTTGTGCCAAGGCTAAAACGGACATTTAAATATAGTTCAGAAGAAAAATTGAAGTTTATGCGATCTTTTTGACCTGACCTTTGGCCTTAAACAGTCACACATTTCCGGTCATATAAGTGACATGATTGATAATTACTATCAAAACAGACCCTACTATAATACCCTCTAATTACAATCGAGGTTAATTAGTTCTCTGACAGCTGATTTTACCTGTTCAGGCGACATGTAAACTATTTTGTACCTCTGACAGCTGATTTTACCTGTTCAGGCGACATGTAAACTATTTTGTACCGGACATTGATCTGTCTATTAATAGTTATTGTCTTAAATTTCAGCGGTTTGCATCTAATTAATTTAGTCAACAAGATTCAGATTACCAGAAAACGTATATTAATATCATTTGATGAAAATCTAAAAAGATAGTAATAAAGGTTTTAAGTGAAAAATTGTCAGAACCACGTTGTTTGAACGTATACTCGTGCGCATGTGCCCAGGTGTGAGATTAACTTTGTAAACCTACACAGATTTTACCAATCCGTCTCAGGTCTGTGTTTTAACATTGTCAAGTCAACATCCAGTAATAGGAAAAGTACTTTTTAAAAACAAAAGTTATTGACAGCGTAATTTTGCACAATTACAGAGCCTTAGGCAGATATAAGTACGCTGGTTTTGCACACTTCGAAAGGTGCACTGTCAATTTAACAGTTAACGCCAGAACATCGATTTGTATTAAAAATTTGTAAGGGTTCCGCTGAACCCAGTGTCTCGCCTACTTTTGCTGTTAGTCGCAGGCTCAACAAAAATGGGGAAATAATTATTGAAAATTTTCCTCTAGATACTATCTTTTGAATGTAAGAAGCTTCTGTTCAAGTTTGGTAAGAATCAAGGATGGTTTATGAATCTAATTAATGTTTTAAAAACTTTAACTGAAGACTGTATGTAATGTTAACTGGAAGAAAAACTAAGTCCATTTATAAGTAATATACGGAAAAACAGTAAATTTTTTTTTACAAAATTTCCTTTTGAATACTATCTTATGATCATAAACAAGCTTCTGTCCAAGTATGGTACAAATCCAGGATAGTTTAAGAAAGTTATTAAAATTTGAAAAACTTTTACCACAGAGTGAATGTAATGGTAACTAGCAGAAAAACTAAGTCCATTTATAAGTAAAATACAGATAAACAGGATTTTTTTTTTTAACAAAATTTACTTTTGAATACTATCTTATGATCATAAACAAGCTTCAGTCCAAGTATGGTACAAATCCAGGATAGTTTAAGAAAGTTATGAAAATTTTAAAAACTTTAACCACAGAGTGAATGTAATGTTTCCTGGCAGAAAAACTAAGTCCATTTATAAGTAAAATAAGGAAAAACAGGATATTTTTTTTACAAAATTTACTTCTGGATACTATTTTATGATCATAAACAAGCTTCTGTCCAAGTTTGGTACAAATCCAGAATAGTTTAAGAAAGTTATTAAAATTTGAAAAACTTTAACCACAGAGTGAATATTTGTGGATGCCGTTGACAACGACGGAATGTAGGATCACTATGTCTCGCTTTTGCGACAAAAGTCGCAGGCTCGACAAAAATCAAGTCAAATACCATTTTTGTGTCAATCATAATTTATATGATACCCAACTGATTACTATGGTTGCCTTTTATTTCTAAGTCTTAAGGGATTATAATCGGGAAAAGACAACAACAAAAAAATGTCCGGCTGGCTCAAATATTTTTTGGAAGCCCTGGTGCAGTTTCATTAATGAATACCCCATGCCTCCTTTTTATTCATAAACAATTTCTGCTATCAATTGATGTTACCATTGTATTTAAACTTTCAAAACAGAAGTTTTACTAACGATAATTATTATACTAACCCCATTCATAATTAATAAGTTTGATAGTTTTGTTGATTGTGTTGATGCCATAATTGATAGTGTATTCACAAGGGTCGATGAAGATGAATGGATGTAAGGTCAGGTCAAGATCTGGAATGGTTACACAACATTCTATACCGGTACATGTGCTTGTGTAATGGCAAGACATCTGGTCAGGTAAAGCAGGCATACCTAGACTACCTTTTGGACATTCTGAAAACAAAACAAATAAATTTAACTTCACAAGAAAACTACCTCACATGTTACATATTAACACAAAGGGATGAAAAAATGAGCTTTTTCCATTCAGTTAAACCAATAGTATTAAAGAGGGGCTTCCTTTTGGAGGTGCTGGGTACATACATCCTGAGATCCTGTTGGAATGGGGACTTTAAATCTGATGATTCGTGTAGGAAGCATACCTTTCTATTACAATGCACAAATAAGAAGCCTTGCAGCAACTTTTGGCTGTCTAAAATATCATCCTGTAATCCCTTTTTACCAACTTTTAGTTAGGTGGGGGTCTAAATTAAAATCCATAGAATTTTTTACTAATTAGCAACACTATAGCTCATATCAGGCTTTTTTTTTTTAAATATAATGAAAATAACGGGTCACCTGGCTTTTTTTCAAGCTATAGTTTGTTCCAAATTGTCAGATTTTGTATGGATTATGCATGAAAAACCCAATTTTGTGTGATAAAAAGAAAACTAAACAATAGAACTCAGAAACGTAAAATCTAAAATTTATAAAAATCGAAAGGGAGCTCTTGTCAATAAATATAAACAATTCACCAAAGTTTCATGAAAACTGCTCATAGAACTTTTGAGTTATTGTCCTAAAACTGGAAAATCCACCTTTCTTAATGAATAAAACCCCATAAATTGGAAACGTAAAATTCAAAATGTATAAAAATCCATAGGGAGCTCAAGTCAATAGATATAAACAATTCACCAAAGTTTCATGAAAACTGCTCAAAGCATGTTTGAGTTATTGTCCGAAAACTGGATAATCCCCCTTTTTTAATGAATAAAACCCCATAACTAGGAAACGTAAAATCCAAAATTTATAAAAATCCAAAGGAAGCTCACGTCAATAAATATAAACAATTCACCAAAGTTTCATGCAAATTAGTTAAAATTTTTGAGTTATTGTCCGACATGTTGACGACAGGTTGGACAGATGGACAGACGGATTGACGGACAACGGTATACCATAATAAGTCTCGTAAATTAGATACAACTGACTGTGTACCAGATTTTTAAAAGACTTAAGACGTTTAAAGACACAACAAATTTGTACATGTTATCAGTGTTGAAATGAGGCATGGAAGTTACAAAGTTGTAAAGCAAAGACAGGATTACGGTATGACTCCTTGAAACTTTTCATTGATGTTAGAAACAGCTGGCAGTATAGGATTTCAGAAGATTTGAAAGTCTTTTTCCCCAAAAAAACCATCCTCCATTGGATTTATTGTTAATTTGTTTCATCAAGGAGTAGGTTCACAAAGGGCTAAGATTGGCCCTTAGATTTTATAGTTTTTTTAAATCAGGCCAATATGTTTCAAATTTGACATAGAAATTAGTATTACTAATAATAAAATATAAATTTTTTTTGGTACCCCAAATTATAAATTGCTAAATTATGATCCCTTAATTATGCATTATTTGTGTTGTAACATCTGACTTGGTCTAAAATTTCCGTAATTTATAACAGTTTTTAGCATAATTTACTTTGGCCCCCATCCACGATCTTCATAAACTTTTAAGTCTAAGGATTCAATATAAACCAATTGGACATTTTGGTTACAAAACATTTTGGATGGTAGGTTGCAGCCAAAGTTTTCCTAAACCATTAAGGTAAGAAAAAAACACAAAATCATCTAATTCTGACAGTATCCCCAAAATGTGTGGACTTTATAGCCTATAATGTACTATTATGAAGAGATTTGTTTTACTTGGCATAAGATTTTGAAATAGATCCATTTAAGAACCAGATTGTGACCCTCTCTATATTCATGATAAAGTTGAAATTCAAGGCCATATTATGTGTCCTTTGCATGAAATATTTGCCACTGGACATTAGGCAAATAAAAGATTCATCACACATCTTTCAAGTACAGTATTAAATACATATTATTGTTCTTTCTCAGGACATAAGGATTGTATAGCTTTCTACTATTATTAGTATACATAATCACATATCTATAGTAATAATTACACACCATTGTTCCATCCCAGGATATTGGGACTGTATGGTTTTCTCAGATGATCACATTTAGGACCATTAAAAAATTCTTCCAGGCCTAGTCTCTTCAATATTAACAGTTTTCCTCCTTCTTTTATCTCTTCAAGTACACTTAGGCCTGTGTCTTTCAACCAACCAGAAATAAATGATGTTAAATCTAAAAATATATTTTTAATATGTTACTGTTTTATTCATTGTAATTGCAATTTTAGTGTTACCATGTTTTACAAATGATCATCAGGTTTATTATTATTTATATGGTTAGATTGTTTTAATTATTCAATATGCACCTTTATAACAGGAATATGTGTCTGCTTGCACTATCATTTTCCTTGTTCAGTGAAATGTGAAATCTGGGTCAATACTGTAATTTGGCATATAACAAATTTAGATAATATAAAGACAATCTTGTGGTAGTGAATAAAACAAAAAAATAAGTCTATAATTCTGGTGTATGTATACAATTTATATATATTATATGAATAAACTAATTTGTGGTGTCAGATTTTGTTGATGCCGATTTGTCTTTCAATATAATTTTTAAAGTTTTATTGGAATCCATAAAAATTGATTCCACATGAATAACAATATTTTTACAGTTAAATCTTCTACACATCATAATTTATTCAAAATTTAGAAAAATGTGTGAAATATCACATAAATGTAAGTAAGTGGGCCACTTTGACACCACATTACATCTTAAGACTGTCCTTCGAACAATATAACCATAAATGAACAATTTCTGCTCAATCTTATTAAAAATTGTGCCTGTCTATGGCCATATGCACATGATAAATTAAGACATTGCAATGAGCACATTTATCGAGGACTCATTTATTTTCGTGGATACCATTTTTCATGGAGTAAGGAAATATCATATATGCGGGGATATTTGTGTCGTGATTTTTCCAAAATTTGCATACAAACTATCAATATTTGTATTTTATTGAAAAATTTTATTTGTGGTTATGTTAACTACACAAAATCTACGAAAATTAGTACCCCATTAATAATGAATCCCCAGTAATTATAACCGAAAAATAGGACCAGTTTTTATCATACTCCTTAGACATTTTCTCTTGTTCATCAAGATGTTAAAATAGCTAATATTAGACAAAAGGTTATAATTTATACAAATTATATTACCAGCACTGCAGTCAATTGAAGTAGACACAAGGTCTGGTAGAGCTTCTGATAATTTCGTGTAGGTAGTATTGAAGTAGTATTTCTGTTTAGAGACTATATCTCTCAATTCTTTCTCACTGATACCATCTCCTATTCCTACAGCTATAATGCTAATGTTTCTATCGCTACATGTAGCTGCTCCTGCTGCTGTAGCTCCACGATTAGATTTCCCATCAGTCAACAGTACAACATAATCTCTGGCATCGTTCCGATCACCTTTACCAGCAACAAACATTTCCTCACAGGCATACCTCAGAGCATCACCTATGTTTGTATAGCCTCTTTTAATGTAGGATGTTTTCATTATTTCAGTAGATATTTCTGTTTTGTTATAACTAAAATTCAGGTCAAAACGTGTCCTTGATGTATCAGTTCCTCCAAACAACGACATTGCAACACGGATCATATCTTTCCTGATGGCAAGTTTATCGATGGTCTTTGATAAGGCTACCATGGTATCATCAAAATGATCCTGACCAACACTCCCAGACTCATCCACCACAAATATCACATCTGATGGCAACACAGATTTACAATCTGAAAAATGTAACGATGAAATACAAACATCTTTAATATAAATTATTAAAGCATGGTGTGTCAGCATTTCAGGAGATACTATAAAATTCCATTTACATTTTTTTTTTTTTGTAAAGTTTACATGGTCTCGAAATAAAATAAATAAACTAGAGCTATAGTAATTTTTTAAAATAAAACCATTACTACATAAATTATATATCTTCCCAACATGACTTTAATTAACTCAATTTACCTTTCATCCAGTCTAAAAAGTCATCAGAACAAAGGGGAACTTCTTGCTGTTGTAGAAGATGAATTCCATTTTGTGGTATACAGTGCTCATCACTGTCAATTGGCAGACAAATTTTTATTAAAACATCAACAATGAATCCTTTTCCATCAGCCATCTTGTCTACAGAATACCTGTAAACAGTATATACTCGCATCAATGATCCATTCTGTATTTTGTGAAAGAAATTTTTATTAGATGTTTAAACAAGTAAAGGAAAAGTAGACACACTGAAATGTCTTGTCTGCTTAATTGATTATAAAGGAATAATATGATTTCTATGACAAAGGGTCTGGCTATCAAGAATACCTCAAATTGAGAAATGAACCATGAAAATTAGGTCTAAGCAAGGAGATTTCTATCAGACACAGTCCTCGAAATCAGCACAGGACTCACAGGACATGTCCTGTAAAAATATATTCGGTCCTGTGAATTTTTGTTAATTTTGTAATACATTACTAAGAATTATTTGAAGCATCATCAATTCAGTCCTGTAAATGCCAAACCCCAATTTCTATGACTGCAGACACACACATTCATACAGCTTTAAGTGATTTTAGTTACCTACTCCTCAAAATAACCAAATCAATTGACTTTAGCGGGAAACTAACATTATCAATAAACTGTATTAAGAGGTTACATAAGATGAACCCTGTCAGACAGACATGTGGTGTATACACATAATTATCAATGATATACACTTTTTTTTAAATAAAGACTTGCCTAGCCTTTTCCATTTTGAAAATTAAACTGCTGAGAGTGGAGAAATATTGTATTGTACAAGATACTGGGGTAAAATATGTTTCTCTTATAATTTTTAGACTGCAAAATGATTTGAATGATCTGATAAAAAATGTATTCTTTCTGAGAGACATCATAAGTCTGCATATCTTCGTAACACCATAATATCAAATCAGATGACTGTGAAAAGTGTAAGTCATCCTTCTACCTCCACAAATAAAGACCAAAGTTTAGTGATCCACACATTGATTGTAAAATATTTATCACCCAGTGAGTGAAGGTTTATATCAGCTAATTCTTTAACAGCTTACTCAATTTGAACTGGTGCACTTGCTCCTTTCCCAATAGAGATCACATTCTTTTCACCTGTAATGATAAAAAACCATTTGTGTTAATCTTTTTTGAATGAAAGGATTTTAGCACATAACCCTGGTGGGAGTAAATCTTCCCAAATTTAATGGGAATAATACAACAGGAAATGAGGCTAAAATACAAGGGGACACAATAAATTGGTCCCCAGTCTATAAGATTTCCAATATACATGTACATGTCAAAAGATAGATATCAGGCATCTATAGCTTTACATCACAGTCTTATCATTTGAATCACTACACCAAACTGAGCATGTTCTAAACTTAAATCGATGAGACGCTGTTCACAATGAAATATTATTTCCCCCAAAAAGGCAGACTAATAAGATATTTGTTCTATATATAAAAAGTAAAATACAAAAAATACCAAACTTCAAGGAAAATTCAAAACAGAAAGTTCTTTATCAGATGGCAAATAAACTTCTATCATATGCGATCAAAAAATAAGTCAGAAAATATCCATATAATTATTTCTATTCAATGTGGAATATGAGAAAATGTTATATCTTATTTTTTATCAATGTGCAGAATCATGAAAATTTGATATAACCTACCCCAATCATAGTTCAAGATATATCTCTTGTATCTAAATCCTCCAAAGGCAATATCAACTTCAAACTGGCATGGATCAAACTTGACCCAGAATGGAATGTTGAAGGTCACCATTTTATCTCCTAATGGAAGTTTGAAGGTCAGATCTAGACAACAATGTAGACCTAAACAATTGTCTGTCATCTTACACTGGATCATGGTTCTGATACTGGCTGGTAAGTATTTCTGGGGATTGATCATCACTGGACAATCTGATAAATACACAAATCTGATAAATACACAAATCTGATAAATACTCAAATCTGATGAATACACAATGACATCTGACACTCGATCATAGTTCTGATACTGGCTGGTAAGTATTTCTGGGGATTGATCATCACTGGACAATCTGAGTAATACACAATGTCATTTGTAATACAGAAATTCCTTAATTCCAATTAAAAAATGGAGAGAATATTGTGGCATTAGAAAGTTTACGTGTAATGTTTTCCCAATTAATATAGTATATAAATTAAGTATATAAATAGAAATGGTAAATAATTTCCTACCTATAGGTCCATTTGGTACAGCACATGATCCAGAGGTAAAATGTTTCTGAAAACAATAATAAATTATACTTTATGTTAATAATCTCAATACAATACAGAAAGCATTTGTAGCTTAATTATGGGCTAAAGTAGTACAAAAATGTCCCATTCAATCAGAATAAATTCAACAAAACAGTACTGTTGCTTTGATGTCACACCTGAACCTCCCTAAAAAGACCCTTTTAAAAATACATGGAGTATCAAGGAAACAGTTTATGATGTGTACTGATTGATATGTCAGTGTGGGAGAACATGATTTATATATTAGACATATTGGCTTTGAACTAGTTTTCAATAAATGGAAGTACTCTTACATGTCTTAGATCAGTATTTTTTGCTTTTGTGTTTTTGTTAATTTATTTATGTGACTGATTGAACTGATTTATCAAGCCATTTCCAACTGATTTTGTTCTTATGTTGTGCTGTTACACCACTAGTACTGTCCCAGATAAGGGGAGGTTTGAGTTCCCACAAACATTCTTTTTGTGACTGATGTTGAATTTCTGAATTGATTCCTTTATGAAAGGATATATGAAATTCAGTTGTATATAACAGATTAGTGTAGAGCCTCAAAATGTCCTTTTGTTTGCTCCGGTAAGATCATTTTTATCATCCCTCAAGTTCGAAAGTTTGTTCAGCACATTAACTTTGCAGAAACTAAGTTCAATTTGCATAAGGTTGCCCCATGATATAAATTTGATTCATTACCTGAAAACTTTTCAAGATTCAGGATAATTTTGAGTTTGAAATATATTATACACATTTGGATGCCTATTTTGTTTTTTTGTTTTGGTGAAAATGCTCTCAATTGACGCATCATCTCCTTTTATTTATATATCTTTTTCACTTCTAAAACTACTTACATCCAAACCCAAATGTCGTAAGACAATGTCAAATGCTTCCTCTGTCATTTTACCACCAATAGCTGTGATTAAATCAGATATGGAATCTCCTGAAAAATGTTGCTTATTATAAAGATCAACTGCTCATAATATACAGAATACTGCCATAATATACAAAATACTGCAGTAGAGCAGTCATTACATATAATTTAAGTATTACAAATTCTGTTGCTTTCAGCAGTTAATATTTTCTTAGAAGTTCAATTTCTTCACAATAGTTTAACATAATAGGAAAGATAAACTGTTATCACAGAGATATGTCTCGCTTTTTGGTTATTTCGATAATGCAAATGTTGAAATTAAAATAGCAACACTTTTACATGTAAGTTTTGCAAATATTCAAAGTCAATGAATCATGACTGAAGGTACATGGCCAAACAATCTCCATGGAAATGAGATGTGCCAATGCTAAAACAACTGCATACCAAATACCATTGACTTATCATAAGTAGTTCCCTTTAAACAAACCTAAACACAAACTAATACATGTAACTAAGCAAAATTTCAAATTCAATAAACCATTACTGAGGGGGCGGGGTCAAATAATCTCCATTGTAATGAGATGTTCCAATGCTAATACAACTGCATACCAAATATCATTGACCTACCACTAGTGGTTCCCCATAAACTGACCTAATCACAAACTAATAAATGAAAACTAAGCAAAAATTTCAGTCAATAGACCATGACTGAGGGGGCGGGGCCAAATAATCTCCATGGAAATGAGATATGCCAATGCTTATACAACTGCATACCAATTATCATTAACTTACCACTAGTGGTTCCCCATTAACTGACCTAATCACAAACTAATACATGAAAACTAAGCAAAAATTTCAAAGTCAATAGACCATAACTGAGGGGGCGGGGCCAAATAATCTCTATGGTAATGAGATGTGCCAATACTAATACAACTGCATACCAAATATCTTTAACTTACCACTAGTGGTTCACCATAAACTAGACCTAATCACAAACTAATACATTGTTGCCGCCGCCACCGCCGCCTGCCGGAAACAGCATACCTATGTCTAGCTTTTTGAATCCATCAAGCGAGACAAAAATGACTAATAATGATAGGTTTTTTTATACTTTGACAAATTGTAGTTAATATATATATATCACTTTTTTTCAAATAAAAAAAAGTAAATAACATCTAGCTTGTTTTCAATCTATAGGTTGTGAAAAATATAGAATTACCTGAGAAAGTAAAGTTTTCATTACATATTGGTATAGGTATTTCATGGTTCTCCAAAAACATCTGATCTATAATACAACTGCCCTGGAAACACAGCTTCAGTCCAAAGTCTATTTCAAAGACTTTCTTGTCATCATTTTTGTCAATAACAAAGCTGAAAGAATGAATAAATCAAGAAAATGTGTCCAAACACATTTTATGCCAGCGCCAAACCAGCTTCTTTGGACTTTGTGTTGTTTGTTGTGTTTGACTTTGTTTTTATATTTATTTTCTTGTGGGAGTACAGAGTTGGTGGTTGGTGTGGTTTGTTGTACTTTCCAATGTGTAATCATTTATTGTATTTCTTACAAATTAGACTGTAGAATAGGTAATTTATTTATGGTCAAGCATGATATGCCTACTGATTATATAACTTACCGGTACAAACTAAACTAGAACGATGGCTGATTGTCAAACATGTATGTGTTATCCCTGCCGGTTTTTTTTTACTCAAAAACCAGACTTGTAAACAGATTGATGGTAAAAAATGTCTTAAAATGGTCAAATAATTTTATAAGGATCCAAAAACTTTAAAATGACAAACCTGAGATTAATCAAATTCAAAAGGAGGATTGACAGAGTTGACTACAGTGTAAAAACATTTAAAAGATCTATCATAATAGTCTTTTGTTATCAAGAGACATGGTAGGAGGAATAGATGGACACCAGTCTATCAAGACATATTCTTCAATGGCATCAAAACAAGATTCTGTTAAGAGGCATTTAATTAAATAACAAATGTAGATATCAGTGACTTACATTACTTGCACATCTTTTGTTATTGTTAGAGTCTCTGTCTTTCCTAGAAAATAAATAACCACATTTGTCACATTTGTGCTGTTTGCATATTCATCATCACCAGAGCAGACAACCATATCTTAGATTCAATTATTATCTTATATCCTATTACAGTTTATAGTTTATTTTTAAATGTTATACAGTGACATCTATGTGTTTTTTTTAATCTTAAAGATCCCATTTACTGAAAAACAGATAATCAAATGAAAAGTGCAAATGGTTAATAATATTTCTGTTTCTATTTCTCATAACAATGTTACATATTTATATTTTTCAACAATTTTGAGGTGAAAAAAGTAAATCTATTTCAACAAAATTATTATCCACATCAATTACAATTGACCAATATAATGTGACCTTCCCCTGTGGCAAGAAAAACTGTAATAAAATTTGTTTCATTGTAATTTCTAAATAAATTTACCCCATTTATAGCTGATCAGGATCAACGATCTTATTCTTCCTTCAAATCCAAACTTCAGAATATATTTACAGAAGTCCAACTCTACAAAAGCTCTGAACGCTTTGGCATAATTAAAATCACCGATGCTCAGTGAAATATCTGCACAAGCATCTAACCGTAGACAGTCATTAGATATATAGTAATACAGATGGTCGTTAAGCCAACTATTAGTGATATCTGGCAATGATATTTCTCTGCCCATTGTTTCACATCCTACAATTTATAACATACCTATTTATTAATTATAATCTATAATTAATAAAAAACATATTTTATACTATTTATACAAACTGGATGCCTTATAATCAGTTAGTAAATTTGTAGCAAGAGTCTTGAACTGTCATAACCACAATCCTCTTTACTTTGATTGTGACATCACTGAATGAGACTATTCAATGAAATTTGTACTTACCATGAGCAAAACAAATAGTGCCACATGTGGAGCAGGCTATGGCAAAGGTAACACCAGGTATTGTCTAAGGTAATATCAGGTAATTGGCTTAGGTAACACCACGTATTGACTAAGACAACACCAGGTATTGACTAAGACAACACCAAGTATTGCCTAATGTAACATTAGCAATGGCTGAAGTAACATTATGTATTGTCTTATATAGCATGAGGTATTTATTAGCTAAGGAAACACCAGATATTACTGAAGCTCCATATATATAACAAATATAAGCCAATTTAGTTGTTTTTGTAAAAATCATGTCAAGGGAGACAACCTTTGGTTAGGGATGAGACAATACAACTGTCTACCTGTGGACCAATGCCTGTCAGACCACACATTGTTCTGTTGTCCAATGCCTATCAGACCATAAATTGCTCAAGAATATATTGAATTTTTTTTTGCACTGGAAGTTATTTGTCTCCTGCTTGTTTCAATAAACTGTATACTCAGATGGTTTAGGTGCCAAAGATGAGAACCTTTACACCAGAGCTATGATTGACGTATTCAATATTTGTTTAATTGGCAATTTAATGGAGAAAAACATATTGTTTTTTATGTTAGTCCTACATAAAACTTGGTTTTTCATAATTTCTCATTTGAAAAAAAAAATGGTTTCAAAAGTTGCTTAATAGACTGTTTTTTTTTTAACCGTCCTCAGTTATTCTACAATGTAGTTTCAGTATAATATAACAGTTATTGCTCAGTTTAGATTTAATTAAACAATAATTGCCATCAAATGAGGTAAGTATCCTAATTTTTTACCCTTGAAGGGTTGACTATTTGTATGTTCACCTCAAATGAAGTGAATAATTGTATATTGTCTAAAGTAGCACAAGTTATTGGCTACAAGAAAATCTGGTACTGATTACGGTAACAACTGGTACTTGCAAAGGACTAATGATAAAACCAGATAGCTGTCTTTCCATTATTATGAATATTATGAACATTTTTAGACAAGCCTACAACAACAAAAATGCTGGTCTCTTTACAACTTTCAAATTCAAAGTAAAATTACCAAAGTCATACAACACAAAAAACAAGAATGTGTCCATAGTACACGGATGCCCCACTCGCACTATCATTTTCTATGTTCATTGGACCGTGAAATTGGGGTAAAAACTCTAATTTGGCATTAAAGTTAGAAAGATCATATCATAGGGAACATGTGTACTAAGTTTCAAGTTGATTGGACTTCAATTTCATCAAAAACTACCTTGACCAAAAACTTTAACCTGAAGCGGGACAGACGCACGAACAGACTGACGGACGGACAAACGAACTGACGCACAGACCAGAAAACATAATGCCCCTCTACTATCGTAGGTGGGGCATAAAAATAAAAGTAATCGACAGAAAAAGGTTGCCCAATATTTTGACTTCAAGATTGTTGAAAAGATAATAAAAACCTCAGCAACAATGGACAGAGTTGTACATACGTCTATCATCAGCCTTCAACCTTTCAGTAAGTTCCTGATTGGACCCAGTGGTATTTAGACCTCTATTATTTAAAGTGTTTATCAGTTGAAATATTGACATCTTATCTGGTCGTAAACATGGTCCTGTTGATTGCAAGATATCCTAAAATAAAAGTAAACTAATGAGTTACAGAAAGTTCAGATCACTTTAACAAAACATAGGAAAGCACTCAAAATCAACAATCTCAACATAATCTATCAATTAATTATCTAAATTGAAAAAAAAGAAGTCTTTCTTCATCAAAGGAAGATCATTAATAGCACTGGTATCATAGAAGAGGTTAAATGTCAAATTAAAATCTTAATATAATTGTAACCTGAATTTTCAAATCATGAGAACAATAATATGTTATACTGGGATATTGTTTTTAAGAGGGTATAAGTACTTATACTCATACAAAAAAGAAGATGGGATGATATCTTCTACTCATGTAAGACTATTTTCTATCTCTTGCACATCTAGAACAACATTATTGAATAATACCATATTTAAGAATGCTCTCAGTTGCAGAAATTAAACTTAAAATATCTAACAATTGATTATGAAAACAGGCTTCCCTACACTCGAAATAAAAGCATACAGAAGATGTGTCAGGGAAAGTTCAAAGTGACTGCAACCAGACTTTGCTAATTTACCATTGAGGACCACAATATAGCTTTCAAAAATTGACAAGTGCTTAAATCGCAAGGTAAGGATTACAATCAACTAAGAACATTCTGAAGTTTTTTTCCAAGTAAATACCTCCGGTAAACCAAGAGCTTCTAACAGCTTTCCCTTTAGTAGCTGTTTTCCTTCTTCTAGTTTCTTTATCGCTGCTTCTTTAATTGTGCTTTTTATTGAGTCAAGGCTTAGATATGCTTTATAATCAATGTTCCAAGCTGAAATCAAATATAATTTAATCCAGTGAATGAAATTATAAACATTTTTCATTTTTATATCAGCAGCCATTACATAAAAAAAACCACAAGTACTTTGCTCAATCCTACCTCAGTTTTCATCAAAACTATAAAATACTGCAAGCAATTTCGATATACTTTTCATAACAATCCTTAGAGAAGAAGTTCTTTTATGGAAAGTAATTTAGAATCATGTCTATAAAAAATGTTACATTCAGTCATGATTTTTCATAGAATTTTTCAAAATGTGATCAAGAGACTAATACAAAGCTATAATTTGATGAGAACTTACCAAAACTACAATCCAATGTCTGTATAACAAGCTGGGGTAGAGTTTTGTGTAGATCATCATATATTGTATGTAGGTAATAGTTTGGCAGAGAATACGATATGTCCTTCAGTAACTGTTCATCTATACCAGATCCAATACCTACAGTCACTATTCTTATGTTAGCATTTTTACAAACTGCAGCTTTTGTCACTACTGGGCTTGCTCCTTTATTATTTTTACCATCTGTTAAGAGGACAAGGTAATTCTGTGCATCAGAACGATCCCCCTTATTACCAACAAACATTTCCTCACATGCATATCGGAAAGCATCAGCTATATCTGTATAGGAGCCTTTCTTGTAAACAGCACTGGAAAATGTCTCCTTGATTGCTGTATTACTGTACTGGGAGTTTAGATTTAAAAGTGATCTGGAAGTACCTGTCCCTGCAAAAAGTGTGACACCAATCCGGACTAAATCTTCACCAATAGCTAGTTTATCCACAGTGTTTGACAAAGCTGTCATGGTGGACTTGAAATTAGTTTCTCCAACACTTCCAGATTCATCAACTACAAATACTACATCTACAGGTACAACAATCTTGCAGTCTGAAATACACAAAATTTATACAACAGAGGAGAATTTTACAGAAAAAAAAAGATTTTAAGATGTGTCAATGAGTGATTCCTTACAAGTACGAACAAATTCAGCATTTTCTATATTCAAAAAGTCAAAGGACAAAGAATTTGAGGAAAAGTAAGGCAAGCCTTTTTAGATAACAATTACAAAGTGTTAAAAAACTTTACAGTGTTTTATCAGGTATTAAGAGTTTTTGTTAAACAAATAGTTTACAGTTGTAAACTTAGGTTATGAAATTAGGCTCTGCAATGTAACCAACATACTAGACATATTTTAAATAGGGACTTTCACTTGCAGGCTCTGCTCTGCTAATCATGTTCCTTCTTTTTCTGTAGCCCTTTGAATGTTTTTATCGAAATAATTTCTTTGTGCAATTTTTACTCGAACTCTAAAGATATAAACCAAACAATTACCCTTTACAAAAAAAGAATATTTGACATGACTATGACCTTTGTAAACATGGGTGTTGTGTGTTCAGCATATTGATTTAGGTTTGTGACCTTTGTCTTTAAGCTAGAGAATACATTTCTTTTTGTGATGCATTTTTTAGGTGGTATTCAAGATAAAGAGTGGATTTGTGAACATCATCTCACAGACAATTACCGAAATACAGCAGTGTAAAAATTCCATGACAGATGACCCTAGGTGTGTATTGTTCCATTCTGGCATATAGTGTCCACTAGTATTAGGTCTTGGCTGGCAAATTGTAATATATATCTTTGGGAAGTTTTATTTTCAATATCAACAAAAAATTTGTGTATATGGGACAGAGCGATGAGGTTTATGATAGTACTACATTACCTTGTGGCCATACAATAGAACCATCACTTTTACATATAGGCAGAGGTAATACTGCATTGGCTAACAAACTGAATTCTGCCAAACAATTACTTGTATCCTCACGTTGACATAATCCCAGCACAACAGATGCCAATAATCCAGTATCTGTCTTCTGTATATCATATCTAAGTAAATAATGAGAGAAAAGTAACATAGAGTTTCTCCTTTGCGCTATGTTATATGCATGTACATGGGATTGCTTCGAAATGTTAAAGCATTCAATAATGTTATAACTTACTATTCTTTACAGTTAAATACGTGACATATTTTACAATTCAGTCTTTCAACAAGTCTCCCAGATACCATGGGTCATCCTTCGGTCAAGTGTCAAGTTTTAAAATTATAATTTAAAGAAAGACCCAAGACCCTTTAAATTACTGCTTTTATAAGTGGTTTTATGCTATGACCTATATGTCAATATAAATAGTCCTTTCCGCTACAAGATATATTTTTTATCTAAGTGATTAAAGATAAAATTTATGGCTAGGAATATTTTTTCAAGAAATTAAGAGTTGATAGAACTTATTCCCATACTTGTATTCATCTTAGTATAAGCAGACTAATGTTATGGTACTATTGTAATGTGTTTTCTTTACACAGAGTGGGCTAAATTTGGGGTTATGTTTTTCTAATTTATAATAATAAACTTTTCAATATGAAAATGAAACAACTGTATTTTATTAAAAAAAAATTGAGTTTCATAATCATATTAATTAAAAGACTAATTTTCTTACTTTAATATTCCATCCATTCCTCCCATGATGTCAAATTTTAAACCTGTATGTATTTCATCTGACAAACCTGTAAATAGATTAGTTATTCCATTCAAGTTTATTGTTTTAATATTTTTGCTCTGATGCTCAACACTCTTCTTTAATAGAAAGGATAGTACTGGTAGAACTACTGATTTGTATCAGAAACAATGCCTGACCTTCATTAGAGTTGAGATGCTTGAGTATTGTGGGTGTTATTATGTATACTATAAGTTAATCAGAAATGTTGACCATTGGTGTTAATTAGTAACTCTATAAATCACATAAGAACAGACTCAAATATGATGATATATTCATTTTGATAAGACTATTAACTCTCTACATTTCATTAGAACTGACCCAGAAATGACCTGTAACTCTTACAGCACATAGAAATCTTGTATTTTGATAAAAGACTCATCAAACTACTGTAAATTCAGAAATTATTGCGATGTTTTTATTATTGGGAAAAAATGCGACAGGGTTATAATCGCAATAATTTAAACTCGCATTTTGAAATTTTTTATATGAATTAAACAGGATTTTTCTCAATATCGCAAAAATTAAAAACGCATTATAGGCTAAAATGACAAAATCGCAATAATAAATGCATGCAATAATTTGTGAATTTACAGTAGTTAGCAGGAAAGGAGATAGTTTGATAAGGGCTTAATATGGCCCCTATTTCTAGCTTAAATTTCAAATCAGGACTTATTCACCAAATACCACAATAATTTATAGCTAAGACAATGCCTAGATAGAAAAAAAAGTTTTTGCTTAAACTTTAGGCATTAGCGTTCTTTTTATGACATCATTGACAGCAAAAGTTTTCATTTTCCATGAACAGTCAGTAAAAACAGGTCAATTTACATTGATTTTCAGGACTGGAAACTATGAGCGCATGCATGGACAAAAAAGATCTTAAGGTGGTACATAACACTACAGGGAGATAACTCTGTAAAAATCAGCTGAACCTTTTAATCAGCTTCTATTGTTAAGGAAATATTAAGCTTCTCAATGATCAAAGTTAGTGTTTGTCAAACTGCTATATATTCAATGAAAATTTTCTGATAAAGTGTGTGGTTCAAGATTTTTTAAATTTTTATATTTTTGTCTAAGGATCCAAGTAAATATTTTGTTGAACGAGCCAAATTAATTTTAGTCAAGGTGTTTGGTACCACCTTAATACATTATGTTTGTTATTAGAATTTACATACCCGAAATGAATATTTAGTTTGTCAAAGGATGCGCTTTATGTTTTCAAGACATAAAATGAGTTGGAATCCAGAAGATTTTGTCAACTTTGAACAAATTCTCTTTTTTTTTAATTTATTTACAGGAAAAGTTTAACAAAAATAGTTCTATTTCACTTTCTTGCATGTCTTCTGAACAATTTGAAAGTTTTTTTATATTGAAACAATACACTTAATTTGACCCTTCTGAACATACTCCTTTTGAAGATACGCTAGTCGTAATTTGGTCACATTTTATCAGCAATATTTGAAATTGAATAATTTTTCTTATTTGTATATATGAATCAATAGGAAAAAATATTTTTGGAAAGTACTAATTTAAAATGTAAAATAAAATGAGCATCATTACAATACTGGGAAAATTCTTTTTGATTAATGAGAATTTTTCAAAATTTGCATATTTAACATTGAACTTATTCTAAAATATTTATAGACAGAGATAAGTCAGACATAAAATAAGAATATTCTTTGAAATCATATTTTGCTATTCAGGGGAGATAAGTGAGGTACAAAAAAAAAAAGAATATTTCCAGACAATCTGGTACAACTCCAGCAGACATGAAATGTCATGAAACAATAACAATATGTTCTAGGATCTTTGTTGTATTGTCAACTTTAAAGTATATATTCCTTGGTGTAGTAAATTAAGATATACAATTACCATCATATCCCATATCAAACTTCAGTGTGTAGTTATGGTCTCCTATCCCAAAACTAAACTGGTACTGACAAGGATCATATCTAGCATAGGCTTTAATAGTGTACAGAAACATTAGGAACTTAACATTCATACAACACTCCAGACCTAGACACATGGAATCATATGTACAGTACATATTGTCTGGTGTTGTTATATACATCCATGGACACCCTGTAATATACAATACATAATAGTCATACAACACTCCAGACCTAGACACATGGAATCATATGTACAGTACATATTGTCTGGTGTTGTTATATACATCCATGGACACCCTGTAATATACAATACATAATAGTCATACAACACTCCAGACCTAGACACATGGAATCATATGTACAGTACATTTTGTCTGGTGTTGTTATATACATCCATGGACACCCTGTAATATACAATACATAATAGTCATACAACACTCCAGACCTAGACACATGGAATCATATGTACAGTACATATTGTCTGGTGTTGTTATATACATCCATGGACACCCTGTAATATACAATACATAATAGTCATACAACACTCCAGACCTAGACACATGGAATCATATGTACAGTACATATTGTCTGGTGTTGTTATATACATCCATGGACACCCTGTAATATACAATACATAATAGTCATACAACACTCCAGACCTAGACACATGGAATCATATGTACAGTACATATTGTCTGGTGTTGTTATATACATCCATGGACACCCTGTAATATACAATACATAATAGTCATACAACACTCCAGACCTAGACACATGGAATCATATGTACAGTACATATTGTCTGGTGTTGTTATATACATCCATGGACACCCTGTAATATACAATACATAATAGTCATACAACACTCCAGACCTAGACACATGGAATCATATGTACAGTACATATTGTCTGGTGTTGTTATATACATCCATGGACACCCTGTAATATACAATACATAATAGTCATACAACACTCCAGACCTAGACACATGGAATCATATGTAACACTGTTTCATTGACCTAGATAGATTCTGTATATGCATAGCAGTAGAGGGGCCCTCTTTACATGTTATTTTGTTTGACACGAATGTAGTAAGCAGAGGTTGTAAGAGTGGTGGCGCATATTCCCCTTGGACACATTTTCGCCGTTTTGCTATTTTTTCTGTAAAATTTGTGTGCATTTACCCAATACTTGCCTAAATAGATGGTAAAGACTGTTTGTAATGTTACAACTGTTGATATTCCTCTTTACCCCATTTCCAAGGTTATTCGCACATATTGAGAAATACGCAGGTGTTTTTAAATAATTTTGGCAATTATGTAAGATTTATATGGCAATCATGTGCATGCCTTGTTATGTTTATCCTGAAAGCAAATCACCTAGAATAATTACAAGTGTACACCATTGGATGGTCTTTGAAAGTTAATTATTAGGATCATTGTTTTTAAAATTTATCCAGAATGTAAGTTATGGACAATGTTTGAAATCCAATCTATAATTAACATCTTTTGAGAGTGAGTGGTCATGTTGACTGTACAGTAAATATTGTCATGAAATAACACTTGAATAGTAAATAATCAAATTAAAAAAAAATAGTTACAACATAATAAGGTTAAATACCCTATGAAAAAGAAATTTTGAAGAAAAAAGTTTTCAGAATGATATTACTTTTGTCAGGTGTTGTGAGTCTGGTGATCATCTGTTCTCTTGATCCTTCGCTTGATTTACCACGTTCCAACAGTTCTTGTTTTAACTGTTCATCTGTTGCCTGTGCTGGATTTAGACATGGCTTGTTATCAATCAGTTTCTGAAAGTAATCAATTATCTTTGTAATCAAGCTTTGGAATATAACTAATTTTCATATAAGCTGCTGGTAACAATTTGTTACAGGTTAATTTCTATTGACAGTATGGGAAAATAATTTCACCATGGATTCATAAAGAGGTCAAGAGCAAATTTTGTTGATAAATTCATATAAGCATATATCTCTTCTCTACTGTGTGCCTACAAGTTTTACTATGGAAAATTTACCTTTATCGACTTGAGAACTTCAGCTAACTTCTGTTTACTGTCTGACATGCCAAGTTTATCCAGAAATTCTATAATATCTCCTAGTTTTAATTTTTTCAATGAAAATCTTTTCATGAAACTGTCTGCTTTCTTTAAAAGTGTAGAAAACATATCTATAATTAAATAAGAATACTTTATTATAAAATATACAAAAACTTTATCTCCTCAAGAATAGATGTTATCCTGCAAGAAAAATGGTCCAATTTTGAAATCATCATCTATAAATTTTGGGTTTAATGAAAGTACTGTTACATTTTTATCATCTGGCATGTTATGACATATACTTGATGCTTAAATAAATACCTCATATATTCTATACAGAACAAAGTATGCACAATTATCATACTAATAATACATATACAGTTAACTCTCGTTGTCTCGAACTCGGTTGACTCGAAATTTCGGATGAGTCGAAGTTTTCACGTGGTCCCGAACTTTGTTTCATATAAATGTATGTATTTCGACTCCTGATGAGTCGAAATTGGATGAGTCAAAATTTCGGTTGAGTCGAACTAAATTTACAGTCCCAAGGTTAACAAAAGCATTCAAAATTCATTATATATCTCGAACTAATACACATATGTCAAAACATGACCTCGAGGATTTAAATGGATTGAAGAATTAATCTGACAATACACGTGTAATTAAATTTCCTGTCACCGACAACTGTATTGATTTATGACATGCTATTTCCATGAGTGTTTACCTAAGACTATCTTTTATAAAATTTTTATAAATAATTAGTGATACATTGTTAATGTTCATGAAAAAGTATTTAAAATGTTTACAAAAACAATTAATCGTGATTTACACTGATGCGCTTGGATGTGTATAAAGTGGGGATTAAGACTTCCGTTGGTGATCACCTAAAAACTACTCAATCGGCGTCTTTAATCTTGTATTTTCTTTTGAAAAGAAAAAGTGAGATGAAAGAAAATGAAGAGAAATCTAAATTTTCTAAAATCTCTTGTATCCGAGAATAAACAATTTTGTCAACTTTAAATGACCTAAATAACGCTAAGATCAATTGGAAAATTACTCTCTTGGATAAAAGCCATAGGAAAAAATTGTAACTGAAACAATTGAATAAGTAAAAATAATGTTATTATAATAATAATAATAAAAGACCATGACATACAAATACATGGATCTGATACCAGAATATCGATCCCCTTTCCATATATTCATCCGGATTTATTTTAGCTTTACCAAGCTAAGCAAGAGTTGTGTCCCTTGGTCTGTCAAACTTCCGGTTTTCGTTTGAGTCGAACTACGTGTATCTCGAAATATTTCTCTGGTCCGGCTGACTTCGAGATAACGAGAGTTGACTGTATACTCATTTGGAATATGATGAGATGTGAGTTATTGCTCAATAATGATACACCACTACAAGTTTTTGTTTAACAGGCAGTTGATGAGCAATGGATATTAAAAGCATCAAATGGCAAAGCATGCCCATATGAAGCTTGAAACTTAAATTCAGGAAGCTCTGATTTGTAGTTCCTGAGAGAAAAAATGTGACAGACAGAAGGAAGGAGGAATAAAAGAATAGACAGTGGTAAACCAGTTTATCCCTTATATAGGAAGTAAGGTATACTAATTTCTCCATTATTTATAATGATTTTTTTAATTGTATCTAAATTATATATATATATAACATTTTGTTATTTTATAATCCTGCACACAGAATATTTTGGTATTATTAGCAAATTGAAAAAATGAAGTTTAAAATACCTTTTGCTCCAGACAATGATCCTGAGGTTTGAAATTTGGAAAACATGCCACTTGGGTTACCTGAAATTATAAATTATCATCTATAGCAACCATAGACAAAATTTCATATATATACAATTCTGTTGTCTGTCTTTGTAATGTAATTGCTATAGCACTTGTTTGTAATATCATTGCTCTAGTATTCTTTTTGCTGTCTTTGTATTAAACATCATTGCTCTAGTACACGTTTGTAACAGCATTTCTCTAGTATTGTTTTCTGTCTTTGTATTGCTTTAGTACTCTTCTGCTTTCTTCACCTGTAACCTTATTACTTTAGTATGGTTTTGTTTTCTAACATATTAAATGTTTTTTTCTTAAAACTGCATCGGTTTGACATTGAATGTAAAGGCATCTGAAAAACAATCAAAGAAAATTTAATTTTGATATTTAATAATCTAAATTGTATTACTATAAACAACAGATGCATAATTTGAACAGTGACAAAGCAGGTGAAACAAACATTTCTTTGCAAAAAATTTATTACTTTTAGTCAGTCATTTCATGAAATAATGTTTAGCTAATAAAACTAATTAGCTGTTGATTTACAAACTTTTTGCAGCCTCGATGTCTCCTCCCGGATCAGCTGACATTGGTGGAGGGTCTACAGGATCTACATCACTGTTGGGCATATCTGGTGTAGTGTCTTCTTGGTCCTTTCCCTCATTTTTCACTACAAAACCAACAGCTTTCACCTCACCCTAACAAAATACAATACAAGAGTGCACACGCAGAAATGTCTCGCTTTCTCTACTGACCATTGATTTTATGTTGATAGTCCTAAATACAAAGCTTTACTACAAGTAACACATAAACTTAACATGATCCAAGAAAATGAGGTCAAGGTCAGATAAACCAAACGAGAAATACATGTACACCTTACAATCATTCAATAAACCAAACATAGTTGACCTATTGCTTATTATTTCTAAGAAACAGTCTTAAACAAGAAAACTTAACATTAACCAATGAACCATAAAAATGAGGTCAAGGTCAGATGAACCATGCCAGACAGACATGTACACCTTACAATCAATTTAGGCATTAAATATAGTTGACCTATTGCTTATAGTATCTAAGAAACAAACTTAACCATGAAAACTTAACATTGACCAATGAACCATGAAAATGAGGTCAAGGTCAGATGATATCTGCCAGACAGACATATACACCTTACAATCCTTCCATACATCAAATATAGTTGATCTATTGCTTATAGTTGAAGAAAAACAGACCAAAACACAAAACCTTAACACTGAGAAATGAACTGTGAAAATGAGGTCATGGTCAAATAAAACCTGTGAGACTGACATTTACATCATAAAATATTTCCATACACCATTTATAGTTGACCTATTGCATATAGTATTAGAAAAAATAACCAAAACTCAAAAACTTAACTTTGACCACGTGCACTGAACCATGAAAATGAGGTCAAGGTCAGATGACACCTACCAGTTGGACATGTACACCTTACAATCATTCCGTATACCAAATATAGTAGACCTACTGCTTATAGTATCTGATATATGGACTTGACCACGAAAACTTAACCTTGTTCACTGATCCATGAAATGAGGTCGAGGTCAAATGAAAATTGTCTGACGGGCATGTGGACCTTGCAAGGTAAGCACATACTAAATATAGTTATCCTATTACTCATAATAAGAAAGAAATTAACATTACAAAAAATGTTGACTTTTTTTGAAGTAGTCACTGAACCATGAAAATGAGGTCTAGAACAATGGACATATGATAGACGGAAACTTCGTAACATAAGGCATCTATATACAAAGTATGAAGCATCCAGGTCTTCTAGCTTCTAAAAAATTAAAGCTTTTAAGAAGTTAGCTAACGCCGCTGTAGCTGCCTCCGTATCACTATCCCTATGTCGAGCTTTCATCGACAAAAGTGGCAGACAAAAAATGAAGACATAAATCTTCCATTGAATGCCTTTAACAGCTGCAGATGTATTCAATTGAATCAATTCTCAAGGAAAAAACTCAACACATCTCTTTTAGACTCAAATTTAACATTTAGTCACCTAATGGAAGCCATTTTAACTGGCCATTCAACATTGGACAAGTTGATCCCCAAACTCATTAAGTATTTTCTCATATTCAAAATGACCATACATTCAAGTTTTGGTTTCTATCCAAAATAATTTATTAAGTGGTCTACTAGAAACTTCTTTCCTGCATTATTTGAGGACTTTTTTTAAGGATCTGTCACCATGATCTTGCATGTATTGACCTCATAATTAATGGGAATTGTCCCATCATTAAATGTAGGCATACATAAAGTTTGGTTCCATTATTTCAACAAAGGCTCTCAAGTTTCTAATAAACTGTTGACACAGAGATATGTCTCGCCTGTAGGCAGAAAATTCAGAAAAAGACAATCTGATGAACAGGAACATTGCTAATTAATTGTTGTTGGACCATGACCTAGGGGGCAGGGCCTTGATATGTTCAACAAACTGAAATGTAGTGAAAGTAATGCACTCTTGTAGAAAATATCATTTTCTATCATAAGTAGTTCCTATCAAACTAACTTAAGCAGAAAACTTAACATTGGGCAGGGCCTCAAAATAGTCATTAAATTGATATGTACTGATAGTAATGCAACTTTATACAAAATATCGTAGATCTATCACAAGTAGTTCCTATTAAACTAACTTAAGGTGAAAACTTAACAATTGTTAACGCTGATGTCGCTGGAAAAACAACGCATTTGTCTCCCTTCCACAACTTTTGTCACAGGGGAGACAAAAACTATAGCATTAAAAAATAGAAAGGGCAAAACTTAAATTATTATTTTGTTAACTGATTTCCTTCAATTCTGTTGTATTGGAAGAGTTGGCCCAAATATGTCTCCTAAAAACCATTGAAACCAATGGAAAACCTAAATGTAATCTAAAAATAAATCTCAGCAAGTTTGATTGGTTAATAAGCTGATATAAACAAAATTGATGACAACACAGGATAATATTGATGATGCAAGATAAAGAATAGTAATTTAAATGTGTCAATGAAGGTGACACTGTTAGAAAATATCTATTCTTACATACACAAGCAGATAAAAATTAAATAAATCAAATGTCTGTAAAATACCGAATAAGAAATACTACTAAGAAAATTTTGTCACACGGACCAAAAAAAATAAAACGTTCTAAAAAAAAACATTTTTGAAATGTAGATTTTTTGTAAAAACTCAATACTCTAATTTTCTACCATTCAAATTTACTTTTTTCTGCACATTTTATTTTTAGTTCCACATCTAAAATGATCAATTGTCTGTACTGAATATGAATATTTGACATACTTTCCACACTAGTTTGTAATCATTACAAGATTCATAGTAGGGTTCAAAAACAAACATCCTATCTTCCAGAAATCTAGTGGGATCAATAAATCCTCCACCTTTCTTCATTGTTAGGTGAATGTGATTTGTACAGGGTGAGTTGGTTGCTGTTCCTATATCTACACCTGATGAGATCTGTAATAGAAAATTCACAAGTATTGAATAATCAAATTGGAGTGTTATTACAACTTTGTAGCAAGAAATAACTTATTTTACATCTTGTATTTGAACTGTGTAGACCAATACAACTTTACAAAAGTCAGAACAGACTGATTAGACCAGGACTTAAGACCAGTCAGAACAGACTGATTAGACCAGGACTTAAGACAAGTCAGAACAGACTAATTAGACCAGGACTTAAGACAAGTCAGAACAGACTGATTAGACCAGGACTTAAGACAAGTCAGAACAGACTGATTAGACCAGGACTTAAGAAAAGTCAGAACAGACCGATTAGACCAGGACTTAAGACAAGTCAGAACAGACTGATTAGACCAGGACTTAAGACAAGTCAGAACAGACTGATTAGACCAGGACTTAAGACAAGTCAGAACAGACCGATTAGACCTTAAGACTACAACTTCTACACAAATATCAAATAGAGACTTAGGAAGTACAAATTTGACTAAAGAAGTCTTACAGTTACTCAAACCTTTTTCAAAGTCAGAAAATTTTAAACAAATTACAGTCTTATAAACTAAGACATAAGCCAGTACACTTCTGAACAGATTTAATGTAAAAACAACATTAACAATCCAGTAAACAGCAACTTTGTGCATAAATTGTAAGTACCAGCATTTCTGTTTGGAACAGTTTTGTAATATCTATAAATAGAATGATTTTATACAAACCGAGTTTTCTATGTAGTTATCATCATTTGGATGAAGAATTGTTGACTTTGGAGAGATATTTGTTATATAAACTTCCATATCCTTCAGTGATCCACCAGTTGTCTTTATGAGGATTTCATTAGGTCTATCAGTAAGCATCATATAGCCAGCAAAAGGTGCTACAATCTGAAAGAGTCAGATGTTATATCTTACTTTTATATGCCTCTGCAAACTGATGGGGATCATTTTTAACCTTTGTTATTGAACATTAAGTTAATAATACTTAAATAATCACTTTTATTTTTAAATATTTATAACACACTTACAATAAGAACATTTACTTCAATTAATAATACATTGCTGTAGGCTTGTTATTACCACTAAGGTTCTTGAGAAAAAATTTTAACAATGGTTAAGTGCATGCTAATTTCATTATGTCTAACACCCTGTCCCCATCATCTATCTCGAAGTCTACACCCTCAAACCAATACTCCTTACCCTGTTTCCAGCTGCTATTTCCAAGTCTACACCCTCAAACCAATACTCCTTACCCTGTTTCCAGCTGCTATTTCCAAGTCTACACCCTCATATCAATACTCCTTATCCTGTTTCCAGCTGCTATTTCCAATTCTACACCCTCAGACCAATACTAACCTCAAACCAATACTCCTTACCCTGTTTCCAGCTGTTATTCCCAAGTCTACACCCTCAAACCAATACTCCTTACCCTGTTTCCAGCTGTTATTTCCAAGTCTACACCCTCAAACCAATACTCCTTACCCTGTTTCCAGCTGCTATTTCCAAGCCTACACCCTCAGATCAATATTCCTTACCCTGTTTCCAGCTGTTAGTTCCAATTCTACACCCTCAGACCAATACTAACCTCAAACCAATACTCCTTACCCTGTTTCCAGCTCCTATTCCTAAGTCTACACCCTAAAAACCAATACTCCTTACCCTGTCCCCATCATCTATCTCCAAGTCTACACCCTCAAACCAATACTCCTTACCCTGTTTCCAGCTCCTATTCCTAAGTCTACACCCTAAAAACCAATACTCCTTACCCTGTCCCCATCATCTATCTCCAAGTCTACACCCTCAAACCAATACTCCTTACCCTGTTTCCAGCTCCTATTCCTAAGTCTACACCCTAAAAACCAATACTCCTTACCCTGTCCCCATCATCTATCTCCAAGTCTACACCCTCAAACCAATACTCCTTACCCTGTTTCCAGCTGCTATTTCCGAGTCTACACCCTCAGATCAATACTCCTTACCCTGTCCCCATCATCTATTTCCAAGTCTACACCCTAAAAACCAATACTCCTTACCCTGTTTCCAGCTGCTATTTCCAAGTCTACACCCTCAGATCAATACTCCTTACCCTGTCCCCATCATCTATCTCGAAGTCTACACCCTCAAACCAATACTCCTTACCCTGTCCCCATCATCTATCTCGAAGTCTACACCCTCAAACCAATACTCCTTACCCTGTCCCCATCATCTATTTCCAAGTCTACACCCTCAAACCAATACTCCTTACCCTGTCCCCATCATCTATTTATAAGTCTACACCCTAAAAACTATTACTCCTTACCCTGTTTCCAGCTGCTATTTCCAAGTCTACACCCTCAAACCAATACTCCTTACCCTGTTTCCAGCTGCTATTTCCAAGTCTACACCCTCAGATCAATATTCCTTACCCTGTTTCCAGCTGCTAGTTCCAATTCTACACCCTCAGACCAATACTAACCCCAAACCAATACTCCTTACCCTGTTTCCAGCTCCTATTCCTAAGTCTACACCCTAAAAACCAATACTCCTTACCCTGTCCCCATCATCTATCTCCAAGTCTACACCCTCAAACCAATACTCCTTACCCTGTTTCCAGCTGCTATTTCCGAGTCTACACCCTCAGATCAATACTCCTTACCCTGTCCCCATCATCTATTTCCAAGTCTACACCCTCAGATCAATACTCCTTACTCTGTCCCCATCATCTATCTCGAAGTCTGCACCCTCAAACCAATACTCCTTACCCTGTCCCCATCATCTATCTCGAAGTCTACACCCTCAAACCAATACTCCTTACCCTGTCCCCATCATCTATTTCCAAGTCTACACCCTAAAAACCAATACTCCTTACCCTGTCCCCATCATCTATTTCCAAGTCTACACCCTAAAAACCAATACTCCTTACCCTGTCCCCATCATCTATCTCCAAGTCTACACTCTCAAACCAATACTCCTTACCCTGTTTCCAGCTGCTATTTCCAAGTCTACACCCTCAGACCAATACTCCTGAGCACCACTTAACAATCTTGCTGGATAAAATCCTGTCCCTCTACAACCATCCTTATCTAGCCTTGTCTTCCTAGGAAACTCTGGAGGAACTTTACTTCCAAAAATACTGTCTAGTAATGATTTTCCTCTCTCATACCTGAAACATGTACACTAACCAGATATTGTTTGGGAATTACTAACTGCATGCTTTGACTGCTGCCTGATTTCTTACTTTAAAGTTCCTGGTAATTCTTATTAGAAATATTGATGTGGATAATAAATTACATCCTCACCCCTATCCAAGGACGAAAATTCTGTTGTGTACCAGTACTCATAAACTATCCTTTACCAAAAGAATTTATATTGGTGAATACAGATATCACAAGCTAAAATTATTCTTTTTTATTTTGTTTCCTTAGTCTCAATTCATTTATTTCTTTTCATTTATAACAAATACTAAGATTTGGCATTTAACTTACATATAAATATTCACACAAACAACTTAGAACATTTTTTTTGTTTTTGTTTAGGCAATCTTTTGTCTGATATTAACAGCATTTATCACCAATTTTAATTTATAAGCTATTCATGTGCTTGTATATTACCAGGATCACATGTATATTGTAATTAACAGAAGTTTAGACTATGTTAATAGATAAACCCATATAATATCATCTTTCTCTTTTCAATTTTCAAAAGATGGATTGTCACCCTATATCCTTAAAAAAACATGACTTTCATCTTATTTCTTATAAAACAAAATTATGAAAACATGCAAAACATTAATGAAATACATTGTACAAAATGTGAATTAGTACTTTGCATTCTTTATGATGGAGTGCACTCTTCTAGTAAACTTGTCTTATCAATGGAGGCCTATTTGGCTGTTTGTATGGATAAATATACAGTCACCTCTGAACTGATTATGGAAGTAAAATACGGGAGATGCAAGGCTCTGTGGAGATAATACACTCTTGCTCAGGGATATCTGTTTAGTTATTCAGAATGTATAAATACACAGCCATGTCTGTTAGTTTGCAGAGACATTGTGTAATCAAAGTTTAAAGTAAATTTAACAGACAGCATTCAATATAATAATTATCAACTATAAAAAAACTGTAATAGCTTCTATAAAGACTTTTGAGGGAAATTTGCCCTGTAAAGGGTTTCAATAGTAATTCATACCCATCTTTAAGTATTGTGTGAGCTTCCTTTATAGACTTGATCACTCCAAATGTTGCCTCATATGCATGAATAAATGGATCTGCTAAGCCATCAAGATAGGAAAAAGGATTGAGTAGATCATCTATGAGGGAGGTCAATTCTTCAACTATTTCTTTTCTGACCTTACTCTGAAATAAACATAACATTAATATAATCCATACATATTTAGCCATAGATATACCCAGCATCATAATTTCTTACTTTAATCTTGACTGTAAAAATGTCTGAGGGGGAAATTTCATATTTTATCATGGAAAAGTTCAACTTGTGTCTTACCTGCTACCAGTATTAGATTTCATCATATGTCAACAAGAAGCTGTAACCAATGCTATGTTGAGCTTTACCTGCTAGCAGATTTTACTTTAATAAACAGTCATAACATAACCTCAAACTAATCTAAATTAACTATAGTATAAGGTGGGAAATGTTCACAACAGGATTATTTTCCCTTATTTCACGATTAACATAAAACTGTTAAAAATTTTCATTAGCGAAAATTTAATTGTTATTGAATGTCAGATTAAGGGGCAATAAAAATGTAAAAATTTATCCTCATTGTATTTAAACTGGTTTGCAAATTAAAGTTGCAAAATTGAACCCCCTGCAGTAAGTCAATATACTGGACTTAGGATGACAGGTTAATCAGGAGCAGTTTAATTTCCTTCTGTGATTACCCCCGTTTTTTTATTCATTCTTCTGGAAAGATCCTGTCTTTTCAGTGAGTTTCAACTATGACCTTTGGTAAACAAACAACAGGAAAAAAGGTGTAGATAAGCTATATTACATATAATCCCTTAATCCATAAGCAGTATAAGATAACAATTCACTACATATAAACAACAGTAACATGAAGCATAAAACGAATACCATAGTGTATTTCCCTTTACTAGCATGAAGCATAAAACACATACAATAGTGTATTTCCCTTTAGTAACATGAAGCATAAAACACATATCAAAGTGTATTTCCTTTTAGAAACATGAAGCATAAAACGCAAACCAGTGTATTTCCATTTTGTAACATGAAGCATAAAACACATACCATAGTCTATTTCCCTTTAGTAACATGAAGCATAAAACACATACCATAGTGAATTTCCCTTTGGTAACATGAAGCATAAAACACATACCATAGTGTAGTTCCCTTTGGTAACATGAAGCATAAAACCCATACCATAGTGTATTTCCCTTTGGTAACATGAAACATAAAACCCATACCATAGTGTATTTCCCTTTGGTAACACAAAGCATAAAACCCATACCATAGTGTATTTCCCTTAAGTAACATGAAACATAAAACCCATACCAGTGTATTTCCCTTTGGTAACATGAAGCATAAAACACATACCATAGTGTATTTCCCTTTAGTAACATGAAACATAAAACCCATACCATAGTGTATTTCCCTTTGGTAACATGAAACATAAAACACATATCATAGTGTATTTCCCTTTAGTAACATGAAACATAAAACACAGACATTATAATAATGTATTTCCTTTTAGTAACATGATGCATAAAACACATACCAAAGTGTATTTCCTTTTAGTAACATGAAGCATAAAACACATACCATAGTGTATTTCCATTTAGTAACATGAAACATAAAACCCATACCATAGTGTATTTCCCTTTAGTAACATGAAACATAAAACCCATACCATAATGTATTTCCCTTTAGTAACATGAAACATAAAACCCATACCATAATGTATTTCCCTTTAGTAACATGAAGCATAAAACACATACCATAGTGTATTTCCCTTTTGTAAACTCAGCAACAACATCCTCTTTCACATCATCAACCCACTGGTTTCCTGAATTTTTTAATTGGTCTTTAACTATTACCACCAAATTTTCTAATTTCAAATATTCCTTTTTGATATCCCACCAATAGGGTTTCTCATCTGCAAAGTTAACATTGTAATACATTCATATATTTTCTATAAGTTAGGCAGATTAGTTGTTGAAGACTTCTTTCAACGGATCACAATTGAGAAAATGTAGTAATTAACTACCCTGTCATGATCATTTGATAACCTTCCCCCAGCAATTTATGTAAATTATTATTGTTGTTTAAAGTCCCATAACTCTGAAAGACAAAAGAGAAACTCATCAATGTGTTTAAAGATCATTAGACCAACATTCCTATATATCATAAAGATTTACCCTCTGATAATCATTCAAGTTTAAATTCTCTTCACTCACTCAAGGCATATATGGGTAGGTCAAGATATGTGAAAATGAACTTAGTATTTATATTAATGTTCCCAAACTCTGGATTGACTAAAGTGAAAAACTGACGAATAGGCAAAGTTTTAAGTTTATTGTGAAGAGCATACTTTAGATAGTGTGTAACATGTTTTTGTTCTCAACATATTTGGTATAAACAGCAAATAGCTTCAGATTAATTCTAATTTTTAACAATGTTTGAATAAATTGTTAAATTTTTTTACCTTTCAAGAAAAAACAAGCCTCCTGTGTCTTGTTTTTTAATTGCAGAGCTTCTTTATATGAAATATATATTCTGTAAAATATAGAAGTTTTTGTTCAACAAAATGTTATTACTTTTATCTCACCTAAATTTTTTCACACAACATAAAACAAGAAATATTTTAACTAAATCATAGATTGTAGGTTATTGTCAATATATATTTATCAATAAATTTTTCTTTAAAAAGAGAAGCAAAACCAATGAAATTATTTCTCATATCCCACTGCACAACAGAGTGCTATCCAAAAATATTTTAATTTGAATTGCCTTTCAAGCATCATAAAACAATATTGCAACATTACCATTGGATATTCAAAAGGTCAATAGGATGTACATTTCCTCCATGGCAATGGCAATATTTGATTTCTTCAATATTGTGCAAAACAATAACACTTTTCACCTGAAAAATCGTATTACTGTCAAATTTTATTACATTCTGAAGCATATAATAAGTTTTAAAATGTTTGAAGTGAAAGTTTGACATCAAACCAGGACATATTACGTCATACTAGTATATGCAAAAGACTAGATCAATGGTGATGATAACAATACTTACTGGAACACACCTACACCAATCTTTATAAGTGCCGACTTTGGATTCTTCCCAATTATTCCAAACCCTTCAATTACATCTATTACCGACTTGTAAAGACGGTCAGCTAGCACAGGTAACTTTACCTCTATTATTTCTTCCAATGTCTTTAAGAAAAAAAAGTTATATCAAAGTTGGATTGAATAAATCCTTTCATAGCCAGTTGGCAAGACCTAAGGGTTATGTCTTGCCTTATGACTTTATAACTGTCAAATTTGTTTAGAGAATAGTGTTGTTATCTACAAACAGGAAATGTGCCAAATTAACTACCCTAAATAATGTTTCTTAAACTAGCAACCAGAAGAAATGAAACTGGATCAGAAATGACCAAGGCAAAGGTCAGGAAATTTTTATGTCCCATGTTTAGCAGTTGGGAGGTCCATGTTTAGCAGTTGGGAGGGTCATGTTTAGCAGTTGGGAGGTCAGAAGACGCTGTTTGAGAGACAATGTTGTCACAGTAGTTTAAATCTGTTCCTTTTCAAGTAAGATTTTGCAAAAGGTTGCATAGGTGTCCTTAAAAACTTGGTTAAATATTAAATGTATATGGACATACTATCATCTCCTCTAAACAACTGCACATTAGCATATAGTCAGCAACCACTGCATGTTGATAAAAACCCCAATACACTATTGTATACAAGTATTGAATGCTTCTGTTTGTAGTTTTAGTGGGTTGTGAAAGTGTTGACTAAAGCTCATTATGAATGAAGCGTGAAAGTGCAAAAGACTAAAATTAAGCACACTTTCAATGTTTTTTTGCATTTACATCCCTATTGAATTACAAAAAGAAGCATTCAGTTCTTATAATTAAATCATTATGCTACAACCCTGAAATTAAGAATTAAATCAAGTCACAGATGATGCATTTTAAATAGAAATAAAATATAATATTTACAATGCCTTTGCCATTAAAAATCACAGAATGAAAGTTCTATGTACTGTAAATTCAGAAATTATTGCGTGCATTTATTATTGTGATTTTTCAAAAATGGACAAGAATGCGAGTTTAATTATTGCGATTTTAAAAAAATCTACATACAGATCTATGGTTTAGTTATCAAAATGCGAGTTCTTATTATTGCGATACTCACCGAGTCGCATTATTCGCATTAATAAAAACCTCGCAATAATTTCTGAATTTACAGTAATGAAATTATATCAATATAATGACCATATTACTAATGAGCATAGAACATCACATTTATCAACCTTCACATCACTAAACAAGTTACAAATTCAATCTGCAATTCTATTTATCTCTATTTTTTCAAATTCTGCTTTGATCTTTTTTCTGTGATAATTTTTATATCACGCTACTTGAGTAATAAACAGATAATCACTGGTATTTCAAACTCTTATATGTTTCTTTGCTACATCTCATCTCAAGTCTGTCGCCCTTCGATGAGATAGTAGCTGAGAGACACTCTTTTGTTTTAATTTGTTTGAAAAACCATAAGAAATCTATAATTATCTCTTGTTTTTCCACCTACTCTTCTAATGTTGATAATGACAAAAATAAATAGAACTTTGTTATTTCATTCTTCAATGGAACTCCTATAAAATCATTTCATTCTTCAATGAAACTCCTATAAAATCTATTTATAACAGAGAGGAAAGTAATGTTTAAGGGATTAACACATCAAGGTAGTTTTACTTACATTGTAAAAATTCATCACATCAGTTTTAATATCATTAAATAAAGTCTGTACTTTATTGATTAAATTTTTCACTGGTTTGATGAAGGGAGGTAGCTGGATTTCATCAAATTGTCCAATTGTCTTTATTGCATTACTTGCCCTAGATCTGAGGTCAGCAACCTGTTGAAAATACAACTTTTCAATTATCAATGTATAAGTTAGATGTTTGAAAACATCAAATATCCATGCTATAATACTGAACAATGCGTCTTTAAGAAATTCATGACCCCCTGTCAACAGCATACATGGATTTCAACAAGACCGATACTGTGTAAGGACCTGTGTCACATTGTGTTGTTTTGAAGAACAGCTTTAAATGCCATAAAAACTGGAAAACTACATGTGAAAGAATTGTCAATTGTCATAGTTGCAACCAATGTAAAAACTTAAATATGGTCTCATGGTAGTTAAGATAACAACAAGAGTGCATACGTTGAAATGTCTTGCCTGCTTTACGAACCACAATTGATTTTATGTTGACAGTCCTTAAGATAAAGTATCACATAATCTTAACATTATCAATGATCTATGAAAATGAGGTCAAGGTCAGATAAACCAAGCCAGACAGACATGCACATCTTACAATCATTCCACTCACCAAATATAGTTGACCTACAATTGCTTACAGTATTCAAGAAACAGACCAAACCGTAAAAACTTAATATTGACCAATTAACCATGAAAATGAAGTCAAGGTCAGATGAACCCTGCCACACAGATATGTACACCTTACAATCATTCCATAACCCAAATATAGTTGACCTATTGCTTATAATATCAGAAATAAATGAAGAATGTGTCTATGGGCCACAGATGCCATCGCTTGTAAATATGTGTCAGCAAATGTACTAATTACTGACATTTTCTTTTCTTTAAAAGTTAATGACATATATTTCTACATGTTGTTTGGTTGAGGCAAACTAAGGTAAGAGAAAGAAAACGTCAGATTTAGTAATTTTTCCATTTATAAAGGGCATAACTCAAGAACGGTAAAAGTGACACCACCCAATTTCAAACTTAATATCCTAGTAATATCATTTTATCATGTTATATTTTTACCAATAACATGTTAATGTAGTTGATCTGTTTTTTAGTAATAAGCTTTGTGTATAAGTTTCATAACATTTGGTTAAGGCAAACTAAAAATAATTGCTTAAATCCCTTTTTCAAACTTCTTTTAGGTTATGCATCTGTTATGAATCAGATGTTATTTTGAACAATAGAATTTCAAAACTATATTTCATTCCAAGATTTATTGGAATAAGTTGTAAAAATGGACTTTAATTATTTGTATTATTACCTTGGCAGGCAGACCTTTTAAAGCTTTCACCAAATTCTGGACGATAGTTTTGATTGAAAGTCTTCCACTGATTACATCCATAAATAAATTAATTCCTTTCTTTATACCACCAACAATGTTCTTCACAACTTTATCAAATCTCAATGCCATGTTAAGAATTTTTTTGATATCTGCCCCTTCCTAAAACATAACAAAAGATTAGTGATCATACATTGTATAATCATCAGTGTAAGCCATATGTGTTTGTTACCTCTAACACTTGTACTGTAATAATATTTATTAATCAAAATATATTAACACTCTCAAGAAATGTTTTTTTACCAGTAACATGATAATGTAGTTACACCAAAAGATATTTATCAACACTCAAGTTATGTTTTTGTTCCCTCTTAAATGTTAAAGACTTCAAGATATTTATTTGTTTCCACTAACAATTAATATGTTCATACTGTCAATATAAGTATTTGTTACCTCAGATATGTTTTAAAATATGTCAAGATATATATATATATTTGTTACCTGTAACATGTTAATACTGTTAAGATATGTGTTTGTTGCCTGTAACATGTTTACACTGTCAAAATATATATTTGTTACGTCTATTCTTTTAAAACTGTCAAGATATTTACTTGTTGCCTGTAACATGTTAAAACTGACAAAACATTAATTTGTTCCTGTAACATGTTAACACTGTCAAGATATGTATGTGTTGCCTCTAAATTCTAATAACATGTTAACACTGTCAAGATATTTATTTGTTACCTCTAATAATATGTTAACACTGTCAATCTATATTTGTTACCTCTTATAACATGTTGAAACTGACAAAACATTAATTTGTTCCTGTAACATGTTAACACTGTCAAGATATGTATGTGTTGCCTCTAATAACATGTTAACACTGTCAAGATATTTATTTGTTACCTCTAATAATATGTTAACACTGTCAATATATATTTGTTGCCTCAAATAACATGTTAACACTGTCAAGATATTTATTTGTTACCTCTTGGATGTTAACACTGTCAATATATATGTGTTACCTCTTATAACATGTTGAAACTGACAAAACATTAATTTGTTCCTGTAACATGTTAACACTGTCAAGATATTTATTTGTTACCTCAAATAACATGTTAACACTGTCAAGATATTTATGTGTTGCCTCTAATAACATGTTAACACTGTCAAGATATGTATGTGTTGCCTCTAATAACATGTTAACACTGTCAAGATATGTATGTGTTGCCTCTAATAACATGTTAACACTGTCAAGATATATATTTGTTGCCTCAAATAACATGTTAACACTGTCAAGATATTTATTTGTTACCTCTAGGATGTTAACACTGTCAATATATATTTGTTACCTCTTATAACATGTTAAACTGTCAAGACATGTATCTGTTGCCTCTAACATGTTAAACTTTCAAAGCATGTATTTGTGGCCTCTAACATGTTAAAACTTTCAAGATATATATTTGTTGCCTCTAACACGTTAACACTGTCAAGATATTTATGTGTTGCCTCTAATAACATATTAACACTGTCAAGATATTTATAGTTGCTACCTGTAATAAGTAAACACTGCTATGATATGTATTTACCTGAAATATGTTAACACTGTAAGATGTTTGTCCTTAGTAACATGTTAACACTGCTATGATGTGTATTTACCTGAAATATGTTAACACTGTAAGATGTTTGTCCTTTGTAACATGTTAACACTGCTATGATATGTATTTACCTGAAATATGTTAACACTGTAAGATGTTTGTCCTTTGTAACATATTCTGGCCAGAAAAAACTCCAGGTTGATACCAACTAATCCAACATGAACCATGGCATATACCTCATCATGGACACTCACTTTAAAGTGACCTCTAAGTGGAGCTGGGAAAATAGAAAATAGAGTAAGCTTATAATCAATTTAGGCCCAAAACATATAAAATAGTTTTATGGGTGTTATAAAATTTCATGGTTTTTGTTATCTACAAAATGATTTATCTACTGTAATCAATACAGTTTCTATTTGTTAGTATTAACTTATATTTGTCCATAAGACAAAACAGAGTATAATAGTACTGCTTTAAGGGTGTTAAACTTCATCAACCACTCACAAGAATGTAAGTAACGAAGGTCATCTTTGCACCTAAGTCTACGTAGAGATGTATATAATAGATGAAATTCCTATCATGATATTATTGGCAGGTTTACTGATAAAATGTAATGGTTGGCAATTTTTTCTCAGATCAATTGCAATGGACAGGATTTTTCTATATGTCATCTCAAGAAAATTGACAGGTCATTAAAATACAGGGATATCATGAAACAACAATAGTAGATATAACAAAAATATGACAAAATGAAAGCAAGAACAAAACACATGTAATACATAAATATCATCACAAAAAACTGCACCAGGATGTCACATCACTTATAGAATATTTAAGTAATATATTACTAGACTAAATACTGTTCATCATTATTACGGTAATATTTTTTTTAACTTAAGCATCCAATTCAACAGGGGAAATCTGTCATTTAGCTACCTTAAAATATTACGAGCATACTTATAAAATATGGAGATGTGGTATGATTGCATATGAGATTACTATTCAAAATGAAGCAGATTTATGCAACTATTGGTCATCATACAGCCTTCAACAATGAGTAAAACCTATACCATATAGTCAGCTATAAAATACCAAAGCATATAAAACATGTAAAACAATTCAAACATAGACCTAGCATGGCTGGATAAAAAATACCACACTTTTTATCATAATTCTACAGGTACCAAACTTCATAATCAAATCTTTGTATCTATGAAAATTGCAAGAAAATTAAAAAAAATTATGGTAACAAGATCCCTGACTTAATAACTTACCAGTTATATATAGAATACATTCATTGAAATCTAAAATATCACTACAGACAGGAAGATATCAAACAAGATGGGGAAAAACACACTGTAAGAAAAGCCAGGGCCAAAGGAGCTACCATTCAAAATAAGGGAAATAAACAAAAGGGAACGAAAAAACTACTCTTTTATCAGAACATTTTCTTTTGATTTTCCATCTGACTAAACTTTTTATGCATTTGTTTCATAAGGGTACATTTAAAGTAAGTCTGACAGCATCACATGTCACACAGGTTGTGTAATTGGCATCAAATAAACTACTTGAGTAATACAAAAGGAACTTGGTCACCATTTAAAGTCATTCAATGGGTTTTAAGTACTATGTTTTCTATAGATTTTCATGTGATAAAATGTACAATTAATTCAGTGTTGTATTGCATTTTTGATAACGAACAAAAACCTATTTCTGCCTCACAAGGAATGGTCATATTAATTTTAGTTTCAGTTTCAAACTTGTCATATTTCATAAAAGGTAAAATTAAAAAAAAACATCAAGGGACAATAAAACAATATCAGTATATAAATGACAATATCTGGTAATCCTCGGACAATATACCAGCCTTCCTCTCAAAAATGGCCACAGGTAAAAAGTAACAAGATCTTCCTTATAATATTAATGATCAGTAGACTTACAAATTAACAAATCCAAATAATTCTCCATAATGACTCCAAAAGAAGCTCCAAGTGCTGCGTTTCCAATTCTCTTCTGCCAGTTAACAGCTGGGGCAGCTAACTTAAATTTCAGACCTTCCCAGAATCCCCTACGACTTCTGTGGTGGGCTTGTACATCGATATCTGAGGCATAGGGATCTGTAATAGCTGTACCATTATCTGCAGATCTACAAAAAAAAAAACAAAGATGTCTTTTCTTTCAGATCAATGTATATCTACAATGAGATAATGTATACTCATTCTTAAAAATAGTTAATAATGTAAATAATAGTATCTGAGAAATGGACTTATTGTTGATGAATAAACCATGAAAATGATGTCTTTAAGAGGTCTTTTATCATTAAAACAAGGTAAAGGACAATAGTTGTGCAAGACATATAAGCTTCAGACCTTAAACCATCTGTATACCAGATAAAGATTATCCAGTTCTTATAACTTCTGAAATATGGAGCTTTTACATAAGCTTGTACAACCTCTGTCAGCACAAACATTTTTTTGCTTTAAATTCAAGGACATTCAATCATAAAGACAAATAATATGCATACCTTTTGCAGTATGCAACTTCAGAATATGTTTATTTCATAAGGCATCATCCATCTGTCTAGTTAACATACAGACAAAAAAAAAGATTCTTACAAAAATCAAGTGCGACTTTAACAAAATTGATATAAAAGGAAAGTTCCTATGTCCCCCATGTTGCACATATTTTAACTATCCAAGGGCAATAACTAAAAAAAGTGTTTATACTATAAGTTTTATAAAAATCTGGCAAGAATTGTACCTGTGAGAGCGCTAACAAGACCGGACAGACAGACACACAGACGCACCGATACCCGGTATTTCTATGTCGCCCGCAAAAGTGTGCTCGGGGGAAAAAATTTAATTTTTCTACATAACTATTCTACAGCCTAAGTCATTGAAATTTTACATATGATTAATTATCTAAAATACATTCACCTACAAATGTGTAACTTACTGGTAGAGCTTTGTATGATTCTAATATCTTTTACTACCAGGAGGAACGAACCCATGCTTTGGATGTGCCTGGTACAACTGTAGAACTTTGTCTGATTCTAATACATTTTATTACAAGGAATAACCACCTTAGACTTTGGATGTGCCTGGTACAACAATAGAACTTTGTCTGATTCTAATACCGTTTATTAAGTAGAAATAACCCTGGACTTTGGATGTGCCTGGTACAACAATAGAACCTTGTCTGATTCTAATACCGTTTATTAAGTAGAAATAACCCTGGACTTTGGATGTGCCTGGTACAACAATAGAACTTTGTCTGATTCTAAAACCGTTTATTAAGTAGAAATAACCCTGGACTTTGGGTGTGCCTGGTAGGACATTAGAGCTCTGTCAGGTACCACTATCTATTATTGAGATTAGTAACAGCTAATTCCTTTTATTGAGAGGTGTAAAAACTCTGAACTCTAGATGTGTCTAGTATAGTAATGAAGCTCTGACTATACTCATACCTTTTATTGAGAGGTGTAACAACTCTGGACTTTGGGTGTGCCTGGTACATCAATAGAGCTTCATATCGGACATTTTCATCTTCATCATATAAAGCTGACTGTAACATGGCATCTGCAGCCTATTGACAAAAAAGTTTCATAATTTGTTAAAGTGGACTTCATAATTAATACTAACATAGGCTTACATTATTAATTAAAGAATCTTTGTCAGCAAGTTCATATAACCCCCCCCCCCCTATATAAAGGTGAAAAGCTTATAGGGATCTCAGTCCTCTCATTCTATGTGACCATGTATCCAAGTAAGGTTGCAACAATATGTACCTTTTAATTTAGTATCTTGAAACCTATTTTCTGCACAAGTTTATGTATATTTTTTAGAAACTGTGACAGTGACCATTGACCTGGAGAATAGCATATTTGCCAACTTAATTTGTTTTAGAATCCTTAAAATAATTTTCTTCACAAATTTCACTATGACCTTATGCATATTGTTGATACACATTTTTAAATCTTAAAGTAAACTAATAAATTCCAGTTCAATTATATTGATAGCAAAACTGAAAATCCAAATCAGTTATTCCTAATTCAGCATTTGTTAAAAGTCTAGTTGAATAGCTTTTAATAATAGAAATAAAAACATTGAAGTTACAAGCAATGCCTAAAAAAATGTTTTCAGAACACCAAAGTAAGAGCAAACTAAAGCGTATGAAGCACATGGAAAGTACCTAAAACAAGAGTTTACAAATGCAACCATTGTATGGAAATAAATTACCTCATACATGTCATATATTTTTAAGAAAAGTTAAATGATTATAAACACATGAAATCCTAGCTTACCGTTTGATGCTGGTATTTTCTCAGAGCATGCACACCAGCTCTTTTGATCCATGGTGAATTAGTAGAATTAATATGTGAAACTATTATATCATATGATATATCCATTTGAGCATTTCCTAATGTCTCTAGTAGAACAACATGGGTGTGGTCATACTTCTCCTTCTCTATATCAGTTTGAATGGCACGTTTAGATTTGTAAGTCCATGGATCTGAAACATATTAAGGAGTATCTTATTTTAACCATGTTTAACAACCTAGATACTTTAATACACTTACTTCTGCTTGATAGATGACCTTACAGGAATTTTTCTTGCAAACTTATTTCTCTCTTCCGCTCGTACAAAATTTTGAGACGTTAACAGACAGACAACTTACCCTACATACATTATATCAGCCATGGTTGGTCAACATTGGCTTTGTAGTTTCAAAAGACAAATCAAATGTGAAAAGTAAATGGACAGAAAAAGAACACCAAGTAATCGTCTAGGCAAGCTAACAAATTGATGACAGATGTAGATTTAACAGCTGACAATCAAAACATATACAACAAGTTTCTCTTTGGAAAATTGTTAATACTTTTATAAAAAAAGAAAATTTTACCATGCAGTCCTATCATACTATGAACTTTGTCTATTATATCTGTTGCCCTTTCTATCTGTCCACATTTGGCCAGCTTGTGCACAACAGAACCTAGTGCCAACAGTACTCTGTTATAGAGATCTCCAGTGTACAGATACTCAGGAAACTTATCTTTGTGGAAACACAGGTCAACCATACCATTTATTATACTCTGAAATAAATAATCATATGTTGTTTTGATATACTAGTCTGATAGTATGCATTACCTCATACTAAATAGTTCTACAATTCACATGACTTTTTCATGAAAATTTAATTTCTATGGAGGAAAGTCTGCGATACAAGTCTCATTGTAAAAATAAACTTGATGTAGAGGAAAGTAAAGCAATACAAGCCTCATTAGTAATAACTACCTCTTTAGGAGAATTGTCATATCCCGATACATGTGATACAAGCCTTATTATAAATAATTACCTCATCAGGAGAATTGTCATATCCCGATACATGTGACACAAGCCTCATTATCAATAATTACCTCATCAGGAGAACTGTCATATCCTGATACATATGACACAAGCCTCATTATAAATAAATACCTCATCAGGATAACTGTCATATCCTGATACATGTACATGCAACACAAGCCTCTGTGACACACACCTCATTATTAATAATTACCGCATCAGGAGAACTGTCATATCCTGATACACGTGACACAAGCCTCATTATCAATAATTACCTCATCAGGAGAACTGTCATATCCTGATACATGTGACACAAGCCTCATTATAAACAATTATCTCACTGTCATATCCTGATACATGTGACACAAGCCTCATTATAAATAATTACCTCACTGTCATATCCTGATACATGGGACACAAGCCTCATTATTAATAATTACCTCATCAGGAGAACTGTCATATCCTGATACATGTGACACAAGCCTCATTATAAATAATTAGCTAACTGTCATATCCTGATACATGTGACACAAGCCTCATTATTAATAATTACCTCATCAGGACTGGAGAATTGTCATATCCTGATACATGTGACACAAGCCTCATTATAAATAATTAGCTCACTGTCATATCCTGATACATGTGACACAAGCCTCATTATTAATAATTACCTCATCAGGACTGGAGAATTGTCATATCCTGATACATGTGACACAAGCCTCATTATAAATAATTACCTCACTATCATATCCTGATACATGTGACACAAGCCTCATTATTAATAATTACCTCATCAGGAGAACTGTCATATCCTGATACATGTGACACAAGCCTCATTATGAAGTTCTCCTGCGGTTTAGGATTTCTGATGATCATGTTTGTCAGCAGTCCCTGCACATGGTCGTTTGAAAGAACTGCAAATGCATCTATCATTATCTCTATACTTTCCTTGTTTTTTTTGGAGCTAAAACAAAAGTACACCAACAATATAAAACTGAAGACAGTTTCTCTATAACCAAAAACTTATAAGAATTAAGAATAATACTTTCATAGTATTGTAAATAAACATCAGTTTCTAGTATCTTACTATTCCTGTATTAACTCTTTGGTACATAATAAAGTTGATTTTAGCATTTATTGAGAAGGCAATCAAACCTTTTCCCAGATTTGGTTGTATTTAGAGTTATCTGTATATTCAGCCTGTGGAATTAGGTTATTAGATAACGGTTATACAACTGAAGCTTTAGTTAACATTGTCATTCCATATTACTTGTTGATTGTATATTATGTATGTGCGTCTCTATGTTAGAACTAAAGGTCAGTGATCGGGAAGGACGTGCGCCTTGCGCCAATTGCTCTTATCGACCAGAAATGGCGCATAGAGTGACAAATGTAAGCGCCCGCGTGGCGCATGATATTTTTCACTTCCTTTTGAAACGTTGAGATATCGTCAAATGGATTTCCGATCGTATTTCGTGCCGCCATGTGTGAGTACACAACTGTGTAGTGTTTACTCCAATGATAGGAGCACCTATATATTTTTGGGACGTCTCGGGTGTTTTCCTATGGTAATAATAGCAACATGCGGTATGACTGATTACCCACAAAACGTAATTAACCATCATTCATGATATAATTTTTTATAAACAACTTTAAATTTGTGAAAATTGGCTAGTACAGGCGAGAATTCTTCTCTAATTATAATCTTTTAAGTAAGCTTGCTATTATTTCAATTGAAAAACCCAAAAGCCTTTTTATGAATAGTATAGTATTTGTCTCCATAAAAGGGGCTTAACTGTCCTTGTCAATTTTTTTGGTCTTTGGCTCGTTTTGACATTTTGTAAACATGCCTTCAGCGAATTGTTGTTGAGTCTTATCAATTAACGTTGCTCTCTACTGTTATTCTTGTCATCGTGATGAAGTAATAATAATACAAGTGCAGAGGAAATACCAGAAACGTCCTCTAATACGGAACGTCTGGAATAAGTATGGTATCGACGAAGACCCAAATTTAATGTAAAAAAAACATGAACATGAACAAGGGAACAGAACAAGTTTTAACATTGTAAATAAAGGTTATCGTAAATATTGCCCGGTTTGGAAGAAGTTATTGTATATTCTTGAAATTGAAATTACAAAATTACAGGAACAATATCCATGATATTAATTAGAATCATACTTGTAAGTACAGTGAAATATACACTTTTTTTAAATTTTTTTTTTATTGTAAACGAATGGCCCACTCATTTGACAACATGGCCCATTAATTCTAAAAATGGCCCATTGAATTTATTTTTGGGGGGCCCTGGGCCCATAGAGAAAAAATCCTTCCAGATCACTGAAGGTGTATGTTTGATTATTTTATATCAAAATTAAAAGTGTATGCTCTGATGATAATTCCTGTATTCATGAAGTGACTGAAAACAGAATTCAGAATATTGAAGATAAAATAAAAAACAAACAGATATTTTAAGCATAAAAGATGCTTTAAAAATTTAAAATACTAAGGTACAACCAAACTGTTTGACATTAAATGGTAAATATTTTTATGTTGTTATGTATGAATGACTTACACAGGTTTTAGTTCAATAGAGGATCCCCTAGATAAGTTTGAATGACTTACACAGGTTTTAGAACAATAAAGTATCCCTTAGCTATGTTTGAATGACTTACACAGGTTTGAGTACAGTAAGTATCCCTTAGCTATATTTGATTGACTTACACAGGTTTAAGTACAATAAAGTATCCCTTAGCTATGTTATCAAGTTCTTCATTAGGTAGACTTCCTGTAGCTTCCACCAATTCGTGAAAACATGTTAAAACTTTTCTTGATCCTGAAATTAAAATGCATTTAATTTAGTTCTCACTAGTGTTATTGCTCGTCATAAATTATCATGTCAACTATTATGCCTGGTAACTTTTGTATACTTTATATACAGGACCAAAGCCATAAGATCATATGAAAAATTTAAGGTTCTTAAGCAATTTCTCATCAGGATGGATGACTTATTTCTATTTCTATATGTTGCATTCAAGTTTTTTTTGTTTCATTGTTTGTTTCAATGAGTGTTTTTTTCTCTCAATGAGATAAATTGTATAAAAATTCATAAAACATATGATTTAAACAGAAAGAAATGAATAAACAAAAAATATAAATGAATTGTTTATCAAAATTTGAACTGGCATTTCTTATTGCATTAATTGACATTAAGTAGAAATGAAAAATCCTTGAATAACTGGAAATCAGTAATCTTATACAACTAACCTTGCTCTGGTTCATCTCTTATACAACACATGGTTCATCTCTTATACAATCCACATTGATCCCATATAACTAACCTTGCTCTGGTTCATCTCTTATACAATCCACAGTGATCACATATAACTAACCTTGCTCTGGTTCATCTCTTATACAATCCACAGTGATCCCATATAACTAACCTTGCTCTGGTTCATCTCTTATACAATCCACAGTGATCCCATATAACTAACCTTGCTCTGGTTCATCTCTTATACAATCCACAGTGATCCCATATAACTAACCTTGCTCTGGTTCATCTCTTATTCAATCCACAGTGATCCCATATGACTTACCTTGCTCTGGTTCATCTCTTATTCAATCCACAGTGATCCCATGTAACTAACCTTGCTCTGGTTCATCTCTTATACAATCCACAGTGATCCCATATAACTAACCTTGCTCTGGTTCATCTCTTATTCAATCCACAGTGATCCCATATGACTAACCTTGCTCTGGTTCATCTCTTATACAATCCACATTGATCGATCCCATGTAACTAACCTTGCTCTGGTACATCTCTTATACAATCCACAGTGATCAATCCCATATAACTAACCTTGCTCTGGTTCATCTCTTATACAATCCACAGTGATCGATCCCATATAACTAACCTTGCTCTGGTTCATCTCTTATACAATCCACAGTGATCGATCCCATATAACTAACCTTGCTCTGGTTCATCTCTTATACAATCCACACTGTCTTTGATGATTTCTTTTAACTCCTTAATAGTCTTATCAGAATGAGCTGTCTTGTTGTACTAGTAAAACATAGACATAGATTATACAAGAAGTCAAATGCTTCACCTGCTTTACTGATCATGATAAATTTTTTTCACTTTTGGTATTTAGCTGAATTTTGTCTCTGAATGACCTTAGATCTGTTCCGAGTAACCTTCTGATGTCAAGCAACAATCACTTTTTAATTGTGACGTCAAAATAAATTGTGATGTCAAATTTTACGAGAACTTGTGTGATTTTACGTAATGGAAGACAAATTTGCATACAAGTGTAAATACGTCTATTGAATTCAATGCATATGGTATACTACAAGTATCACATGACCTTAACATTATCGACAATCCATATAAATGAGTTAAAAGTTAGAGACATGTTCTCTTTACAATCATTCCATACACCAAATATTGTTGACTTATTGCTAATAGTATCTGAGAAACCAACCTAACCACAAAAACTTTATGTTGTTCAATGAACAATGAAGATGACTTTAGGGTCAGACGGATTCTGCCAGTACACCTTGCGACCTTCCCATAAACCAGATAAAGTTAACATATTGCTTATAGTAAGAGGAAATCTTAGAAGATGAATGATAAATCTGAAAATGCATCACACAGAATAGCATGCTCACATGAGACTGGATATCAAATTTCAGGGAAGTTCTGATTTGTAATTCTTGAGAAAAATATAACGGATATTTCTTACATGGCCATTATGTGTAAGAAAATATAAGCATTGAACCAAAAGGAAGTGGATAAAAGATGTTATTACACAGTAAAGCAGGCTAACATGAAGCAGTTAGCAGTTTACAATATTTCTGAGCTGGTGTATACAAATAATTTTTCTAACATCTTGAAATGTTCCTTTTGCCATTTTTTAAGTGACATCATTGTTAAACTACAACATCATGTCTAGACTAACCAGTATATCAATATTTTCTTAAAGCCCATCTTTTGAGGTTAAAAAATCAATGGAAGAAATGTTAATTGTTCAAAATAACATGAATAATATTTACAGTGGTTGCATGTAGACTGGCATTCACAACTTTTTCTGATGGTCTGAATTCAATTTCTTTCACTGTCTGTCTTGTAAGAAATTTCAATTCACCATGATTTGTAGCCGACATTGTTGGATAATCTAACAATGAAAGTAGACAAGAGTGTTACCTTACTTCTGAAAACTTACATATTTTTCACAAGCTATTTATTTTTGTGACATTGTAAAGTACAAAAAAATTGAATATAAATCATTGCAAAGTTGTAAAATTTGGATTCTCTCTTAAATAAATACACCCAGAAATTGAAAAGAAATAATGTCATTATGCTGTACTGGAAAATTGTAAATGATCCATATTCTGTAATCTATCAGACAATTGTCCAGAATATGCATGAAATATTGGATGTTAAGCAAATCAATCAATCAGCTTATAAAATTGAGAACTCTTTATTTTTATTGGAACTTTAGGATAACTGATGTTGACTTACCCATGGAATTGAAGTCATTAACAGCCTTATACTTTCTCATGTTGTGGTATGGATCAAAGCTGGAAAATATATTTGGCATATCAGAAGTATAGACCTCAGATCACTTATTCTTACAGTTTTCTGAACAAAATATTCTAAAATCTTGCATCACTTGATTCTTTTTTTGGAAATTAAATCTGGTTATAAGTATGAAGCTTGAAATATGAAGTCACTGAAGAAAAAAGTGGGCAATCAAAACCTTTAAGTCATAAAAAATAGACATTACCCTGTCAAAAGCTAAATAATGAAAAGACAAACAACGATCCAAAAAGCACTACATAAAAACTTAAGATTAAGAAACACTAACTTAAGTTTCAACGATCCAAAAAGCACTACATAAAAACTTAAGATTAAGAAACACTAACTTAAGTTCCAACGATCCAAAAAGCACTACATAAAAACTTAAGATTATGAAACACTAACTTAAGTTCCATCGATCCAAAAAGCACTACATAAAAACTTAAGATAAAGAAACACTAACTTAAGTTCCAACGATCCAAAAAGCACTACATAAAAACTTAAGATTATGAAACACTAACTTTGGTTTTTCTCAACATTTGAATAGAAGTCTGAATAAAAAAGATAACGACTGAACAGATGAGGATAGATTTATCAAAACTTCCAAGATAACTTTAGGATAATTACAACAAATCTGGTGAAATTATTTTACACTTTCCTTGGTATTTTTTTAAGGTTCATAAGAACAGAAATATGTGGGTCTGTTTTGTTATGAACTGTTAGTTTTCATGTGTGAATTGCTTCACATTTTGTCATGTCAGGGCCTTTTATGGCTGAATATACGGTATGGGTTTGCTCATTGTTAACGGCCATATGGTGACCTTTAGTTGCCTACATACATGTCATTAGGACTATGCAGATGGATAGTTGGCTCATTGACGAATATACCATATAGATCTCCTAATTGTTGTATATAGGATATTTTTGGTTTGGTTTAAAATATTCATTAAAACATAAAGAACAATAAAGTAATCTAAAAAGTGTCCATAATATTAAATATACATACTCTGGTGAAATTTGAGGTGATGAAAAATCCTCTTCAACAAGTACTCTGTGAATGGTTCCTAGGTCATGATCAAAATGCAAAGTCTAAAAACAATACAATTGACTTTTTAATTGATAAAATAATAAGAGCATCAATATAAATAAAATCTTCAAGTCACAAGAATCAAATTGAAATCTAAGTCCTTGGCCATCATACCTCATCAATATGATCCATCATAGCTATCAATAATTAGTGAATTAATCACAAAAAAAATAAATTATGTCGGTTAGGTGCTTAAAATACTCAACTGATGAATGATCCAATAAATTAACCAATAAATCATTGATTGATTGATGTTTTATACCACTTTTCGACACTCTTAGATACATCATGGTGGCAAGCCCAAGTACAAGGAGAGAACAACAAAAAAAGAACAAAACATGATATACCCTTGTAACCTTTTCTATGTAAAACTGGTATCTGCAATCAAGATTCCATTAGAACAATGTTTTCTTATTTCTCTATAAAACAATCACAAAAATATCGACAAATAACTTTTCAAAACTGATTGTAAACATAATAAATGGGGATGTGGGTTGTCTTTCAATGAGACAGCAACCCAATAACAAAATTAACATCTAGAGGGCAACAGTCTTCAACAAAATGTCAAGCTTGAACTCATCAGGAGGATTTATCAGATGTGATTAATTATAGAGTAACACAGGTTGGCATGAAGTTTTTCTACAGTAACCTGTTACTCCTATCTTGATAGCTACATATAAATATATATATAGGTGAATGTACTTTTATGTACCTCCTGTTATATGAATACAACAATACGAGGGGTAATTTACCTTCATGTGACTTCCTTTTGCATTTGGTATTGGAGTACTTTGTCTTGTCTTCTTAAATTCAATACCAGTAGGTGTCCTGACAACTGAATATGTAGCATTATGATGCCCTGAAAAAGCCAGTCACTCAAAGTACAAACAAGATTTACAGATTAAGCTTGAAATTTCATTCAGTTATTACTGAAGTTACCCTGGAAAAAAGGTTTACTTCTATCATTAAGATAGAGAGAAGAGAACGTAGGTTGTTCAAGGCTTATACATGTAGCTGATGGAATTACATCTTACAAAGAATACCCGAATCATTTGCCCTGGGCCAAAATTAAAATTAAGTTTGTTTCCCCACACCCCGACCGACTGAAAAAATATCCGCCGACTCAAAAAAAATTTTTGTGTTTCTCTACATTTTTTTTTTTTTTTACCAAAACGGAAAGTTGGAGATTGTACACGAACTTGTTCCGTATCTATCAAATATTTCAACATGGCCGAAAGAATCGGCATGTCAGTGTCTTGCTGATGTTCAACGGCTGTTTTGCCAGACAAGATGGGGCCGTGGGACGTCAGAGCTCGTCCCATATCAAAAAGTGGACATTTGCCTGGCCAAAATGGATGTGCTGCTTCGTTGCTTCTGGAGTTGACTGACGGCATTGGATCCATATAAATTGTCCCTCAATTTGTTACACTCTTTCAAAGTGAAAGTTAAAAGGCCGGAATCGATGGGTCACTGTGAAAACTGTCCAAATACAATGTATGGAAAATAAAGGGTAGCAGGTAGATGAAACTTACATAAATAAAGAGATAAATGAAAAATTAACAAATTGAGGCCCAATTTATATGGATCCAATGGAATCAGTCAGCTCCAGAAGCAACGAAGCATAGCATCCATTTTGGCCGTTGGACATCGAAGTAATCTCGGACAAAACAACCAAATGCCTTTCAAATCCTTATGTCTCAGAATACTGTACAGAAGTCAACCAAAACAAAGATGAAACATCAGCTTCCAGATATAATGATATAATCTTTAAAAAAACATTTGTCACATTGAATAAAAATTGAGGCATATATTTTTTTCTGCAAATAATATGTTCCTTTAGGATTAGGGGAACCTGCCAAATTCTTTGTCAGAACATAAAATTCTGGTATCATTTCTATCTGTACGATTCTGTCCCTCACCTGTTTTTGAATTTTTGTTTATATAAACCTCATGTTGGAACGTGCACTCAATGAAGGGGGTTAGGAGGGGGTACCTTCCTTTCAAAATAAAAACATCATCCCATTTTCTTGTAAAATTGTATACTATAGACTTGCATCCAAATCTACATGAAATGAAACGCTTCCTGCTACATGCTTATTCCAAATTCCCATGGAATAAATGGCCATTGAATTCAGCATTCCCGATAAAGGTCCTACTGCCCCTCTTCAATGAACATACATAGTATTGAAACTTCATACACTTAATACAGATTTATAAATATATCTGGTTTAACTAAAAATTCAGCCCCATCTTAAATGGTTTATACATTTAAATGATATTTCTAAGTTTTATGTGAAGCCAAATAGACACAGTGTCATAAGAGGTGTCATTTTAAAACTTAATGTCTGAAAAAATAAATTTTATGCTGCAGGTAATGTAAATACATGTATTACATTTTACATGTACTAAAAGTCATGAATATCTAAAAAAAAATTGAAAGGGTTCACATAACAAACAAAACTCTGAGACAAAAACTGCTGAAAGGCGACATCCCCCCCCCCCCCCCCCCCCCAAAAAAAAAAAAAAAAAAAAACAAAACACCTACCTACCCACTTTGAAAAATGTGGGTAGGGGTGTGGGGAAACAAACAATTTTTTAAGGATGGCCCTACACATGGGTTATTTCCTGCCAAGTTATCAAACATATATTGTGTGTGCCCCCTGGTTGTCTTATTGTTTTTATTCTGCAATCAGTACAGATAACAGGTACACAAAAAATTTTTTGCTTTATATATACGTGTACAAATAAAGTCTCTAGTTACCCTGCTTCCATGTTTAGCAATTAAGCGGTATTAATGTGAATATTTCTTTTTTGCGTAACAGTTCATTTCATGGTCCTCTTCGTGGTCCATGTTTAAACTATCTAGATTTCTTTAAAAAATCAGAGACAACTATTTTGATTTAAACAACTAAAGCTTCAAGTGCTGGAAGTAAGTTGCAGGATAAAAACAATATATGTACATAGTCGGAAAATATAAACTGTCTTTGTACTTGCTACGATACAGGACTAGGAGAAGAGCTCAACAAGCCTTGCTTTTTCTTCCGGATTCGTAACCAGGTACAAATAATTTTATATTTTTCGAAAATGTACATTTATTGTATATATGTATTGTTATTGCACAGTTCAGTGTGATTGTTAGGCTAATTATGACAGGATATGTTTGATCTGTTTGCCAGATTTATTTTATTTATATTATTCCATGGGTTTGTTCTTCAATTCACAGTTATGGCATGGTGGCAGATCGTCAGTTTCCAAAGAAGTCTGCTCAAACTCGTCCTAGGAGCAGTCTAACTTGCAATGAGATGAGAGATTTTGCTCTATGCTGAAGGCCTCGCTGTGAATTTGAGGTGAAGAACAGCAATAAAAGCTCTGTTCCTTTTCTTTTTGTTTTTTGCTGTGCATGTATTGATCTTGTTTAACTCAATATCTAACTCTACATTACCCTAAAAGGAAAATATTTTAATGATCTTCCCATTTGGTGTAGTTTCAACCAACTTAGATAATTGTATAGCATTACCTTCATTTCCAAACTCTTCTGTTTTGTAACTCCATTCAGTGCTGGATTGTTCATTCTTAAAAATAAAATGTATAAAAATAAATCTGATTCTAATACTTTTAAAAGCTTAAGTATTTCTATTCTTTGTGATAGGCCACGGATTATAATACATTCTAGTATAACATTCTACAAATATATTGTTTGTCACCAGATTGGTAACATCATGATTTGTTTAGGCTGTTCAAATCATACTCCCAACTCGTTTGCTTTTTATGAATGAGTTACCCCAGGAAACAGTGTAAATGACCTCATTGAACAATCAATTCTAATCGCAACATCAGAATCAAAGCATTCTATTGGAAAATCCACGAAAATGAAAGTTGTCAAAACATAGAAACATAAACAAACAATGTAAAAGTAAACTCTTAAATAAAAGTATTATTTCTTGAATAATTTCAGTAATATCAAGTAAGTAATTATACAAATGAAATTGATATAGGTCTAAAATATTTATTTGTGTTTTGAAAACACAAAAAATACTTGTTGGAAGCAATACACATCCAACCTTCTGCATTGGACAGTGTAACAAACATCAATTCCTTCTTTTCCGACAGAAACATATATTTAAATTATTACATTTAAATTATTACATTTTCATAATTATTTAACTGCATCCAAATTTTTCTAAGTATGTTATTATAAATCGCTTAAGCATGTCACTAATTCAGTTTTCTTCATCTTTTATGTCAATATTAAAAATGTGTTTAATTACAAGAACAGCAAATATTTGCCTTCACCTTGAGCCTTTTGATAAAAAAATTGATGTCTTTTGTTTATTAGAATATAAATAATTGAAACTATGGAAGATTTGGCCCCATCAAACTTTTCTAAAACTTCTACTTTCATAGATATAGCTAATCCCTTGCTTTGCTGTGGACAAACCCTAACTAAATGCTCTAAAGAGCCTGTGTCTCTCATATAGGTCTATGTACATTGTAGACTAGAATAGATTTCATGACAAAAATCTTTTTTTTTGTCGATCTTGTATTGCTGATCATTTTTCTGTTTACAGTGTCTCTCTATCTTCTTCTTCAGTTGTTGGCCAAAACACAAAAAAGGGAAACAAAATATTTTGTTTAAGGGTAATCACTCCTATAAATTTTTTGATGTGTTTGAGCTTTTGATTTTGCCATTCGATTAGGGACTTCCCGTTTTGAATTTTTCTCTGAGTTCGGTATTTTTGTTATTTTACTTCTGACTATTTCAGCAAAATTTATCTTATTTGTAGATCTTGTCTTTCTGATCATTTTTGCTTATTTAAGTTTCTATCTATTTATTATAATTTTTCGGATATTAGGAAAAAATGCCAAAACTTGATAAAAATCTTCATTACAGGGCAATAACTCCAATCAGGAGTCTTCTGATGATTTTACCAATGGTAATCTTGTCTTGCTGATAATTTTTGCCATTTTAAATTCACTCTTTCTATTAAATACTATTTTAAGAAAATAGGCAAAAAATGAAAAATTTGATAAAATTCATCATTGAAGGAAAATCCCTCCTATAATAAGTCGTCTGACAGTTTTCATGTAATTAGACAATGGGTAGATCTTATCATTTCGCACATTTCTGACCCTCTCAGATTTTCTCTATTTGTAGCGGTTTTCTAGATAAAATTTCAAGTTTTACACCTATGTTCCATTTTTTGCCATGTCGGCCATATTTGTTGGAAGACAGGGTCATGGGACACACATTTTAAACAAGATATCCCTAAATGATGATTGTGGCGTCAAGTTTAGTTAAATTTGGCCATGTAGTTTCAGAATAGAAGATTTTTGTAAAAGTTAACAATGACGGACAACAGATGGAGGACAGACGCCAAGTGATGAGAAAAGCCACCCTCAGAAATAACTTGTCTGATTTCCAATGTCTTTCATAACACAACTGACATTGCAAGGTAATATACACCAAATTCTCCAGTTGTTATTTTATGAATGAGTTATACATGTTGTCCCAGGGTCAATCGACATAATCGACGTCATCGAACAATAGGTTCTTACTGTGACCAGTCAGGGGAATTACTTAAATGAGTGATTAAGAAATCACTGAATCAAGTAACATTTGGTCCAGAAATGTAAGTAAGAGTTGTCTTTCTTTGATAATCACCTATTTAAGTACATGTAGTACAAATAAATCACTAGACTTAGTGATTTAAATTTGTTGTTGCTTTAAATATATAATACTAATGATCCATGGACTGATTATGTTGCTAAAATTATCAGAATCAACATCTGTGTTTATAGGATGACTGGTCATGTCAGGTGATGACCTTGTACAAAATGTTGTACTGAATCTTGGATAATGACATGAAAATCACTTGTTTAAGTATCATACCTCTAGTTTCTTCAAAAAATCACTTCTTTAAGTATTATTAATCTAATTACCCCCACTAATTTCAACACCTTGAACAGTGAAATTTTGGTCACGAACAGTAAAATTTTATTACATAATCTGTAAGATGAAACCTTGAATTTTACAGGAAAAATACTCCCACTGCTGGGGAAAATCTGTTAAGAAAGTATTAGATCAGTATGTAAAGCTTCATTATAGCATTTTTTTCAACAAATATAGAATTCAAAGATGAACGATTGCATCAAAGGCAAAAGCCTTGCTACTTGAAAGAAGCAAAAGGTTAATTTTTTTCAATTTTACTAATAATTAGATATAATCTAAACCTGTATGTTAAAAATTTTGGTAAAACTACAAAATCACAGAATTTCTAATTTGCTACTTAAATAAGTGATTAATAAATCACTTATTACAGTAATTCCCCTGACTGGTGACGAAATAACATAAGCATTGTGACATAGAAAATAAACGGGAAAGAGCACAAATACGGTGCAGTCCGGTGTATCGGCACATCTGAGTCTTTTGGCTTCACGTTGGTATTCTCATAAAAACAATAATTGGATAATATTGTGTGAACAAATTGAATTCATGACATACTTTAATTTCATGAAATCTTCTTTGTGTATAGTTTCACACTTAGGGTTTTGTGTAATGTGTGTCCAAAATTAGGGAAACCCCTGTTTTGACAATTCTTCAAATGTCTGGTGATTTCGTGCATGCCTTCTAAAAATAGCTTATTCTGAATACAGGAAAAAATTTATAATAAGACATATAGGTAAGTTTGAACCAAACAAGATATGCAGAGCAAAATTTATTTCATTTTGATAAAAATTTGACTTAATTCAAAAACAATTTTATCTGATGATGTCATTTTTTTTTATGGAAAATGGCTAAATATGGTTAACCATGGGATTGCATGAAAACTAATCAATTTTAATCTTTTTTTGTTCCTTCAGAAGACTAAAACAATAGTCTGTTTGCCAATTTCCATAATTGACCCTGTAATTAGAGATCCCTTTTTTAGTTGTCTCCCCTAGGAGGGACATAAATTTTAATTGACAATGGAGAGCTAGCAATAAGAGCAAATGTATCTGTGCATAACCTTTAAGCTTTTTAAATCTTTTAATTACATTCATGTTGTTGTTAATTTAAATACTTGTGATATCAAAAGTATTTTTTCACTATAAAGTTGATAAAACACCGATATATCACTTTCAACTGATCATGCTTTGCTTGGGCAAAAGCCCTTTTTTTCCAGTAAAGACCTTATCATTTTTTCATTGTTTTTGGAAATCTGTGCCTCTTGAACAATTGACTTCTTACAACAATCACTTTTCCATTGAAGCGTCAGATATTTTCTATTGTGACGTGAAAATTTTACCGGAACATTTATGATGTCCAGTAATGGCCGACAAATAAGATGTATTATGTATAGAACCAGTCTAGATAGACAAATGGAATTTGTTTTAAAAGTATTTAATAACGGAATCAAATCGGTAATTGGAAAATTGACTATACAAGAACGATTCTATTTGTGTTACATTACGGATATAACGAAATCAGGTGATGCGCGATATCACCGGTCGCGCGGACACGGGGGATTCCACTGTATTCGAAAGTCGTGCACCCTATGTTCATGTTGAATCTTCTGAAGAGATCAATATGAAAGTATACGTTGGGGATCCACCTTTTCAAAATTATCTGTCTGTACAATGTTTCCCTAAGGAAATATTCCTATTTTTTCTGTTGAATTTTTCTGTCGGCTGCAACTGATCTTTCATTGGGGTCGACATGTGGTGGGAAGAGAAACACGTGTGCATCATACAAAACTACTGTTATCAAGAACCAATGATACAAATCCTTTCAATAACACATTAGGTCCTAAATATGAGGGGCCTGATGGGTTATTTTCGTTCATCGTGATCGGCGCATTTTCGCTATCGTGATCCGTTTTTTTACAGATTTTTTTTTTTTTATATTTTCGTGATCCGTGATCATGGAAATTTATTTTCTGTGAATCGTGATTGACAAAAAAATCAACTCGTGAATCGTGATGAGACCCCCACCCCCATCAGGCCCCTCAAATATCACAAATTATTTACCAGAAAAGTTTAAACACAAAAAAATATTCAGAAAAAATGAAGGTAACGTTACAAAATAGTAGGAGTATCACTATATGATCCTATATGGATGCAGTTTATTTTTTTCCCCTCTTACCTCTTTGCCATAATGAAGTTTAGCTGCTAAAAGTGAAACAAAACCCTTCTTTGCCGTAAGTACATCAATATTTTCATAAACTGGATGGTACACTCGCAATATTTCTCCATGTGGTGTTATGTCGAAAGAAAACCTAGTTGAATAAAAAACTAAGTTAACAAACACAATTTCCAATATATTATATGCTTTAAATATGCTGTAGTACATTGAAACCGTTTATTTTTTTTAAGTTCGGCATACATTTTAGAAGACATCAATTTATGACGGGCATGGGCACGGGAATCAAATGAGTCAATGGCCATTTTAAGGTTGTGTGCTTTCGTGGCTTTTCTTCAATATTGTCCTCAATTTTAAGTCAGGCTGCATCTTGATTAGTGGAAAAAGACGTAAAAATAGTTAGTTTGCATTGGTAACCATATACTTATTAACTTTTTTTCTTATAATTCACTTTTATTTGTATGTTTTTAAATTATCGGTTCAAATATTTGAAATATATTGTAATATGTTGAACCGCGCCACATTTGTTTTCTTCGGAATCTATAATCAAAAGAGTCTATATGCGACAAACATTGCACATTTCCATAAGAAGGACTACCATTGTTGTCACCATTTTTCCCCCTGGGAAAGGTTCGGGTATATCATGGTTTATGTGAGATACGTGTCATATTGACCAGTACATGTTAATGACTGACTTACCAGTTGGAAAAATCAAGGTCATCATTGTTATTACCTGCGAAAATAGAATAAAAAGTATATTTTATGATCGGTCAGTCATTTTCTACGCACTTGCACTTTTTCGTTTCTTTTATTACATGTCTTAATTGTACAACTTAAGCAATACTATGATACATTTTTTAATCAACAGTAAAACTTAAATCCCCCAAACACGTGTTTTGCTATGTAAAAATAAGGTTAAGTGTTAATACAGATGATTCAAAGAATTGTGTCTAAATATTTAAAAAAAACTTTTTAAAACCTAGAAACAAGTCTTTTCGTGCAAAATATATAATAACATATTGTAAAGTGTCGTGCATCTTTAATGTCTTACATTCATTTGTATTCAACTTTGAAATAAAAAAACCTCATGAATAAATTCAATAATCAACAAAATTTAAATGCGCCTTTGAATATTACCCGACAACTGAGACTACTATAATGTGTTATAGTAGTCTCAGCCGACAAAAATAAGAAAAATCCTGGCATTGTATACCATTGCAAAGGCGGAAAGGTATTGCAGTGGATGTATTGAAAAATAAAGGCTTTAAGAAATGAAGATAAATACCACAAGAGCAGGAATTACAAAAAAAGACAGAGTTATCATAACTTTAATTCGGATAGGCACTTCGGCTCTACAACTTTTGATACAAATCACCAAATGATAAAGGGTGAAAACCAAACAACAATAATACCGAATGCAGAATAAGTTTTAATTATACAGTTGAAGAATAAAGATGTTTTAGAATAATAAAAGTAAATATTGATATCCTGACTACGGACATAAGAAGACATGCAACAGACAACTATTTCCTATGAGTTTGGCCATCCCTTTGGTATCTTCCGCCTCTCTACCCGCTGGATCAATGATAAATCAGTCACAAATAGTTATCCCAAGACTAAATGAACAATTTGACATTGGGGCTGTAATATATTTGTGTGCTTAATCTTATTTCAAGAACGTAATAAATGCACTTAATGTTGAACTTTATCTGGTAAAATCGTGTATATCTGTCACTCTCAAAGTAAATATATACATGTAATAAAATAAGTTCTTATGTATTGGTCCATCAATTAAAATGTCACTGTCTTGTAACGGGATGACCATTTAATTTTCTGGGGGAGGATTTTTTTTTTGCGGATTGACTATATAAACATTTTCATAACGGGTGGCTATGCATGCTTATTTATTTCGCGAAAATTTATCTTTACTTCTGTTTCCTGCATTTTGAGTTGCAGAATATTCATTTTCCATCTGTCTTATTCAAGATTATTTATTTTTAGCTCTCATCTGTCCATGATATTCATTTTCAAAATACTCTTGGACCTCAGAAATCAAATGATCGTCCCCTAATCATTTTTAAGTTAAACAGCCAATTTGATATTTTTTTGTCGTTATGGTTAACGCAAAATCTGCAACAAATTTCTCTTTATCCTATATATACCCGGCGAACTTACGAGTTGACTTGTGTTCACCTGGCTTGAAAGAGAATGCATAAATCTTCAGAAGAATTTCCTGAAATTCATGTCCGTCTTGTATTGCTGTAAAACTGATCTGTAAGATATAGGAGAACATAGGTCTTCAACAGATGTAACCTTTGATTTTATGTTTAGGCTTTCCACTATTTCAAAGTAAACACTGTCTGATTTAAAAAAAAAATAAAAGAATGGAATAAAGGAAAAGATTAATTGATGATTGATTGTTGGTGTTTATTGCCACTTCAGCACTATTGACCATATTGTGGCAGTCAGTTTTTATTGGTGAAGGAAGCCGGATAACCCGTGGAGAATCACCGACTTTCGGCTGGAAAATAAAAGAAAACAAATCGATCTTTTGAGTTAAGTTTAAACATATTTTATTTGCTTTAATATGCAAAAGGGATGCGACACAAGTTAATCAAACTTATGCAGTCTTCTCCAATTTTCGGCTGGAAAATCATAGAAAAAAAATCGATCTTTTGAGTTAAGCAAATTGCAACTGATTTTTACAGTGTGTTCTTTTCTTGTGCTATAAACACCACAGTCCCAGGTTACGGAGAGGAGTGAGCGATCACAAACATATTTAACCCAGCCACATTTTTTATGTGCCTGTCCAAAATCAGGAGCCTGTAGTTCAAAGCATGGTTGTCGTTTGTTTATGTCTGTCATATTTGTTTATCGTAAGTTGTTTTGTTATGAATTATGCCGTTAGTTTTTTTTTTTAATTGAATTGTTTCACATTTTTATAGTATTTTTTTCTAGTTCAAGGCCATACAGTTGCTTATAACTGGTTACATCCACTTCATATGAACTTTGGTGGATAGTTGGCTCATTGGAAATCATACCACATCTTCTTATTTTTATAATATTTATATTTCAGTGATGAAGCTAGGCAACGGTAACAGGACATTCGCCCATCTTTTTTCTCTGAGTGTCATGAAGGCATTTGAAAATTTTACATAACTTCTTAATTCTTAAAGAATGCCCCCTATATATTACATTAACTTGGCACGAGAGAGAAGGAAAAGACGGTTGAAGTAAAATAAGTAATACACCGACCAAGCGCCACTCATCAAAAAAATAAAACTTTATACGTAGAAAATAAGTTAAAGTTTTAAGATAAAAAAAAAAACGTAAGTATTATACGTACCTTTGCATTTGTCTGAAACTTGTCTAGTTCTTTAATAACGGAATCCGAATTAAAATGATAAAGGTATTCATAACCACTTCGGAATTTTATAAAATTTCCTAAAGTCTGAGTGACAAATAAACAGAGGAAAATAGACCGAAAACGATCCATCGTCTCCTCTAAAAATGTCTCTAAATGATTTGGTAAGGTTCCGAGAAACTACTTATTAAGTTTAAAATAAGTACCAGGAAGGTCACTTTTGAAGTAAATGAACCATTATAAATTTATGTACTGTACCCAGACATTTAAATGTCTACACACCATATATGCAACTCTACATTTTGTACCTGTAATTGATTTCTAAAATTGTTCACTCAAACTTTTAGACTAGAATATTACCATTTTTTAAATATGCATTATGTATTTGTGTCAGTTAGACATAAAAACGTATGTTACATATAAACAGCAATCGTTCAATTAAATCAACAATTTTATAGTAAACCTGTATGTATTGTTTATGAAATTTTGTTTACATTAATATCGAATTATGACATTTTTTAATGATCAAATATTTTTTTTCAGCCCTGTGTTACAAAATATATCGATCTGTTTCGTAAATTGAGCATCAAGGGGATTCGTCCCTCTGTGTTTTTGCCAGCATGACGGGGAATATGTCGACACAGACTTTTCTATATATCGAATAAGGAAAACATTGAAATGGAGAAATTGAAAAAAAAAATCTCAATTTCACGACGACTTTAGATTTTACGCTTACAATTTTCATAATTCTTGTTACTTTTTTTAAAAGTTTTGCGCATACTTGTATGTTTTAAAATTTTTGACATATTTTGAAATGTGTGAACATACCAAAAAAATACATGTACTTCAAGTACGAAATAAAAACCCATATCATATTTTTACTTGAATAGTAATATAACATGCCTTGTACTAAGCTTACACGTTGAGTCAAATATTCAATATTATAACTCGTACGCAGGAAAACATATATATCACTCTAACCGGGCATATTATTTGTTCCTAGCGGACAAGCAAACAATACCATAAAACCAAAGCAACGACCTCCCATTTTCGGTCACGAGACAATCGATAAATGTGGTTTGGGTGTGCCGTTAGAAAAATTTTAAAACTCATAAATATCACTTTTAACTTATGCTTTGTATGAGCAGCAGTCCATTGTGTCCGGTTTAGAATCAGTCAAGAATAAGCAAAGGGAAATAACTTGAACTCAAAGTGTGTAATACCAGAAATAAATTAGTAAACAGATTGTTTTCCTAATGTTTTTATGAATAAATGTTTCATCGACCAAAACCTACATATGATATGTGTAAAAAAAAATTAAAAAAAAGAGAAACCTAGCCTTAAATCCGTCAATATCCCGAGCTTTTATTTCGATGTTTAATGGTGTTGTTTACAGATTCGGTTGTACTTAATACGGAAGTCTTTGCACTCTTAGCTGTCTCGGCCTTAAATTTCCCTTGTAGATATAGCACGGTCGTCTGAATATAAGATAATTATTTATGGTTACAGTTACAAGGCTTCCAATTGAAGTTTAACAAATAATAAGTATTTATAATATATCATTTCGAAACCTTTTAACTTGTGAGATGATTATTTGTGATTGTGCAGTTACAAGGCTTCTGTCTAAAGTTTTACCTATAACAAGTTTATGTGTAAACACATCTTTCTGTTTGTTCATTTAATGTGAATTGAGGATTTAAACGAGTCTCCTTATTTTTATATGAGACATATGAGTACATTGAAAGGTCGGGGTGGGGTTGCCTTGGGGGCAAAGTTGTGAAAGTGACAAAAAAAAACTTGTATAGCTTAATTGTTAATTGTCTAGCTTAAAGTAATTTTCCTCTATCATTTTCCATCTTTTATTTGCAATCATTTTTTTGCCCTATGCAAAAAGAAAAACCAAAACCAAAAAACAAAGGTTGGTAAGAAAGAAACGTATTTCTGACGGAATTGTTTTTGATCGATACTCCAGCAATAATAAAGACATTGCAACTGGTTGATCAATGATAATTGTGAATTTGGTTATAGACGAAATCAACATTTAAGAAATTGAGACGTAATTGTTGAAATATATTAATATTTATAATAAATAGAATTGAACCGTTGATCATTGTTGAATACACAAAGACATATATTTATCTATGAGAGTCTATAGAAACATGCAACCAGCTAATTTAATAGAAATGACCATACTGTATACCTCCTGTCTAATATGTGACACAGATCTGAATATGTGGCACACGATTGCTAAATCCGTTGTATTGCAATTGCAATCGGAAACGCTGACAAAAATCTGCTGTAGACGATAGCCAAAACTTTTTTTTATAGCAATCGGGAACACAGATCAAATTGTATTTGCCGGTAACAGGATGTGAATATAAACATATATAATAAGGTTCTACGGAAGTAGTGTTGAATTTTTTCATCATTATAGCCCCAATTTTTCCCCAACTTATCAAAAACATTTCAATAGATATAAGAAGATGTGGTATGAGTGCCAATGAGACAACTCTCCATCCAAGTCAAAATTTATAAAAGTAAACCATTATACGTCAAAGTACGGTCTTCAACTCCGCTTTGATCCCGATTGAACACTGTTTTCATTTGTACATCAGACGTGGAACTGAAATAACTTTTTTAAATGACATGATCGATCGAGTTTGAAGGTAATTTCATCTTTTGATACAGTCTAATTGGGCATATGTGATCTGATCACCGCTGTCGTTTGGTACATCGAGAACGTGAAAGAATAGGTTAAAGAGAGGCGAAAGATACCAAAGGGACATTCATTCTCTTAAGTTCAAAATAAACTGACAATGCCATGGTAAAAAAAAAGAAAACAAAATGACCAAAAGGCAAACAACAGTACACAAAACAAAACATAGAGAACCAAAGACTGATCAATACGGACCCCATCAAAAACCGGGGATAAGGGGATAATCTCAGTTGCTCCGGAAGAGTAAGTAGATTCTGCTTAAGTATAAACCCGATGATAAGTATAATTTGGTAGGTTACAGTTGGTAAAAAAGAGACGGGCTTGTGGTTACGACAATTGGAACATATCCGTCGTCATCTGTAAAGCAAATATTTTATAACTGTGAATCAACTCGTAATGGCGTCCCTAAAATTTATGAAGGGATCATTTCAACTCCATTACTTGGAACTCTTGGTTTAATAGCTTCCTTTTGCGCAGCATCCCTCTATTTAAGAAATCATGATAAGGAACACAACCCTGGAATATCGTGTCAACTGGAAGGTATGCACTCTGTGTGCAGCCTGCTGGAATATCAACTGGAAGGTATACACTCTGTGTGCAGCCTGCTGGAATATCAACTGGAAGGTATATACTCTGTGTGCAGCCTGCTGGAATATCAACTGGAAGGTATACACTCTGTGTGCAGCCTACTGGAATATCAACTGGAATGTATACACTCTGTGTGCAGCCTGCTGGAATATCAACTGGAAGGTTTACACTCTGTGTGCAGCCTGCTGGAATATCAACTGGAAGGTATACATTCTGTGTACAGCCTGCTGGAATATCAACTGGAATGTATACACTCTGTGTGCAGCCTGCTGGAATATCAACTGGAATGTATACACTCTGTGTGCAGCCTGCTGGAATATCAACTGGAATGTATACACTCTGTGTGCAGCCTGCTGGAATATCAACTGGAATGTATACACTCTGTGTGCAGCCTGCTGGAATATCAACTGGAAGGTTTACACTCTGTGTGCAGCCTGCTGGAAAATCAACTGGAAGGTATACACTCTGTGTGCAGCCTGCTGGAATATCAACTGGAATGTAAACACTCTGTGTGCAGCCTGCTGGAATATCAACTGGAAGGTATACACTCTGTGTGCAGCCTGCTGGAATGTTGTTAACAGTGGTCAAGTATTGCAATCGGAGAGTAAATGCAATTAAATGCAAATCAGCATCAAAATCTGTGAAAAATTACCAAAAGGCGTAAAAAATCTTAAAAAAATATGTTGTCAAAATGGTTCAACATTATGATTAATATCAGCACTGAGAAAAATCAAAAGACGAAAAGGTCAACGTGAATACAAATTACAAAAGGCAGATTGCTAATTAACATTTTGAATACACAAAAATGTAAAACAGGCATACAAATTTTCATAATATAAATATAATATAAATGACTAACTTACTATTCTCTGAATAGTGTCGTTCTATAATTTATTGTAGTAGCTTAACCACAAAAATCATTGATGAACGTGAAAGATCGGGAAAGGGATCATGAAAGATCAGATGCCGCTTATTTGTCTCTGCCAAAATCCTTGAAAGTGTTCAATCATTCTGTTATTATAATAATCATAACTTATCTTTGTAATTGATAAAGCAAAAGCCCACTTGACTTATGTTGGTTCACTTTTGTTGGGAAATTGGGTTATGAGGGTTTAATTCCATTTGATCTGGGGTTTTTTTAATAAGGCATGTCGACCAAATAGCCGATGATGACATATAGTAATTATTACATTTCTTAAATGAATGTCTGCATGTCCATACGTCAATACTTTTAGAACGTAAAAGAGTATTTTTTTTAAACTCACAAATTTCGATGAAAAATGATAAATGATGACTACGTAAAATATGCTATAATATGCTATTGAAAATGGATTCCGGGGAAGTGAAATTTGCAACAAGCGAAAATGGGAAAGAATGCCAAGTTATGAAGAAAAAAAAAATCAAATACACACGAAATAACTTTTTCTGAACAGGTGCAGAACATTTATGTTATGAAAATAATACTGATATCAATGGAAACAATGTAAATATACCCCCGCAGCTATCATGTTCTTTGATACAGCCACCTCTTTAAATTCCGATCATTGGAATAACAAAACAAACAAAAAAACATACACAAAACACAGCCTTGACCCTGGTTTCAGGTGAAACATTCTGTTATTCTTATGTTTGCTTTAAAACATCAGTTTAATTTATTTATCTTCCTGGTCCATTCATACAGTTTCATTATATCGAATAACAAAAATATTGGAGTGTTATGAATAAAGAAAATTTGACATCATAGCTTATTACGGTTAAAATGGGGGAAATTATCTATTCAAAGGTAAGTTCGGGAATTCATGCAATTCCAATTAAACGCTATGTCTGATTATCTGTAGCATAATGCTCAGTTTATTTCAAAACAAGTTTTTTTTTTTCTTTTTTAAAAGTATCAGTGTC